AGGTTTTAATATATTTGTATTTCTCACTGAAAGTCTTTGTTATTGTAATCAAAATATCTAATGTTAAATTAGACAAATTATAATCTTGTTATTGCCAAAATATTATTATTTTTTTTAATGAAGTTGTAGGACTTGTGTCTACTGTTATAATTGTTTATTTATATTATATGCATGATTATGTATTTTACAATGTAAGGTCAATAGTGAGTAAACACTTCCAGTTGATCTGGGGACTTAGGAAAATCCTACCCCAACACCACCTCCCCACCTCCTTCCTAGCCGTCTCTCAATACTGACCGCTCCTATTTACATCATTGTTTCAAATAAGTAGGCCTATATACCAGGGCTTGGGCCATTACATTGCCAATTTAATTAATTACATTACCATTACTTTTTTAAATGTAATCATTACAATTACTTTCTCATTTTTAGCAATGTAATTAATTACCATTACCCATTACATTGAAAGTAATTAATTACCATTACCCATTTACTATATGACTATATAAATAAAAAAACATTTTTCATAGAAATTAAAAAGACAACCTTATTTTTCTGCCATGAAGCGCCTACAAAATCAAACTCAAAATAATCCTTGATTCACTTAATAGATATTTGTTGATGAATTGTCATTTCTAGCAACTATAACATCAAGGCAAATTTTATAGTGATAGGCAGTGGTGACAAAAACTGATATTTTCACTGTATGACTTGAAAAATTAATCAAAAGAATAGTTAATTAACTGTATTTTCTTAAGTAATTTTTTAATCAATCCAAATAGTTTGTCTATAATATATTGTATAATAACTGGTAAATTATTCAGCATGACTCTAAAACAAAATATATATTAGTTTTAAGTAACCATAAAATGATGAGATACCTGAAGGTCATTGATTGAGTGATTGGCTGTAAATTAGTTCTAATCTTTGATTACAATATACATCTTTTCAGAAATCCTCTTTTTATGTTAAATGTCTTAAAAAAGGGTCCTACATAAAAGTAATAAAAGAAAATGTTTAATGCCTTCTTATTCTTCTTATAATTTGTTAAATCTGATTTAAATCTTTTTTAAAAATGATAATGAATTGGATTTGTGTCAGATACACTTAATTATTTCTTTGGTGCTATAAAATTTGAGGCTTGTCATATTGGAAATATTATATTTATATGTGCCATAAAATGTAATTGAAAAGTAATTGAAATGTAATTGACCATTACATGATTTTTGGAATGTAATTATTTACATTTCCATTACTTTTGAAAATTTCCATTACTCATTACATGGCCATTACTTAAAAAATGTAATGATTACATTCCATTACCATTACCCCAGCCCTGCTATATACTATAATATGATGATACCAGTCTCTAGAGATTGTCAGAAAAGCCTACAAAAATTGATATAAATATTCACATGTTTATATTATTGTCAGTTGTGTTTGGATAACATAATACTTTATAAGGACGTAGAACGAGGTTAAAATTCAAATAATTCATCTGTTGAATAGATTATATTATTTCTTAATCAATTATTTACTTAGAGATAAGAGATTTTGATTTATATTTGTATCCCCCTAATTATTATACATTGTTTAGTTTTTCTCATACGCCTATATTAAACAATAATTAGATATTTTTATGCCCATATTTTTATGCTACAGAACAAAATTCTAAATTTTCTATTTTCTCTAAACTTGGAACATAACCGTTATGGGAATTTAAACAGGGTCAAAATTATTTCGAAATTTTCGACATACCAACATCATGTGACTGAGGGTGGGGGGTGGTAGATCTATTATGCCTGTTGGTCCGTCATGCTATGAGTCCAAATTTTAAATTTTCCCTTTTCCTTAAACTTGGAACATACTAATTTATGGTAATTTTAATGGGGCCAATATCATTTCGAAATTTTCGACATACAAATATATTGGGGCGGTAGTGGGGTCAAGATTTTTACGCGCAACCACATTTATTATCTTGTTTATCTATACCCACGCATTTTAAAATATTGTTTAATGTGGGCCAACCGATAATTCATCGGTCGAAATAGATTGTCATTTCCTAATCAATTATATACTTATGTTTATAAGATTTTTGCTGCAACCACATTTAATATTTTTTTATCTATACCAACGCATTTTAAGATATTTTTTAATATGAACCAACTTATATCTTGTTTCTTAATCAGTTATATACCGTACTTATAGATGAAGTTAAAAATGATTTACAAATGAAATATTTCACCATCGTTGTTTTTACTGAATCTGTAATTTTGATGATGTTATAGTGTATCTTTGTATATATTTTATTACTATTTAATTTTAGTCAAAATAGCAATTGACCAATGTCCGAATTGATATCTCGCTAATCTTTCAAGTCTTTTAACTGTTTGGTTTTAAACTTAATGTAACGATATATATTACATAATTATAGTTAACACTGTTCTTGCTATGTCCATATCTTCTTCTGTATTTATACATCTGTTTCCTATGTACAATTTAACATTTCTGGTCAAATAGTATTATATAATTATTTTAATCTTAAGCTTGTATATATATGTTCCATATTCTACTGTAACTTTAGTCTGATGACTTGCTCGCTCTATTATAATTGATACCTATCTCATTATTGTGACCGTTAGCCAGTTTTGGACACTTGTTTATTAAAAGTACAATTTTAAATATTTATCTGAGTTCTTGTCATTAGTGTTGGAATAAGCTACAACCCCCAGAAAACAGTACTTCGGCACTGTGAACAGCTGGCGGCAGGCATAAAATGAGATGCTGCTTAAGTTAAGCTTCTGTAATCCATGCACATGCCATTGACGATTATGTGAACGAGGCATGAGGCGTCATATTAATTTGAGATAACAAGAGATAACAATTTTTGCTTAGCATTGGAGTACAGTGCATTCAAAGCATTAGGCCAACACGTTTTTAAACTTTCGGCGAATTATTTGTTTCTGTTTCACCTGAACAAGGCTCAACTTCTATATCTGCCCCGCCCACTGCCAATTTGGGAATGTATAGCCGAGGTTTTGCTGAACTGATGACTCAGGAGAAGACCATGCCTGGTCGACTATTGGCTGTTGTGATGATTTGCACGGAATAAGTTGCCACATCTATATGGAATAGTGCCTTGTCGTTCTGGCCGTTCGCCCCAGTATGGGGTCTAAAATAACATGCCTCGGAGCACAAACGTGCTTTAAAATGAAACATCTGTGCTTCGAATTCGAAAATAAGAAAACCAAGCTCTGAAAAAAAATGGTGTAGTGCTCTGAAAAAGTGTAAGGTATAGCGATACCTCCTGACCCCTAATGAGTGTTTCCTCTTGTGGTGGTCAGTTGCACAGATCAGATCAGCTGGCCCCGAGTCAAGTGAGCGCCCCCCCCCCTGGAAAAAATTGGCGCCCATATCAGTATGGGTGCCCCATAAATTCGAGTGACACTGTTTGTGCGCACACGAGATTGGTTTTATGAACGCCTCGCCAAACATGTCGTTGAGGCGCACCCCTCATAATGAATCACACGATTAACCCAACAACTTGATTGAGGGGGCGTCCAAAGCTGTGTAATCTGTGGGGTGCCTTATCCCGGAGTGGGGCCCATAATGACATGTTTGGTGGGGCGCCTTATAATGACAATATAATGATTGTCGGGCTATGCATAATTGATTAAGCGCCACTGCTTCAGGAATATGCTCCCCCATAGCCCCCAAACCCTGACTACGTTGGTATTATCAAGAATGGTGATAAAAATGGTGGCTTTGAAGTAAATTTTTTTATAAGAAGCCAAAAAACACACCATCTGTGCATTCATCGAGACAATAGTTGAAGATACTGACACTGTAAGTGTAACAAGCTCAAATATAGTAGCCATGCTGGGGAGCCACGATGGCTAAGTGGGTAAGATGCTAGCTCGCTAGCCCGGAGGTTGCATATTCGATCCCTGCATCGGTATTTTTCAACATGGTTTCCCCTTGTCAGTGTTGCAAGTTGGAGGGACTGACAAGGACAGCTGTCTAGTCGTTTGGCTGGGACAAAAAACCGAGGTCCCGTCACTCCCATGTACAAATTGGCGTACACATGTAAAAGATCCCTTGGCAGTTGGAATTCGATATAAGGGTAGATCATAGTGCCGCTGCCCGGACAAAATTTCCCTCATAGCACACTGAATGATATGCACGTCTTCATTAGCCAATTTCATTTCATGGCAGTAGCCATGGTTCCCGAACCAATAAAATCACCACAAAAAGACCAGAAGGAGTTATTCACTTCGATGTTTCCATTGATGACTATGATATTGAATAGGTCAGTTATTATGATCTTACTTCAACAAAATGTGCCAAAATTATAGTTTTAATTTATTATTTGATTAAATTATATGAAAGCTCTTAAATGTTTGTGTATCTTATTGTAACGATTGAACGGTCCATTGGTCCCCATGTGGTGGTCCATTGGACCCACACCATTAGGCCCGATGGGCCATCCTGAGACATTTCATAAAAAGAGGTAAAATTCAACGTTTCTTTAAGGTATAGCATTGAAACTCTGTATGTTCATAGGTTAGTATCTGATGAATGAAGTAGCAAAGATTAGCTATCTTCGCTGATTTGTATCATGCGCGCTGTATCATAAGGCCTGCCATTGAGTCAACTGGAGTGGTTTCGAATTCCCGTTTGTACGTGACAACCAGTAGGGTCGCCTGTCCAACCTTGTGGGTTTTGTCCGGGACCTCCGGTTTCCTCCCACTGCTAAAGAACCCTACCCGCAAGGGAATTATTGAAATAAAATTAAACCATGTTAGTCCCGAAATGACCTAGTTTGTGTCGAGTGGACCTTAAACCCCATTTCTCTCTCTCACAGGGAGGCCCTTACTTGGTCTCATGGGGTGGGGGTGGGGGGATCAGGCCATTGCTTCAGGAATCTGAACAGCCGCACCCCCATTACTGAACAGATGCAGTGGCGATTTATAAATGATCATGGAAAAGGAAAATCCAGATTATTTTCAAGTTTTATTTCTAATGTTTTGGTCAACAATACAGAACAGAATGTGGTATAAAGTTGTTTTTTTATGTTTAATAAATCTTCCTGATAAATCCAGATGTCAAACAAGAGATTAGATGGTCTTGATTGTGTATGATACCATCAGCTGCCAGGCAGGATACGCCCACATTTTTAAGAGATGGCTAGAGAACACGATTAACAAAAAGCGATTTTTCGTAACATCAAGGGCCATAATTCAGGAAGGTACGATCAGATATGTGCGAATATCGAAAGGAACCAAGATCTTTGGGATATAAACATGCATTTCAAGTTTCATTAAAATCGGATCAAAAATGTGACCTCTAAAGGTTTAAACTATTTGCGTAGACGGGCGGCCATTTTGTCTGGCAGTTTTATTACGATTTTCATAAAATCCGAACTCAACCAACAATACGGTGTAACGGTGACATATTCAAATGTTTTTTTTTAAATCAGATAATAATTGTGACCTCCAGAGGGACCATAAGCTAAAAATGCGATTTTTTGTACAATCCGTGGCCATAATTCAGGAAGTTACAATCCGATATGCGCGAATATCGATAGGAACCAAGACCTTTGGGTTATAAACATGCATTTCAAGTTTCATCAAAATCGGATCAAAATTATTACCTCTAGAGTGTTTACAAGCTAAAAACGTGATTTTTCTAAAATCAGGGGTCATATTCCATGAAGTTATGGTCCTATACATGCCAATATCGAAAGGAACTGAGATCTTTGGGAGATAGACCTATATTTCAAATCAGATAAAAATTGTGACCTGTAGAGTGTCTACAAACAAATTGAGGACGGACGGACAGACGCGACGACAATATATGGCCTTATGAAAATGTGGGCGTATAAAAATTTCAAACAGGGGGCCAAAGGTTCTCAAACACGTCAGACAAATAAAGTACAGGGGGCCAAAGGGTCTCAACCACATCAGACAAATTAAGTAAAGATTTTTGTTAAATGCCTACAAATAAGGACTTAAAGTTACAGACATTCATATTATTACCTTACTAACAAATGTGACACTGCAGAAATTCTCCATTAAAATAATAAGCATTCTTTTCCATTTGCTATGTTAAAATTCACCTAAATTTCACTATTCAACAAAAATATACACTGTGCTGCACTGTAACGGTGACATATTCAAATGTTTTTTTTTAAATCAGATAATAATTGTGACCTCCAGAGGGACCATAAGCTAAAAATGCGATTTTTTGTACAATCCGTGGCCATAATTCAGGAAGTTACAATCCAATATGCGCGAATATCGATAGGAACCAAGACCTTTGGGTTATAAACATGCATTTCAAGTTTCAACAAAATCGGATCAAAATTATTACCTCTAGAGTGTTCACAAGCTAAAAACGTGATTTTTCTAAAATCAGGGGTCATATTCCATGAAGTTATGGTCCTATACATGCCAATATCGAAAGGAACTGAGATCTTTGGGAGATAGACCTATATTTCAAATCAGATAAAAATTGTGACCTGTAGAGTGTCTACAAACAAATTGAGGACGGACGGACAGACGCGACGACAATATATGGCCTCATGAAAATGTGGGCGTATAAAAATTTCAAACAGGGGGCCAAAGGGTCTCAAACACGTCAGACAAATAAAGTACAGGGGGCCAAAGGGTCTCAATCACATCAGACAAATTAAGTAAAGATTTTTGTTGAATGCCTACAAATAATGACTTAAAGTTACAGACATTCATATTATTACCTTACTAACAAATGTGACACTGCAGAAATTCTCCATTAAAATAATAAGCATTCTTTTCCATTTGCTATGTTAAAATTCACCTAAATTTCACTATTCAACAAAAATATACACTGTGCTGCACTGAACAGTTTTTAAAGCAGTGATGACAATCAGTTTATTGTAATATATATATATAATCATCGCCTTGAAGTTTTTGTTTTTCGGCAAATTCAATATTTAAATCTTTTGGGCAGAGTATAGTAGTATGGTGTATAATAATAGCCAATGTTTTTTCATAAAAATACATAGAAAAGTTAAAATTATTTTTTCAGATCTAGACACTAAAATATGATTCCTAGCTGCCTTAAGATTTTGGTCAGATGAAAAAGATTTCAACTTGGAATGGCCTACAGGTAAATGATTTTATGTTAGCAATAAAATTAAGTGTGAAGATTACATGACATAATTATGAAAGTTATAATAATTCAAGATCTACACAAAGCAAACAGGAACATTTTCGCCTACTTCACTAACCATATATGGCCAGGTTCCCATAAAGCTACCATTTTAGTTGCATACAATTCTATCATGTGTTAACAAACTGTCAACCACAGTTCTTCTGGCTACTCTGCTCTGAATAAATATAAGGTACTAGAGGTATTTCAAGGCTTAAGTATTCTATCATCTACTTTGAGGTATTCTATATCACATAAGAAGAAATAATATCAAAATAATAAGTTTTGAAAAGTAATGGTATGGTCAACATTTAAATTCTCTTTAACTTTTTTTAGTACCGCACCTAAAAAACAGCTTTTCTTTATCATGTTTTATAAAATTTAATGATTTTAATATTTAAATGTTGACAATGACACTAGTCTATAGCTATATCCAACACATTTAATTAGAACTCTAATTTGTAATTTGAATTCACACAAGCTAAATACAAAAGCTACTGCATGAGTCAGAAGTTATACTCCTGATATTACCAGTACAATGCAATCTTTAAAGTAAAATTTAATAAATATTACCAATATAATAAATTTTCAAGTCAGATAAATTTCTACATGCAGTTTGTAACAAGGGACTGATAGATAAATGGGCAAACAGGCAGCAGTGGCGCCAACACACTTAAATAAGGGCAAATAAAACTAATTAATTAATAAACCCTGCGAACCAAAAATTAGAATACTTATAAACATAAATAAATCTAATAAAGTAGTTAAAAATATGAATAATTATGGTATGCTTAAAACATTTAAATAAAAATTTTAAGACAATATTAAAATTAAATTAACTTAAAAATTGTAATTACAAAACTCACGACTAAGAGTCTGATGTTTGCCAATATCTATGTCTCAGAAATTCAACTTCAATCAATGTGTTAGAATTTCTGCTAAACAGCTCTACAGGACATGTTTAAATGAAATAAATGAGCATATGGCATACAATGTACTACTATGAGAGAAATTTTGTCCTGACATCAGTGTTTCTGTCTGTTCTATCACAGGTTCTTTTATTACATCACTACTAACTTGTACACATGACCTCAATGTTTTCATCCCATGCTATACCACAGATAAGGAGAAACCAGGCTAGAAAATACTGAAATACTTTCTTGGCCAAGGAGCCAGAGTCTTACTCACTGAGCCACCTTGTTTCTGTCATGTGTTAACAAAATTTCCTTTTATTAATTTTAAATCAAAATTCCATTTCATTGCATCTTAAATTGTCCATGTCCAAATTGTCAAAATTTATGATACAAATTTCTTAATTGTCAGTCAACCTGTCAGATTTAATGGTAAAATTCTAGCTATCGTTTCTATGTATATGTGACATATATAGTTATGTTTTTAGGATGTGAATAAATTAAAATATATTTACATTAATATAATTGAGCCTAGTCTAGAAATTACTAGAGTACAATATGATATAACAACAATATCATTGTAGGAAGGAATTGATTTACATTTTCTATATACATGTTCATCATAAAATTCAACATGAACTTTCTGAGATAATAGTGTTGTTATCAATGTTAAGATTTCTCCAATGCCAACAAATTCCTATAGTGTCTGGGAAAAAACCCAAACAAACCATTTCAAAAGCTCTGTTGACAAAAGTATGTAATAGAGATGTCATTTGCTTTGATCAGTGATTTATTACAGGGGGAATTATTGACAGAAAATGTCACCACAAAGTGAAGTAAAATGCATTCCTGAAAGTGATTCACTAATACTGAAGACAACTTTGGCAGTGTTATCACTATGTAATGTAACGATTTAAAAATATCAACAGAAACAAGGGGTAACAAGCTTAATATACAAGATATACACATACATGTATACCACAATGGAAATTAGGAAGGTGCTAAAGACACCATATTAAAAGATACAAGCCAGCTAATAAAGCACACTTTGAGTTGTCTATATGTATAATAGAGGACGCATACACCAAGCCTAACTACCTGTACATTTCAATTATATATACATATAAACCTTTATTAAAGGTATGGATTATCTATAATTAGATATGTAATGATAATAAATATTTACACGTCCTTATCAATTTACTGGCAGAACATGGCATCATTAATATATTTTTGTAAAATGAATAAATGAAGAATGTCAAAAATGTGGTAAAAACATTGCTGCTCATTCATAATAATTGCTGCCCAAGTATTACAATATTAATTTGTTATTGGATAACTAAAGTGAATAACAAAATATATTAACTGATTATAATGGTGCATCAAATTTGGGCTGATAAAGTGCTGTTAGGGAACCTTCCTGTGAAGAAATGTAGAGTGATTTGTCATCATTAATTTGCTGAAGGAAACACAGTTTATTGCCACAATCTAATGAGTATTATATATAAAACACTGCAGGAATTTTGTGAACACACTTATGTCAAACATATTATTCCCTTGTGAAGTTCAAGCTAAAGATTAAAGCTAATAAGAAAGCTATCAAATTCAATACAATATAGGAATTTTACAGACACTACTTTTATAAATATTTGTTCTTAATAATTATTTACATGCAAAGATTTATTCAAGCCTAGCAATTGATTACATTAGGTAAAACGAGTAATAATTTATTGTTAGAATTTACAATATTGCGTAATAATTTAGATTCGGTTGACTAAAAGATGATTAGAATATAAAGTTTTTCTCGTTGTCCAGATATGACAATATGGCTCTTTGACAATCTGCTGATGGCCATCTTTCAAGCAGTAAGTTGCACTCTGTTTCATTGGTCAATTCTAGCTTGGTTCTGTTATGGCATCTAATTAACAGTTTTGTTGTCTCCAATGCCTGTAAAAGTTAATTTGGAATGAGTTGAAGAAAAAAATTAATTTCATTAAAAATAATTATTGGCAAACAATTAGAAATTTGATTCAATTTCAGTCAACCAATGGGTTGTTTGTGAGTCTAGAATGTTCCCAATTGCCAAGCAATGAGAGAGAGAGAGATGGGGTTTAATGTCCACACGAAAAAAACTATTTCATTTCGGGACTAACACATGGTTCAATTTTATCTTAATAATTCGCTTGCACGTAGGGGTCTTTAGCAGTGGGGAACCAGAGGACTCGGAGAAAACCCACGTGGTTGGACAAGCAACCCTATTCCTTGTCACATACAACCGGGGAATCGAAACCACGCCAGCTGACTCAATCAATGACAGACCTTATGATACAGTGCACACATGCTAACCATTCGGCCATCCAACCCCCCTCAAAGCAATGAAATATAAGCCCACAGCAGCTAAGTCATCTGGACAGTCCACATACGTAATCACATATTTACTTTTTGTAGGTAATGGGAACATTACACGACGGAATAAAAATTGAAACATTTACCTTGCCGGAGAACAAAGCCATTTGCTGTACTCGTGGTATAACCTCTTGCATCATACTGGTTGGCCAAAATACCTGTGATACCAAACCTAACTGATGTGCTTCTAAAGCTGTTAATTTACGTCCACAAAATAATATCTCACTACCCTAAATAATAAGATAAAGTACAATTTACTTTTTAGGAGAAATGAAAATATGGGAGTTGGAGATGACAAAATAAAAACCACAATGGGGAATATCAGAATTGGATCTCCAGATTGTTGGCACTAAAAATAGAACTTAATGATTCTCAATCTTAAATAGAGACAACATTGTGTGTTTGGGTGTAATGACTGCTAAAATATGAAGACCTGTGAGATCTAGGTTTTCGTAATCATCAAGATTCCAGATGGACTTTGGCTTTGAAATCTGTATGCATCTGAATAAAACAACTTTAGAGAAGCAGTAACAAGAGAAACTTACCACTGCAAGTCCTAAAACTTGAGGTAAAGTAAAAGATGAACAACCTTCTGGTATTTGAGATAATGCTGAATAAGGTAGATAGAACAAAGCTTTATCACTAGCATATGTTATATCACATAATGGTAATATAGCCATTCCTAGTCCAATAGCTGCTCCGGTTACTACTGCTATGATAGGTTTAGGAAATGTTATAAATGTTTTGACTAGTTCCCTGAAAACAGATAAATATCTTATATCAATTAAAACACTGAATAATTTGATCAAATGAAGTGTTTTTTTCTTTTTTACTAAGTTTAAATAGCTTGTACTTTTCTATTTCAAACTTTGAACATGAGTGGCTGAGGCACTGTAGTGTGCTCAATACAAGTAGGTGTGTGCTATAGGGGAAATTTTGTCAGAATGTTTTTGCCTATCCTTCATTGAATTGCAACTGTCAAATATTCTTTTTATATGCTCGCCAATAAGGTCCTTGTGTTTTCGTCCCCATTTGAACACACTGGCCAAAGTCATATACTTCCCTTAAAGATGACATAAATAACAAATACATGTAAATTAATTAATTACCGTAATGAGTCTGACATTTGCCTGGCAGCTATTTTCGGATCACCTCTCGTTAAGAAATTGAGATCAACACCAGAACAGAAGACATTACCAATACTACTTAACATCACTAGATTACTGTCATCATACTTAGCTGAATTCAATGCTGTCACAATTTCTTGTATCACCTAAAATTGAGGGAAAAGTTTATATATAATCCAGTTGTTCTCAGCTGCAGGTAATATGTGGTTCCTTGCTTCACTCCATTGACAAAATGTCATTCTGGACAAATTACAAGAATATTGGGCCGCAAAACTTTAAAAAATATTATCAAAAATAAAAGAAGGTCTGGTCTATTTATAACTAAATTGCATGTTGGGTTGATTAATAGCAATTTAATGACCATACATGTACCTGTGGATTTAGTGCATTTTTCAGGTGAGTATGGGTGTTGAGCCAGATCTGTGTATAACCTTGACATTTCTTAACAACGATTTCTTTATTCCTAAAAGCACACTCTGCAGTTCTTACACTTATTCTTCTTTCAATCTTATCATCACCATTTGAGGTGTTACTTTCAACATCAGGATCTTTCTTTTTCTTCTTTGGGTGCATTTGATGAGGCAAGTCATCCAACATGGCCTTGTAGGATATGGCAGATGGGCTGACTGGCAAGGAGCTGGCCATTTGATATGAAGGGATATCAGCGAAGTATGACTCCATTGTGATAGAATGAGATGGCATGGCTTTACTCAGTAGTGAGAGAGATGGATTCATCAATGGTTTTACTGAGGTGTAGAAGGGAATAGTTGTAGGTACTGGTAAAGGTGCAACATCTGAAAATGTAAAATTCAACATTAATTTAATAAATTAAAACTATGTACATTATTGTATCCAGGCACATGTATATAGCCAGAATTTACCTAAAGAGGGGGCTCAGTCAATAAACGTATCATATACTCACTACCTGAATCTTTTGAGGAGTCAGATCAGGAAGGAACACAACTAGGCTACAGAGCAAGATATTGCCAGGATTACATACAGTTAAAAGCCTAAAAAAATGGTTCTCTTCAGCAGGTTTGTTGATCTACTATGCAGTGTATTTTTTTCTTATTTGAAAGTTTTGGTGTGAAATTGCTTCATTTTTTAAGACTTCACAGACAAACAAGAAATTTTATCAGACTGAAGTACACTCTATTGTTTCATTTGCTGTTATTTTACAAACTATTACATTAAATTATATATTTTTTGAGGCCACCTTTATTCAGTTAAACTGGAAATTATAACAGAAACAAAATCCCTTATCAAGATTCTACAATTATTAACTTCGCTGATACAAGAACATTTTCATAGGTTAAATATATCCCACCATACCTGTTTTTAAAGGTTTATGTTTTAAACCATCAAGTAAAGATAGTCGTCGATTGATTGATTTGGGGGATTCTTTCATCTTTTGAACACTTTCCGGAGACTCTGATGTAGTACATGAACAAGTTGATGTTTTTACTAGTAATTTTTTTGTTTGGTCTTTATTTAAGTTTTCAGTTTTTGATTTCACTTTGTCCAATTTCTGTTTTATTTTTTCTTCTGTATTTTCAATCAACGAATATAAAACATCATCATCATCATCGTCATCATTCAATACTTTTTTCAACTTCTTCTTTATTACTTTTTCTTCACTCCCTGATGGAGTCGGTTTTCTTTTAATTCCTTTGGCTTGTGTAGTCTTTTTCTCAACTGTGGAGTTAGTTTTCTTAGTAGGCTTACTAGTAGTACACATATCCTTCTTGTTCTTCATCACTTGACCTTTTTCAATTTGGTTGGCAGTTTTTCCTGTTTTCTTTTCTGTTTCTTTCGTTGTTTTAGATTTGGGAGAAACTTTTTTGACTTTCAATATAATTCTTTTCACATTTGGGGACAATTTCTTCTCTTGTGTGTTATCTGGAGTGCACTTCTTCCATTTAATTTTTGCATTCGTTGATAATTTGAACTTTGGTGTACTGGTTTTTGCTTTTTTTGAATCATTTTTCACAATCTTACTGCCAGTTTTACTCTTCTTGATAAGTTTAATTGCCATATTAACTGATTTTGATTTTTTGTTTGGCGTTTTAACAACCTTTGGATTTGGATTATTTTTTTCAAACTCTGCCACCAGTCCAACACAAGCAGCTAAATTTTTCTTGGGTTCCCATGTGTCCCACAGATGTGTAAAGCCTCGCCATCGTATAAGGTATTCTGTTCGACCATGAACCTTACGCTTCTTTAATAATTTTTCAACCTAGAATGACAAAAATTTCAATTTGAATTTAGAACTTCTAATAGAAGTACTTTAATCAGTAAATTGTGAGTGTAGAAACTTCTCAAATAAAAACATTTCTTTTAAAAAAAAAAAAACTAAAAAAATACTAGAAAGTGAATTTTCATATTTGAATGCAAGCTGCTTTAACTGGGGAAAAACTGTATAGTTCAGCAGGTTATAGATGACTGTGCCAAGTCTGCTTTCTTGTCCAAGGATAGATTCTTGGAAGATCGGGATGTAAATCGTACAATGATTCAGTCTTAATTGACTCATCAGATATTATGAGCACCATTAAAAAAGAAGCTCAACTTTAAAATTTCAAGCTCTATATTGTCAATCCTTCACAAATTCTTGTGGCAAATAACCTTTTAATTTCACTACACTTAAGCTTACCAGGTTTTTGTTTCTTTATGTAGTGGACAGAGATGCTAATTCAACCTGACAAAATAGTATCCTTCTTTGTGTGTGCAACAAATTTCTGTTAACTGTTAGTTTATCTAATTTAAAATATTGATTTTAAATTTATTAAATATCTAGATCCATCTTTGGAACATTTCACAATGATTACTATTTTCAGGTTATTTAATTCAAATACATCCAGTTAATCCAAATCCCCATGATCAATAAAACAATTTAAATCTGCAGACTAATTTAGTATCTTAGCCAATTTGCATTTAATGTGTATAACTAAGCGACTAAAAATAGTCACTGTCATTGACCACGAGTGATCTCTGTCCCTTGTGATTACAAAGTATTCAATGTAGGTCTAAGTACTACTGGTATAATAATTTTGTAAAGCTGTACACTTTCATGCCAGTAAGGCAAAATGACAAAGCTTAAATACTGTATCTTAAATTATAAACTGCTTAAAAACTGTAGGCTACCATTGGCATTTACATTTCGTCCTAGGAAATATTTTACTGGGTAAAAAGATGTATCATTATCAGTAAGTTTATCTCAGCTAAAAATTAAGTTGAATAACAACACATAACCAACAGTAGCATTCCCCAAATTATTAAACGTCACAGATTGTTTATTGACGGAAGGTTATGACTAACCACGGAGAACGGCAGAAATTACTAACGTTGAAATTTACCTGTTGCAGGTAATATTGACATTCGGGTTTGTATCAGACTTCTAAGAAGGGATATGTAACGTTGACATAATTAGGCTACTTCAGTACTTGCATTATTTAAAAAAATTATGAAGCTTTTCTGGTGAGGTTTAAAATGTAAAAGTTATTTAAGGCTATGTCATTGTTAACAGTAGGCATATCGGGTCTATAAATTTGTCAAGAAAATTAATAAGCTATTTTCAAGAAAAAAAAAAGGTGATTTAACTTGTAATGTGTCTATTAATATACCGATAATAACGTTTTAAATAACTTGATCTGCTGTATTATAAATATAAATAACTCTCCCGGACACCTGTTACCACTGTTTGTCGTGTATTTTGTACACGAGGAGCAGTCCATTTGCTGATTACACTATTTTGCTTGAATACACTATTTTGCCTATAACGCTTTTTAGGACTTCGAATTCTGTCTTATGGCATGGTTTGGATTGTTCGTACTTCAAAGTACTTGGTTTTATTTTATTAGCACAGAAATTACATGAACACAATGACAACTAAAACAAAAAAATCTAGAAGAGTTTTTATATTAAAAAGACGTTAAACGGTTAATGGCTAGCAGTAGCAGACACTTCACGCGACGAAATCATGACATCACTCATCAGTTCCAAAACAATTTTGCAAAACACTTCGGTCCCGTTTTCTTTGTCATTTCATCCGTGTGTGACCTGTCAAAATTTCTTGCCTACAAATAGTCGTCTGCTAATAACTTTTAGGCGCATACATAGAAATATCTATCTACCGCTGATCAAAAAGGCAGTTGTAAATGTGGTAAAAAAAAAACGGAATTTATACCTCGTAAATTCCAGCTTGACCAAAATCCGCCATTCCGAAAATTTATTACTCGCCAAAACTAATTTTCAAGGGGGAGATAACCGTTATTTATTTTGTGTTGTTAGGTGGCGTTGTTTCAATATGGCGGCTTCGATGAACAGCAGAATTCTGTCACTGATAAATAAATCTCGGTAATTATTTTAGGAAATTGTATAGATTAAATAAAAGACCATATTATATTTAAAAATAACACGTTTATTCTGTATTTATTATTATTTTTTTAGACGATACAAAACACAATTGTCTTTTTTTCTTCATGTTTATTTTATTCTGAAGTTTCTGAACTTTGGACTTTGTCAGACTTTGGTACTTCGATAACTTGTTTGTTATTTTACTTTGTACCCGACCCAGGCAATAGGTATTAAGGTAAGGCCAGGGGTCCAGAACCTTGAAAGAAATAAATTTGACACATTTATCTGTTATTGCCATTAATGACGGGTATTTCAATCTAAAGATTAATACTATAATAATGGATAGGGCCTAAATTAATCTAACCAAGTCAAAGTCCAGATACCCCCACCCACCCACTGCCACAGGAAAAAATATAGTATTAGTAGGGCGCAAAATAGTAAAATAGTGCATTTGATCGCAAATTTAAGCATCAGTGACTAAAAGAATTAATGAGGTAAACGTAAAATGACAAATTAGAAGACAAAATCCCAAATACTTAATATATTTATGAACATATCTGTTAGTGTTATATGTATTATTGCTGTGAGTCAATATCACAATACGTGCCATTTTTCCAAAGCTCAAATTAGTAAAAACTGCTATGCGTTCAGTAATAAAACAGGAATGTCTCAATGATGGACACCATCGATCTTGACAAAATCGCCGACCCATGGTCAGACTTGACTTAGCGCGGACGCTTGATGAAAATATGAGGACATACATGTAGTCATATCTTTGCTATTAATTTATGTATATTCACCACAACAATATATCTAAGATATAGGTCCATGTAAATGATGTAATTATTGTCGCTTTCAGAAGTTGTCACAGAATCACAGTACTTTGTACGTTCTCGCAAATTTCTTAATAAATAACATGAATTACCCTGCGTAGGACTCAATTTTACTCATGCTATAAGTATTTTCTGACCATCAGGATTCTGCAAAAGTTTTCCCCAAATCAAGGAAATAGCATTTCAGAAACTATAGAATTTCTACGGAGCATGCCACCAGACCCCCTAGAAAGCTTGCACCTGCTGTGTTTGGCTCATGGCTGTGTCACTTGTATTAGGGGCCTGTGTATCAGTTGATCTCATTTTTCCTAAACACCCCTCCATACAAAATCGATTGTCCAGGCAATCTGGTTGAACTTGTTCTTCGAGTTCTATGATCAACATTTGACACGATAGCTACTAATGTGACAAGTTTTCTATTTAAAAAAAAACTACCAGTCGTATAACATAATAAGTCATCCTACATTGTGAAATCATGAATCATGCATCAAAGTAAATAAAGTATGTCTTCAGGTACTGCAAACCATTGTAATAATTGATAACTATTGTTGGCCTTTACGCAGAATGCATAGCGATAGTAGGCCTAGATCGTCTATGGTGCCAGTTTGCTATCAATTGTTTGTGACCAATGTTTCCTTTTTCATCTTTGAAATACTAAACCAATGTATCATTATTTGGAAAACTAAATCATTTTGTAAGTCAATCTTTCAAGCTAATAGAGGTCTAGTGGAAAGGTCTTATTTTTGCTACAGGTTACTGAAGTCAGTCAAAAATATTCATACATCAAGAGTTCTAGCTATGCCTGCACATGATGCTGAATTTAACCAAGCTAAAGAACGGTTAAACACTTTAACTGAGGCACCAGGGAATGATGTCAAACTTAAAATTTATGGTTTGTTTAAACAGGTAAATTATACAAAATTAATTACTGTTCTTCAGTATAATCTTATTGGAGAAGTGGGTGGATATTTTTATGTACACAATTTTAGATGACACTGTTTTAAAATTAATTTAATAATACTGTGGTCTGTGGTCATCAGTGATTAAAATTTGATTATTTTATGGTTCTTCCCAAGAACTCTAACAATTATTTTACAAGACATGTATTGTACAAATGTAGCCCTATTCTATAAGGACAATAAATCTGACAGTAGTCATTTGAAGTTGTTGATCACAAGATGCTCCTTAATCTCATGAATATAAAAACTGCATATAAATTTCAAGACAATTATAACTTTAAACTATAGCGTGCCCTCCAGCAACTGTAGACATTGAAATTGGACCACATTTCAAAGTGGGCGTATGAAAAGAAAAGCAATAAAATTACATATGCTCATCATTGGTCACAGTAGTGTGTCAATATTTTCTTTTTCTGCATAATCTTTTTATTAATATATTGTTGCAGGCAACTGAAGGAAAATGTACAAAACCAAAGCCTGGCATGATGGACTTAGTTGGTAAAGCAAAATGGCAGGCCTGGAGTGGCCTCGGAGTCATATCTCAGGTATATAAATGTATGAGATTATTCAATTTATATCCCTTTAATGTTTATTGGTTGACGGTTTCATACATAGATAATGATTTTTTGGACGCATGAAAATGAAATTCTCTATTTCCATGGTAACCTATAAAGCAAATTCTCCCAAAACTGCTGATAAGCCTTATTTTAGCTATTTAAACAATTCCTGGAAATTTCATTTTGATAGCACTATAGTATTAGAAATGAGTTATTTTAACATTCATATTTGTTGAGTACTGCCTCCATGTATACACAAGATGTCGATCATTATGGAGCATTTTGCCAAATTTCTATTTCATGGTTCATTTTATGGAAAAAAGACAAAAATCCACCAAATTAGCACGTTATCATAAGATAACTAGTATTTTCCATAAAAAAAACAGGCTAGTCGCTAGTCTAATTAAAACTAAGAAAGATGATTTAATTAACTTGCTCATATCTTACATGATTTAAATTTAATATATATATATATAATGATTTATAATAATACAGGATGAAGCCCAGAAGAAATATATTGATCTTGTAAATGAGTTAGTAGCAGCTGAGTCTGCAACAAGTTCTGCATCTGAATCAACTGGTGACAGCAAATTTAAGATGATCAATGTCACTAAAGAAAATAAAATCTACAAAATTACGTTAAATAGACCAAAAAAGAAGAATGCATTAAATCATCAGGTACATGTTTGTCTCATTTTAAAAAAAAAACCCAACAAGAACAAAAATTGAATAAATATATATTGCAATATATTTGATGACTAAGACAATTTGAACAATGCCAGATTTCCTCCTCCATCTGGAAAGACTATATTTCCCCCACCATTTACCAGAAAGACTGTATCCCCCCCCCCATTTAGTAAGACTAAATATCCCCCTCCATTTAGAAAGACTAAATATCCCCCTCCATTTAGAAAGACTATGTATAGAAAGACTATATCCCCCTCCATTTAGAAAGACTATGCATAGAAAGACTATATATCCCCCTTCATTTAGAAAGACTATGTATAGAAAGACTATATACCAGCCTCCATTTAGAAAGACTATACATGTATATCCCCCTCCTTTAGAAAGACTGTCTATCCCCCTCCATTTAGAAAGAATAAATATCACCCTCCATTAAGAAAGACTGTATAGAAAGACTATATATCACCCTCCATTTAGAAAGACTATACATGTATATCCCCCTCCTTTAGAAAGACTGTATATCCCCCTCCATTTAGAAGAACTAAATATCCCCCTCCATTTAGAAAGACTATGTATAGAAAGACTATATATCGCCCTCCATTTAGAAAGACTATACATATATATCCGCCTCCTTTAGAAAGACTGTATTTTTTTCTCCATTTAGAAAGACTGTATTTCCTCCTCCATTTAGAACTACTATATACCCCCCACCCCCTTTCCATTTAGGAAGACTGTATTTCATCCTCCATTTAGAAAGACTGTATTTCATCCTCCATTTAGAAAAAACTGTATTCCCTCCTCCATTTAGAAAAACTGTATTCCCTCCTCCATTTAGGAAGACTGTATTTTCTCCTCCATTTAAAAGACTATATATCTCCTGCCATTAGAAAGACTGTATTTCTTCCTCCATTTAGGAAGACTGTATTTCCTCCTCCATTTAGAAAGACAATGCCCCTCCTTTAGAAAAATTATATGTCCCCTTTCATTTAGAAAGACTATATATCCCCCTCCATTTAGAAAGATATTTGCCCCACATCATCTCAGTGGAAGCGAAAGTTTTAAATAAACTAAAATTGAATGATGATAAAACCGAATATTTGTTATTAGGCTCAAGGCATCAATTAAGTAAATCTGCACAAGATAACCCCCCTGTTATAATTGGTAATTGTGATATATTTTCATCTTATTCTGCTCGTAATATTGGCGCTATCTTTGATAGTTTTATGCTTATGGGAGCTCAAGTAAATAATATTTGTAAATTGTGCTATTTTAATATTAGAAATATAGGTAAAATACGTAAATGTGTAACTGTAGAGGCCACTAAGTCACTTGTTAATTCTCTGGTCACTTCTCGATTAGATAACTTTAATTCACTTTTAGTTGGTTTACCTTTAAAGCTTATAGATAAATTACAAAAAGTACAGAATACTGCGGCTAGACTTGTTACTTTAACTAAGAAATGTGAGCACATAACTCCTGTTTTATATAATTTACACTGGTTACCTGTTAAATATCGAATTGATTTTAAGATTTTATTACTTACTTTTAAATGTTTAAATAATTTAGCTCCTGTTTACCTCTCAGATCTTTTAGAACATTATACACCTGGCCGAACATTACGTACATCAGATAAACTACTTTTAAAGCCCAAAACTGTTCAACTAGTCTCTTATGGTTAGCGCTCTTTTAGTTATCAAGCACCTGTTTTATGGAATAATCTACCATTTAGTTTAAGATGTTGTACATCTCTATATTCTTTTAAAAAACAACTTAAAACACATTTATTTAATCAGGCTTTTAACTGACTCTGTATACAATCGTTAACATGCCCATAATCTTGTTGTTTATGTGTGATTTACATTGTCACTTTGTAAAGTGCCCCTGAACATGTTATATGAAAGGGTGCACTATAAATATGCTGTATTAATAATAATAATAATAATAATATTAATGATTTTAGTAATGATGACCGAGACTATGCAAAAATTTCACCCGCTTTTTTCTCGGCTCTTAGTGGATCAATTTGACTGAAATTTTCAGCAAATTACCTTTACACTATCTTGTTTTTAACTATTATAGCGAGAACTGCCATCTCTTTGTCTTATCTCCTTTAATGTATCTTTAAATATAAGTTTTTCTGTACCAGAAATCAGTTTAGATTTATAGAATAATTACTCTGTTTTTGTGATGGGTGAAACATTTACCCTACTGTATTCAATATGCCTTGATTCTATTGAATACTAAAATGTTTCTTAATTGACTTGGAGCATTTAGTTTTAGGCTACCCGTTTTCTTTTTTTATACATTTCAACTATGTGGTTACTTGTATAGTTAAATTTTATTATAATATGCTTACATTCATATTTCTTGTAACATATAGCAGATCATGACTCATGCTGGCATTACACAATGGTTTCTCTGGGTTATATTATTCCTTATTGTTTTCAAATTTGAGTGAAGTATGTGTCACTACAGACCCGGAACTGTACTGGGCAGTGGACGCTTACGGCTAGCCCCCGGATCCATTCACTTTATCTGAATTGTTCGTATGTTTGTGATTTCTGCGTATTGTCTTTGTTTTTGTGTAAATTATGTGTGGTGCAGTCCCCCAGCACTTACTAATATATTATACTAATATAGAAGTGACAAGTATTATTATACTTACATTGTGATTTAATGTGGCAGAAAGATGAATCCTGATATTGGTTCAGCCATATGTTGTTCCAGCATTAATAGTCTGTGCTGCAACTTTGTTAGCCTAATTACCACTGGAAATGCCTGAATCTCCATCTCATTTTTTAATGTTTTTTTCTGTAATAAATAAACAGTTTATTGATTTTATACCCTTTCTTTTGTAGATGTACGATGAAATAGTTCAAGCTTTGGATGAAGCAGGAAAAGATAACTCCACCTTAGCTGTGATAACAGGTACATTGTGTACAAGAATTTATTTTAACAGAAAGTTTGGCAGATGGTTTCTTGATGTTATTTCTGTATGGCATGGGAAATTCATTTAGAAAAAGAAAATCAAAATCAGAAATTTAATTATAAATCTGTAATTTTGAACATGTTAAATTAATGATGAAATTACTAATTTTCAAATTATTGTAATTCAAGTAAACAATAGCACATCAAACAAGACTTTATGCAAATTGAAATCTTAAAGGCTTTCTAATCCCAAAATTTAATTAGACAAACCCCACAAATATATTCATGATTATTTCTATGAAAAATTGGGATTTTTCCAATCTGATTAAAATACAGATCTATATTTCTTTTATTATACTTTTGATGGCCCACCTTACATGAAGATCTGACCAATTGTACTGAAAGGTCGCGTAAGGGGTCATACAAGCGACTTTGACCCTATGACATCAGACATGGAATAATCAGTCAGTGTTGATGTTTCTAGGAGTTTATCCACAGTTCCGTGCAGAAAACACCAAGAACTTGCCGTAACAGACCATTTCATTGGCTAATTCTTCACATCATCTAGAACGCCTGTTATATAACAACTCTTCCAGATACTAGTGTTGTAAAACAAAATTTTGAACTATAAAAAATGAAATGAAATAGGATCTGTGTTTTAGTCAGATTGGGATTTTTCTCTCAAAAATACATTTTTTAATATATAAAAAATTCAGTTCCAGAATACAATCAAGTGGCCTTTGGTAATTGACATGGGGGGAATCAAGTTACCTATATATTTATTTGAATTCTGTTAATCATTTTTTCTATCTTGGAAATATATTTTTATAGGAGCTGGTGATTATTTCTGTAGTGGTAATGATTTAGAGAATTTCACTAGTGGTGGGGATATACCTGGTATGGTTAAAACTGCTAGAGAGATTCTTTTGTAAGTAATAATATGTGAAATGAAATGGGGTTTAACTTCCTACTTTTCTGCACCAACTGATCTACTGGAGACACACAGTGTGCTATTAGAGACATTTGCCCGGACAGCATTGTTTCTGTCTAATAATTATATTTAATGAAAAGTACACCAGCTGCGTACAAAAGACATGATTTGATTTTCATTTGTACTTTCTACAGAAAATTTACCAATTATATGAATGCCGAAAAGTGTATACCTAAAATCTATCAAAAATATGCTTTCAATATTACCCTCCTATCAGTAACTATACTACCTGTTTACTTTCAGACGATTTGTTGGAGCATTTATATCTTTTCCTAAACCTTTGATAGGATTGATTAATGGACCAGCAGTTGGTATTTCAGTAACAACATTAGGACTGTATGATTTAGTGTACTGTACAGATAAAGTTAGTAATCGTAAATCTATTAAAACATGCTTAGGGTATGGACAGATAAACAATTTGATTTCTTGTTGCTTTACAAAAAGATAAATGTGCAATTAATTAATATGTGTCATCTATTTATTTTGGATTTGAGGCCTGGACATGGGCTAGTTAGAAATATTTCTTGTTCATGTTGATGACCTTTTTACTCCATTTAGATTTTGATACATGTTTTTGTGAAAGACTTAAGTAACTGATGAAACATTAATAAATCAGTTTACTTCTTCTTTGAAATAATGTTGACGTTAATGATTTTTTATACGCCTACATTTTCATGTGGATTTATATCGACGTCGCCCCTTTCCGTCCGTCCGCAATTTGTTTATGGACACTCTGCAGGTCACAATTCTTATCCGATTTTGACGAAACTTGAAATATAGGATTATCTGCAAAAGATCTCTGTTCCTTTCGAAACTACATGGATTATGGCCCCTAATCGTAAGAAAAATCACGTTTTTAGCTTGTGGACACTCTAGAGGTCATAATTTTTATCTGATTGCAATGAAACTTGAAATGTAAGTTTATAACCCAAAGATCGCGGTTCCTTTCGATATTCGCGCATATCGGACCGTAACTTCCTGGATTATGACCCCCGATTGCACAAAAATCATGTTTTTAGCTAGAGGCCACAATTTTTATCCGATTTGAAAAAAAAAAAACATTTAAGTATGTCACCGTTGCACCCTAGTGATAGTTTAGTTCGAATTTGTGAAAATTGGACCGAAACTGCCTGACAGAATGGCTGCTCCTTGTACGCAAATGGTGAAATAGTATATAATACCAAGGTTGGGGACACTCTAGAAGTCAGAATTTTGATGAAATTTAAAATATATGTTTATATTCCAAAGATCTTGGTTCCTTTCGATATTTGCGCATATCAGACGATAAGTTCCTGGATTAGGGTCCCTGATTGTACGAAAAATTGTTTCTTTTTTTTTACCTTTATCTCCGGCCATATCTTGCAAAATGTGGGCATATCTTGCATATCAACCTCTTGTTGTTGTTTTTTCAGGCAACGTTCCACACACCATTCTCTAATTTAGGTCAGTCACCAGAAGGTTGTTCATCTTATACGTTTCCTAAATTAATGGGAACAGCTAAGGTTAGGATGAAATCTCATTTGTTTAGATAATGAATATTATGTCTCATTGGATTCTGTTTGTGTGTAGTGTGGTTCTCCTTCACTTTTAGGTGTCAAACTAATAAGATGATAAATCATATATAAAATAAATGCATGAACTGTAATCGAGAATAACAATAATCTAGATATTAAATAGATTGGATGTGTGTCATATGCCTTTAAATATCTCAGGTAGTTTTTGTATTGAACTAGATATCGCATGTTTATTACAGGCCAGTGAACTTTTGTTGTTCAATAAGAAAATCACAGCTAAAGAAGCTTTAGAGAGAAATTTAGTAACAGAAGTGTTTCCTGATCATAGTTTCCAGAAAGAGACAACAACACGAGTAGAACAGTATGCTCAGCTACCCCCACAGGTTTGTTTGTGATATATACTTTAAAACAAGAAATTATTATTCTATATGCACACTTTCGTTAGTTCTATAGATTACAGCAATCTGATTAAAATACAGATATATATTTCGTTCCGTTTTTTTTATACTTTCCATATCCTACACTACATGAAGATCTAACCAGTTTTATTGGAAGGTCGTGTACAGGGTCGTACAAGCGGCTTTTGACCCTGTGACGCCAGACATTGATTAATCCATCAGCTTTGACGTTTCTTGTGGTTTATCCACAGTTCTTTGCATCGCACGCCAAGAACTCGCCGTAACAGATCGTTTCATTGACTAATCCCTCACTTCAACCAGTAAAGACATGTAAAACAAAATTTTGAACTATAAAAAAATGAAACAAAATAGAATCTGTGTTTTAATCAGATTGATAGATTACAGTGTGCACTATTATTGGGTAGTGTACTCCAATAATCTGAAATTGTATGTTAGTGTACATTACTATTGTATAACAAAATAAATTTTATAAGTTGGAAATATATAATATCAGAAATTTCAAGAAGACCTTGTTCAGCAATGGCATTTTAAGAAAACACTCACTTCAGAGTCAGCCTGTCAATGTTTTGTTTATCTTAGATTAAGGAATCATTTGTTCTGATGACAATATTTAGTATTAAATTAAATGGTCTACTTAACGGCCAAGGCCAGTCAGTCAGAACTAGCAAATATTTAAGATCAGAATGAGACCCCTGGTAAGCAGGTTATATTAATTATAGATTTCATAAATTCTTGTTTCATTGTAAAAACAGTATTCATAATAGTTCAACTATTGAGGAAGGGATATGGACTATCTTTATGTACTGTAGAAGAAATTTATATTTTTCATCTTCATTGATATTTCAGAGTTTACAAATATCGAAACGATTAAACAGAAGGGCAGAGATTGATTTATTACATAGAGTTAATGCTGATGAATGTGACGTACTTGTAGAAAGATGGCAGTCGGATGAGTGTATGAATGCAATTATGAATTTTTTCAAACAAAAGACATCAAAGTTATAAACTGACAATGTTTGAATGGTTATACAGGAGATATTATATTAACAACTTATAAATTATTATATAATGTGGGTGATTCATGTTTATTATTTACATTGACTTCATCCACCTTTAACATTTGATAATAAATTAAAATGTGAAGAAGTTTTCTTTGTTTTCTTCAATCTCAGCAGCTACTGTATCAAAATGAATATTTGAACAAATAAGTAGATTTACTTTATAGAAGCGGTCCCAGATTTTATTGGTTATGGTTGATCAAAGTATGCAAAGCCCAGGGTGTAAGGAAGTAACTCTTTAATTTACTTCATGGAAAGTTTGGCATCAAAATATTGATCTGTTTCAAATTGTAACATGCTTATGATCTCAGGACATGTCTATTGCACAATAACACCCCTCTAAAGGCAAAACAGGAAGTGTTTATCTCCTAAATATAATCCAGATAAAGATTTGCGGTCTACTGCCCATTGCTCAAGTGTACATTTTCATTACCTGGTACTTCAAAATCTTGATTGAGTTCTGTCCAACCTCGTGGGTTTTCTCCGGGTCCTCCGGTTTCCTCCCACTGCTAAAGACCCCTACGCGCAAGCGAATTATTGAAATAAAATTAAAACAAATTAAACCATATGTTAGTCCCGAAATGACCTAGTTTGTGTCGAGTGGACGTTAAACCCCATTTCTCTCTCTTTGATTGAGTTCGGTTGTGAACATTTTCTGCTTAGATTAAAGGAGCTAAATAGCTAATATTTAGGACCTAGAAATTGACCCAAATGGGTCTCAACGCATATAATAATTTAATCCGATTGTATATAAACTGATTTACATTCAGTTGTTTCTGTTTTGACTCTAATTTCAAATCAGTTTTCTCCAGCGAAATACGGCATGAGTTTCAACCGAATTGCTATTTCTAGCGTCTTTTATTCCAGTCTATTGTGCATGCTCTCTTGGCGTCACCGTTTGACACGAGTTGTGGAATATGTCTAGCCTAGTTCTTTCTGGTCACTTGTTACAAATGATGCTGAAACGCACTATGGTACACGATTCGTGTACCAATGGTAAAATGTTTATTTTATCTTAAAAATTGGATATCAGAAGCCTACCTTTTCCCAGTAAGATCACAACATCAATGTTGATTTGAATTGACAAATAATTTGTGTTTTCAACGGGTAAGACTTGGATGACATTGAGTCAGAGACTTAGTTACTTTATTAAGTATGGATAATCAGTTTGATTGCTGGATACTTTTCAAAAAGATACATGTACAATTAATTAATATGTATCATCTATTTATTTTTGGATTGAGGCAGGGAGATTGTGGTCATGAGAGGAAGAACCCTATTGTTATTTATGAAGGTCCACAACAGAGTTTTTCCCCCATTTACCAAAAACCCTGAAAAATCAATTGCAGCTATAGTTTTTAACTGATTCCTTTCAAATTTTGTGGGAAGCATTGGGGCCTATGAATATTTAGCTTTCTGAATTTTTAAGTTCTTGAGTCACCCCGTTTGCTTAAAACCTTGTGAAGTCAATTGAGGCTACAGTTTTTAACAGCCTGGAGGTCGGGTGTTCGATCCCTGCATTGGCCGAGAAAGCTCATCCAGATTTTCCAGCGTGGTTTCCCCTTGTCAGTGATGCAGGACAGAGGGCCTGACAAGGACAGCTGTCTAGTCATTCAGATGGGACGAAAAACCGAGTTCCCGTGTACACAATGGTGTGCACGTAAAAGATCCCTTGGCAGTTGGAATTCGATATAAGAGTAGGCTGTAGTGCCGCTGCCCTGGCAAAATTTCCCTCATAGCACACTGTATGACGTATGCCCGTCTTCATTAGCCCAGTTTAGGAGTAGGACGTTAAACCATATTTCATTTCATTTTTAACAGATTCTCTCTTAAATTTGGTGTGAAGCATTGTAGCCACGAGAGGATGAAACCTTTCAATATTCAACATTTTCCGACTTTCATTTCTGGAGTCCCTTGCCAAAATATGGAATTTGGTCGACATCCAAGTTTTTCTTCTTGGATAAGCTGCTGTTTAAATATTGCTGCTGTGTGGACATATATGGATCTAATAATGGTTCAATTTTATTTCAATTCTTTTCTTGTGCATAGTGGTCTTTAGCAGTGGGAGAAAACTGGAGGACCCAGAGAAAACCCACAAGGTTGGACAGGCAACCCTATTCCTTCTCACGTACAAGTGCAGGATCAAAACCACGCCACTTGACTCGATGACAGATCTTTTTATCTAAGACGCACCTGTTATAGACTACTCACCACCTCTTAACTGCCAAATGAACGGGCAGAAAGAAAATTGGTACACCCTTCGGGTAGGCGACTAATAAACCACCAAAACAATTTGATACAATTTTTATTTCTCAGTAGTAGTATTAATAACAACCTGTGAGGAATTATATTTAAGAAACATATCCACATTTATAAATGATAATGAAACAAAGCTAAATACATATATTAAGAGTTATCAAAATATGTGAAGTCCCAACTTCTCCAGATAGCACGGAGCATGAAAATTGACAATTTTAAACACCTCACAAGACAAAATAAGTTATTTTGTTTTCTTTATGGATTTCTTCTTTGTAATCCAACCTTCTTCAGGTATTGTCACATTCAAGAGCTCTCTTTAAAACAAATTTAAGTAAATGTATAGTGACCAAAAAATACGATTTTTTCCCTTCAAAATCTATTAATAAGATAGGTTGCCAGGCAACGAAACATACACCCATAGCAGCTAAGTCGTCCGGGGAGTCAACAAGGGTTGTTGCATATTAATGAAAACATTATTACAAAATTACAAAACACTAAAATCTGATTACAAGTAACAACCCATTTGGCTTCTAGTTTTGCCCTATTCTAACATTTAGCATACAAATCATTTAATATCAATTGCCATAATCATTGGAAATCAATGAAAATTGATAGGCTTCTTCGTTTCATGACCTTAAACACTGTATTAAATATAAAGTCAATTGAATAAACTTTAGCCTCTAAAGCATCCACAAGATATTTCTAAGTGATCAATAACTCGGGCAGTAATTGTCGGAAATCATTGAAAAACAATAGGCTTCTCCGTCTCATGACCTTAAACACTGCGTATAAATTTAAAGTCAATCAGTTATTAACTTTAGCATCTAGAGTGTCCACAAGATATTTCAAAGTGATCAAGGGCCATAACTCTGGCAAAAATGATCAAAAATCGTTGAAAATCAGCTTCGTCTCATGATCTTAAACACTGTGTATAAATTCAAAGTCAATCGGATATTAATTAGGGCTGTAGACAGGCGGACCCACAGAGGCGACGACAATATACAACCACATTTCAATGTGGCCGTATAAAAAAGGTGAATCAACTGATCTATGCTTGCATGATTTGAGTATTTCTTTTGCAAATTCACTTTAATAATCAGATGCTGCCTGGGTCCACTGGGACTTGATTAGACCTTTTTGACTTGGATCAAATATAAATATGCCAAATTTATATTTAATTTTGACTTAAATTAAAGAGGATCTAATGACTAAAGATATTATGTAAAATATTTCATCTAGAACATAAAAGATTTTTTTGCATAGGACTAGTATACATAAATTTCCCAAGGTCAGGGGAAGAAAACATCCCTTCGTCCCCTAGAATTTAAAGTCTGCTAACCCACTTAAAGTATAGTAAACAGATCCCCAGTTAGTCATACAAATGCACATCACTAGTCAGAAAAACAATTGTCAGATTGTTTTTTTTTTTTCATTTTCAATCTCAGGAATTTCTGTTATTAAAAGTTCCTAAAGAGAAAAACCAAGCCAATGGAAATTAATGGGTAACAGTTGTTTCTTTTAAATCAATTTTAGACATTTTGTTCTACAGCAGATGGATGTAGTCTTCATGTACCTGAATATGCAATCTGATTAAAATACAGATCTATATTTTGTTTCATTTTTTTTTATACTACATGAAGATCTGATCGGTTATAGTGGAAGGTCACATCAGAGGTCATACGGGTGGTTTTTGACCCTATGATGTCAGGCATTTGAATAACCAATCAGCATTGATGTTTCTAGTGGGTTACCCACTACACCATCCAGAATGTGGGTTATATAACAACTCTTCCAGATCCTACTGTAATAAAGACAATGACCTTTTGAACTATAAAAATGAAACGAAATAGGATGTGTTTTAATCTGATTGGTGAATATATATCCCTTTTATTCCTCATGTAGGTAGCTTATTCTGAATATAAAAGGCATATGATATGATATATGAGTTGGTATATCTAGACACAAAACTATTTGCGTAATTCACATACCTGGTAGTGGTAGTTAAAGCAAAGGAATAATTTTAAATCTAAGGCGATATAAAACAAACTACATAGTTAATATCAACTATACGTATGTTTTTTTTTATTATAGGACTAATGCTGTAATACTCTCCTTAACAAAATAATATGTACAAATATTTACAAAATAACATACTAGAAAAAATATACTTTCAACAAATTATTTACACACACTTTAAACCACAGCCGACATGGAACCCATGCTTTAAACCTTAACAATGGACTTAAAGATAGAGACAATATAATAGTTGGTGAAATCTTGATCTAGTCTACAGAATTTATTCAGATATCTTCCTGCTTTAATATAATACAAACTGTCAGAGAGTCAATGACAATATTTCACACACACAGTATTGGCAAGAAAGATTCTGTTAAGTTCAAACTAATATCTATTAATAAAAGAAGTAAATATTACTTCCTGAATTCTTTATGTGGTTATAATTCAAACAACATTCTATCTATACAAACTTAAAGTGGCAGTTGTTAGGATAGTAAAATACATTAATAAAACAGTTACATTGTGCATTTTATAATATAAATTATAATATACCGTGTGCAGAATATGATACCAAACTGACACTTGAAACCGAGAAACAGATGTTTTAAATCTAAAGTTGCTGATCGTCATTTGCATTCGACAATAGTTATTTTTTACGACTTAATAGATGCTAAATGTACCTAAATTTGTTCATTAACATTTGAGAAAAGAGATTTCAAAATATCAACGCTAGATTAATTCTTGGTTTGGATTCAATAAGATTAAAAAAGAGGCCTATTAAAAAAAAAAAAAAATTTTTTTTATAGGTGTTGTTCTTGAATCAATATTCTTTTTCGAGATTCATCTTTCAATGAAAATCAGAGACTTTAAACTTTCAAGCCTTTCAGAAAATTCAATTATTTTAATAATTGCAATTAAGCATGTTTATCTATGTAGGACAGTTCTTAAAGATTCAATATATCGAAATGTCTTGATTGAAGTGAGAATGTCTCTTTAAGGTTATATATTGGTTAAAGGGGAAGACCAACGATTTTCAATAAGGTTTCCATAAATAATAAATATATATTTAGAAATAATCCCTCCTACAACATATGCAAAAAATAATTTGCAAGCGAGAAATTAATTTTTATTAATACCGGAAGTGACGTAGTTGGTTCGACATGCTCACTGGTCACTATAGTAAACATACAAATTTGGAGCAAATTTAGCGCTGTATTTTGTTCGGCAACCAGTTCGGTCGAATAGGTCGCTAGCCGAATAGGTCGCCAATTTGTGTTCAGTTAATATCTGTCACGTGCCAGCTATCACGTGATGTAAACAATTAGCCATGTGGCTTAAATTGTGTCACAGTCTCCAGTTTAGAAACTTAATTTACACAAACGCGTTGTATATTATACCTTCAAAACACCGTAAGTTCTTGTTCTTAATATCCTAATAAAGATTACCTTTCATCAGATTTTCTGCCAAACGGCGAAACGATCACAAAATACAGCGCTAAACTTACTCCAAATTTGTATGTTTACTATAGTGACCAGTGAGCGTGTCGAACCAACTACGTCACTTCCGGTATTAATAAAAATTAATTTCTCGCTTACAAATTATTTTTTGCATATGTTATAGGAGGGGTTATTTCTAAATATATATTTATTATTTATGGAAACATTATTGAAAATCGTTGGTCTTCCCCTTTAAGAATGAATGAATACCTTATTATGTTTTGATAGATCTAATATCGAAACAGAGTAACAATTTATATATATTTACAACCTTTTTTAATAACAAATCAAAACAAACAATACATCGGCTACTTATAAATAACAATCTGTTTGATTTATTCAATTTCGAACAACTCAAAGACACAAAATAACTCCATGCAGGAAGTGTTAAAGACGAGTAGAAATACCTCAGGTACAGTAAAGGTAAGGATAAACTTGGGACAATGAAGAAAATATCTATAAATTGGCATCAGTTGATAAAGAACTTGTCAAGTTGGTTGCTTGGAGACTTCCTAGAGAACAAAGCTAATAGGGGAGTAGTTACATTTTGATTTAGTGTAGATCAATAAAAGATTAAAATTGTGGAGGTAGTCTTAAAATGACAATATCTTAATTTTGACAGCTTCTTGTGAGAACTATCAGAAGATAAGAGACATCGAATCTGATAAATAAACAAAGTTGAGTTCTACACACACAAGATACAAATATATTGGCATATAGGACAACCCAAAAAATTTGAGTTTCCAATGTCTATTTACAATAAAATGAGGTACAATTACAAAAAAAAAAATCTCAATGTAATGTTTATATATGTTTTTTAATTCTTAAAACCTGTCTTTTAAGGCTATTGTTATCACAATAAAGTTTGTATGGTGAAATAACCATAATCTACATGAACAATTGCACCAACTCAAGCACTTTACTGCATATCAAAAATTTTCCATTATGGGCAATGAGCTCCAATTGGCTGTTTATTTTTAATAATAAGGTTAAACAGGGATAAGGATAGTAACTGATCATAGACTTAGTTTCTCTGGATTGATGTGTAAGTATTTATGTTAATGTCGAAATAATAGTGGCAATTCCCAACAGGATAGATGGATAGAGAACAAGCTAAAAGAAAACCAAAACAGCGATTTTTTGTACAATCAGGGGCCATAATCCAGCAAGTTATGGTCTGAGATATTTGGGATATATTTTAAGTTAAAAAATTGTGACTTCTACAGAGTTAATCAAAATTGGAGAGAAATTGTGACCTCTAGAGTGCCCACAACCTTGGTATTACATACATTTACACTATTTGCGTACAAGGAGCAGCCATTTTGTCCGGCAATTTAGGTAAGATTTTTACGAAATGCGAACTCAACATTCATTGATGTGTAACGGTAATATATTTAAACAATTTTTAAAATCGGATAAAAATTATGATCCCTAGAGAATCCACAAGCTAAAAAACACGATTTTTCGTACAATCAGGGACCATAACTCAAGCAGTTAAAGTCTGATACGCACGAATATTGAATGGAACCAAGATCTTTGGGTTCTAAACATAAATTTAAAGTTTCAACAAAACTGGATCAAAATTGCATCCTCTAGAGGTCCGCAACCTTGATATACCATATATTATTTACACTATTTGGATACAAGGATCGGCCATTCGAACCATCATTAGGGTGTAACAGATATATATTCAAACAGTTTTTTAAATAGGATAAAAATTGTGATCTCTAGAGGGACCACAAGCTAAAAACATGATTTTTCGTACCATCAAGGGCCATAATTCTGGAAGTTACAATCCGATATGCGCGAAATATCTAATCAAAATTGGATCAAAATTGTGACCTCTAGAGGGTCAACAAAATTTGCGTAAAAGGTGCAGCCATTTTGTCAGACATTTTTGGTCAGATTTTCATGAATTTGAACTCAACCAACATTACGGTGTAGTAATATATTCGAATATATTTTTAAATAGGATAATAAATGTAACCTCTAGAGGGACCACAAGCTAAATACGCTATTTTTCGTACAATCAGAGGCCATAATTCTGGAAGTTACGATCCGATATGCGCGAATATCGAAAGGAACCAAGAACCAAGAACCAAGATCTTGGGGTTACAAACCTGCATTTCAAGTTTCATCAAGCTAAAAATGTGATTTTTCGAACAATCAGGGGCCATAATCCATATAGTTCTAGTCCGATACATGCCAATATTGTAAGAATCCGAGATCCTTTGGAGATAGACCTATATTTCAAATTTCCTCAAAATTAGATAAAAATTGTGACCTCTAATTGTGGACGGACGGATGGATGGGGGTGATGACATAAAAATGTGGGTGTATAAAAATCATAATGCAGAAACAAAAAAATCATTCTGATTTCTATTTTGAAACCTTTTGACTAGTTTACCAAGTTTTATCCATATCCCTGTTATCCAGATATTTTGAGTGTAAAAGTCAATATAAACACATAAATTGAGACGGCAAAATAAAATCCATGATATTTATACACCTAATTAAAATACAAATAATTATTTTTGGTAGGGCATAGTCTTCAAATAGAAAGCACTTATATATCATATTTACACATTAAATACACATTAGCGTTTCACTATAACGCTGATATAGGGCCGGGTCACTTACATATTTCAAATTATAACTGGATCAAAAACACTATAGGTATATCCATCATAAATTCTAATATTGATTTTAACATATCAAATAAATAAACAAAGAATAAAAAAAAAGGACTTAATCCAAGTCTTTTGGGGATATTCTCTGTAATGGATTTGTTTCTTGTTCCAGTGCACCAGGCGTGTTGAGTTGTCCATCGTTCTGGAAGTTGACACCTAGATTATCAACCAGATTTCTGTCCAAATCCCCTTCCTCATCCGTCAAATCAAAAAGATTAAGAGGAACACCATCATTAGGGTTGAAATGCATCACTTCATTACCTACAATAGAATGAGATGTTCTTTAAAAATACAATTTCTTTCTCACACCAGCGGCTGTCAGGCAGGATACGCCCACATTTTCGAGAGATGGATAGAGAACAAGCTAAAAAGGAAGAGATTTTTCCTACAATCAAGGGCCATAATTAAAAAAAATTACAATTTGAAATGCGCAAATATCGAAAGGAACCGAGATCTTTGGGTTATAAAATTACATTTCAAGTTTCAACAAAATCGGATAAAAATTGTGACCTCTATAGGGTCCACAACCTTGATATACCATATTTTTACGCTATTTGAGAAAGAGGGGCGGCCATTTTGTCTGTCAGTTTTGGGCCAATTTTCACAAAATTCAAACTCAGCCGTCCTTAGGGTGAAACGGTGATATAATAATACGTTTTTTAAATCCGATAAAAATGACGACCTCTATAGGGCCCACAAGCTAAAAACGCGATTTTTCGTACAATCAGGGGCCATAATTCAAGAAGTTACGGTCCGATATGTGCGAATATCGAAAGGAACAGAAATCTTTGGGTTATAAACTTACATTTTAAGTTTCAACAAAATCGGATAAAAATTATGACCTCTATAGGGTCCACAACCTTGATATACCATATTTTTACGCTATTTGAGAACAAAGGGCGGCCATTTTGTCTGTCAGTTTTGGGCCGATTTTCACGAAATTCAAACTCAGTCGTCCTTAGGGTGTAACGGTGATATAATATTAATACGTTTTTTTAAATCGGATAAAAATTATGACCTATATAGGGTCCACAAGCTAAAAACGGGATTTTTCATACAATCAGGGGCCATAATTCAGGAAGTTACATTCCGATATGCGCGAATATCGAAAGGAAGCCAGATCGTTGGGTTATAAACTTACATTTCAAGTTTCAACAAAATCGGATAAAAATTGTGACCTCTATAGGGTCCACAACCTTGATATACCATATTTTTACGCTATTTGAGAACGTAGGACGGCCATTTCATCTGTCAGTTTTGGGTCGATTTTCATGAAATTCGAACTCAGCCATCCTTAGGGTGTAACGGTGATATAATAAAATGTTTTTTTAAATCGGATAAAAATTATGACCTCTATAGGGTCCACAAGCTGAAAACACGATTTTTCGTACAATCAGGGGCCATAATTCAGGAAGTTACGGTCCGATATGCGCGAATATCGAAAGGAAGCCAGATCTTTGGGTTATAAACTTACATTTCAAGTTTCAACAAAATCGGATAAAAATTATGACCTCTATAGGGTCCATGCATGGAACTGTGAGTAAGCCACTAGAAACGTCAACGCTGATTGATTTATCAATGTCTGACGTCATAGGGTCAAAAGCCGCTCATATGACCCCTGATACGACCTTCGAGTACAACTTGTCAGATCTTCATGTAGTGTAGACTGTCGAAAGTATAAAAAAACGAAACGAACTATAGATCTGTATTTTAATCAGATTGATAATAAATTGATTTGTTTTAAAGGAGCTAAATCAATAACATTTGGGACCTAGAAATTGACAAAAGTGGGTCGCAACGCATATAATACTGTAATATGAATGTATATAAACTGATTTACATTCAATGGTTTCCGTTTTTACTCCAATTTCAAATCAGTTATGTTCGGCGAAATATACTATTCAAAAAAAGTAGGGGATATTTGATTTTGGGGGCATAAGACTAAAATATGCAAATGACTACGAAAAAAGTCACTATAAAACCTAACAGAAGAAACATTTCCAGTTACATGTGACGCCCAAACGCACCAATAGCTACCGCATGGAATGCAGGTGATGCTTGGGATCATCATGGGGGTCCAACCCAAGATTTGCACGACTCTGACTTTGAATGTTACAGTCATTGTGGCATTGAATTCCAGGGTGGAAACATCAGTTTAATTGTTTTAGTGACCAGAAAACAAATTTTGATATGCGTCGGCTTACCCAAAATGAAAGGTTACGTGCCCTTGGCATGCTACAGATCGGCACAACACAGGCGGTTGTGGCGCGGACGATGAATGTTTCTCAGTCTGTCATAAGCAGGCTATGGTCCAGATACCGTGATACACATTCTGTACAGGACAGACCACGCTCAGGTCGACCAAGGGCGACAACTCAAGCCCAGGATCGATTTATCCGTACCTTGGCCTTGAGAAATCGTGTCATCACAGCAAATCAGATCAGCGCTCGTCTTCAAACAGACACTGGTGTGAGAGTGAGTGGCCAGACGATTCGGAATCGACTGCATAGGGGTCACCTTCGCGCCCGACGTCCTCGCGTGATCCCTTGTTTGAGAGATCATCACATTCAGGCAAGACGTCGTTGGTGTAGGGATCGTCAACACTGGGATAATCGACGCTGGAGCAATGTGATGTTTTCAGATGAGTCAAGGTTCACTGTTGATTTTTTGGACAGACGTAGGAGGGTGTGGCGTCGTCGAAACGAGCGCTTCCAAGACGTTAACGTCATCAGACATTATCGATTTGGGGGTGGTTCTGTTATGGTGTGGGGAGGCATCACTGTTGCTGGAAGAACGGCTTTACATGTTGTTGCAGGGCGTGTTACAGGCCAGTACTACCGGGACAACATCTTGGCAGTCCATGTTGTGCCGTTCGCACGACGTCATGGCCGCCGTTTCATCTTCCAGGATGACAACGCAAGATGTCACAGGGCCAGGATCGTTACAGGTTACCTCCAACAACAGAACATAACCACATTACCTTGGCCAGCACTGAGTCCCGACCTCTCCCCCATCGAGCATGTCTGGGACATGCTTGGACAGAGGTTACGTCAACGTCAACAACGTCCTGCCAATGTCCAAGAACTTGCTGCTGCGTTGCAACAGGAATGGGACAATCTGGACCAAAATGACCTTAGACGTCTCATTAGGAGTATGCCACGTCGGATCAATGCTTGTTTGGCAAACAGAGGAGGATTTACCCGTTACTGACTTGGTTGTGATGCTGTGGTAACTTTGCTGTTTGACACCGGGTATCATTTTACCCTTATAATGGTCAGTCTGTGCCTTACTTAGTCTAACGATCATTTGGAATAAATCGATGAATGTGAACTTCATTTCATTTTGTCATTTGTTTCTTCGTCAGTTTCATTAGGTGACTTTAATAACACTTAAAAATCAAATATCCCCTACTTTTTTTGAATAGTATAAGTCAGCAGTCTCAAGCGAGTGCAAATTTCTAGCGTCTGGTTATTCCAGTCTACATACGCTGTTTGATTTGGTGCAATGTGTCTAGCATCGTCCCTCGAGTCTCTTGATACAACTAGGGCTGAAGTGCATTATGGTACACGATTCGTGTACCAATGGTAAAATGTTTATTTTGTCTTAAATATTGGATATCAAAAGCCCATCTTTTTCCAGTAAGGTCACAACATGAATGTTGATTTAATTTGACAAATAAATCGTGTTTTCATTGTTGAAGATTTTCGATGATAATGAGTTAGAGACTTAGCTACTTTAAACAAAAATACTTCCTAACGTATAAATATTTGTTACTTGTATCATACAAAAGATGGGGAAATTTCAAACCTTGACTGGTTTGGAAAAAATATCTGCAACATGGGCAATAACCGTTAACTGTGAAAGTCAAGGGAGGTTACACGGACAATTACTGCTTCATGAAAATATTTTAATATCATGAAAGTACAGGCCTCATGTTCACAAAGCATTCTCAGACTTAAGCTAAGAAGTTACTCAAAATTGTTCACCTTATTTTAACTGAAATATAACCTTTATAAAACTTTTTGTTTTCTTAAATAATATATCAATAAATACATCAAAGTTTTGTGTTTTTGGACCAAAGACATTTCTCATAAAGTGATAGAAAGTTGAGTAAATTCTTAATGTAAGTCTGAGAATCCTTTGTGAACTTGGGAGCAGGAAAGGGGGCATTATAAAATGGTGATTGAGAACATTGGTATTAAATGAAATCAACTAATATAGTTAACTTACCAGAAAGATCTGTTGATGAGTTTGTGTTTGAATTAATGATCGGTGTTGTGTTAAAATCATCATCAAACAACTATAAAATAAACCATACAATTAATTCAAACTCCTTGTTATTTATTTGAGTGGCTTTAAATAGTTGTTAGATCTATAACATTGCTATTTGAATATTTGCATCATTATTTGATGCCAATTGAAACTAATGATCAGCTTTTTATCTCCAACATGACTGATATATTTAATATGTTAATTCAATGTAATCAACTGAAATTCCAGAAAAATAAGGAGATATGAAAAACATATTGATTTTAAGGATTCACATTTTCTAGAAATCTGAAAAAAAACACCCACAAACAACAACAATGCTGACATAGATCATTTATATTGAATAGTAATAATAGTATAGTCTTAATAGCATGTATTGACTTTGAATATTTTAACAGTAAAATCAGCATTTGATGTTACCACAAGGTTGCCATCTTTCCAGTAATGTTTGCTTAACCGTATTGGGAATAAGCAAGTTACCCCACTTTAAACAAACCAATAATCTCTCAGTATGACACAAAGTAACAATTGCTTAAAATATTAATAGAAAATGTTACAAATGTGTCAAAATAAATGTTTGATTGAACAGTTCAGTTTTAATGTCTACAGAGTTTAAAGGTGTTAAACCTCTTTGATTTAGATAAAAAAAATACTATATCAATTTTTGTTTTTCAAAAAATTAAACAGCAGTTTCATTTTGGCTTACTTTGTCAATGATGGAAAAACAAATTGCTATTCCTTGGAACAAACCCATGAGCTCAAGCCATTATAAGTCAATCTAAATAATTTTAACAAGAAAGATAGGTTGCCAGGCAACGAAACATACGCCCACAACAGCTAAATTGTCTGGGCAGTCAACAAGAGTTGTTGCATATTTTTACTTTTTTTCGGTAATGAAACATTTATAATACACTAAAATCTGATTAAGAGCAACAACTCATGAAGTAATTATCAGAAAACCATTAGAATTTGTTTGTTTTTCTTAAGTTCTGCCCCATGCTAACCTTTTGTATACAAAACTTTTAATATCATGGATTTAGCTGTTCAAGACATAAAAATTCATTGAAAATCAATATACTTGTTCGTCTCAAGATCTTAAACACTGTGTATCAATCTAAAGTCAATCGGATGATAACTTTAGCCTTTAGAGCGTCACAAAGTGATCAAGGGCCATAACTTTGACAGTAATTATCAGAAATCATTGAAAATCAATAGAATTCTTTGTCTCATGACCTTAAACACTGTGTATAAATTTAAAGTCAATCGGATATTAACTTTGGCCTTTAGAGCGTCCACAAGATTTTTTGAAGTGATCAAGGGCCATAACTCTGGCAGTAATTATTGGAAATCGCTGAAAATCAATAGGCTTCTTCGTCTCATGACCTTGAACACTGTGTATAAATTTGAAGTCAATTGGATATTAACTTTGGCCTTTAGAGCGTCCACAAGATTTTTTGAAGTGATCAAGGGCCATAACTCTGGCAGTAATTATCGGAAATCACTGAAAATCAATAGGCTTCTTCGTCTGATGACCTTAAACACTGTGTAAAATTTTCTAGGTCAATCGGATATTAACTTTGGCCTATAGAGCGTCCACAAGATTTTTCAAAGTGATCAAGGGCCATAACTCTGGCAATAATTATCGGAAATCGCTGAAAATCAATAGGCTTCTTCGTCTCAAGACCTTAAACACTGTGTATAAATTTAAAGTCAATTAGATATTAATTTTGGCCTCTAGAGTATCCACAAGCAATTGTGGACGCCGGACGGACAGGGCAACGACAATATACGACCACATTTCAATGTGGCCGCATAAAAAAAAAGTAAAAGACCTGGTGTCAACCTCATCACATCTAATTTTTTTCAAGAATAAAATACATGTGTGATGTTCAGAAAAATATAAACTAAATGAAACTAATTTAATTTTACTTAGATTGACCAATAACAACATCTCTCTATTCGACCATGTGTGTTAGCTAAAACATGATTATAATGGAAAACCATCATACTAGCAAAAATCAGATTCAAGAAATAAATACAAAGCTAGATGACCTATAGCTAATATATTATAACTTAAACTTACAGCATCACAATTTGGTAATGGACTCTCTGGGGTGAAAAGCTGTTGAGAAAAACATACATATTTACAAACCACTGCAGTGCTTTCTTTTTACTAAGAGTCCAGATTAAGAGGTGCAAAAAAAATTGTTTATTATATATGTTAGCAACAAAACAAAAGATCTTATTAAAGTTCCTAAATTTAAATGTGTGAAATAAAACTTATTAAATAGGTTAGTAACGAAACGAAACAAGCCCCAAATATATCGACAAGCAGCAAAGTCATCCGTGTTAAATAACACTGCAAACAAATCCCATGTGGCAAGTTTTAAAAAAACCAAACTATTATTAACTCTATACTAAGTATCAAAATGAAAAAATAACCGGACACAAAGAGTTCAAAATTTACGATCCTCTAATTTGAAATTGAATCTAATTGATTTTCAAAAATATTCTTTAGTTTTCACAAAATTTCAATATTTTGAACGTAAATGAGGAATAACATGAGTATTCTTTAGGGCTAAAACAATAATACCACCAAGTTTTAAAACACTGAGGGTCCCTTAAAACATCCCAATTTGTATTTTACAACTTTTGAATTTTGATTGAGTTCTTCATTAAGAACATTTGAACAATCCCTGTGAATTTGAAAAAAAAAACCTGTAGTGTGTAGAGCATTCACAAGGAATGTGGGGCGCATCGATGGACACATGGTCAACAAAATACACCCACATATATGTGGGCATATAAAAACTACATACTTATTGCAGATAACCAGAACACAAATCTCATTAAAAATTACAAACTCAGTTTAGACTGTTAAGATAGACATGATCTTGAAATTTTTCTCCAGTAATCAGATTTTGGTTCCTTTCCAGATGTTTGTATCACAAAGGTGTAAAAACAAACAGAACTAAAGTGTTATAATAAAAGTCGTATAAATTTACCCCAAGTAATGTATTACTGTCCATATTAATGAACTGTCCACTTGCTAGAAATTCTTTTAAACCATCCAAATCTTTTTGCATCAGATCTAACTGTTCATTTACCACATGTCTACAATATAAAATTAACAAACAAATGTTTAAACTCCCATCATTGTTTGATTTCCTCCTTACAATATTATTAGTCCCTCTTTTTCTTAACATGGTATTTGCCTGATTATTAAAAAGAAAAATCATTTCATTTGCGAATAATACTGATTTCCTGCTTCGCCATACAGTGAATTTTCAGAATCCACAATTCCTAAGTTTTGACATATTTTGATAAATTGTACCGTTTGGTTAAATTTAACTTCAACACTATAATATCTATACATCAGTGCAACAAAGAATAGCTAGTGATAGAAACACCTCAATTGAGAAATGAGTGAAAGCATATCCTGCACATTGCACAATACCTGTCATTACATACAGCTAACCTGAGGAAAGGTGTGGGCCTGGGTTTTTGAAGCTAAAAACTACTTGGTAAAATATAACCACAGGGTCAGCAGCCACTAGTAGTCACCAGCCTTCTGGTCTAAATTTTATCATAAATATAATATAAAAATTGTTTGCTATACAACCTTCCCAATTACATGGGAAGTAGTATCTGGTGTTCTAGTAATACATGTAGTAAGCATACCGTCCTTTATGATGTAGGCTGTGATATTAGGAGCTGAGGATACTTGGTAGACGGTAACGTCAGGGGCAATAGCAGAATCACTAACCAAGTACAAAAGTACAACAAAAATTGTTAGCTATGTTTAACTTTCCATAATTAAAATTTTAAAGATTGGGGGAGGGAAGTGGAGGCATTTCTGAGTGGGCCAACCCATGCCCAGCTGATCATAAAGTTTATTACTGTATCTAAGCAAGCGTGGCATTTTCAGTTCCATTGTTACGGGACAAAGAGTAGAGTTGCATGCCCAACCTTTCAGTTTCTATGCTGTTGTCCTACTGCCAAAGACTCCTGTGTGCAAGAGAATTATTTAAATAAAGCCATACCATGTTAGACCCAAAATTACCGTATTTATGATGAGAATAAATTATAGTATACTCTCTATATCTCTAAACATGAATGAAAAGTGCTTATAATAGACAATATACTATTCCTACAGCTATATAACAGAACAAAAAGTAAAAGTAGAAAAAAACATACTTCGGACATTCAGGAGAAGAACTCGTAAGTGTAGAAGTACTTGGACATACAGCCACAGATTTCTCATTTTTAGTTTGTTTATGGACTGTATTATTACTGGACGTAGGAAGTATTTGATCTGTATCTGTCACCTGACTGGGTGACACCATGTTAATCATATCATTGAAATTTGTTGACATCACCAGCTGATCTGATTTGTCTTCTGCACTTTGTGGTGACTGAGCCTGCAAATAAACAAAATTATCATAATCAATGATAAAACGCGAGCAATACATTCCTTTAAAAGAAAAGGCAGCTGCAAAAAGTATTTTGCCTAAAGAGTTTACTGTATCTACATAATGGATTACTAATCATAATTTTGGGAATATTGTAAATTCGAAAACTACAACAATCAAACGAAATGACCTTTCTTTATCTGAAAATATCTTACAATAACTCCTCATCTAACATCTTGCAAATCATGAATTTGTAATTATACTACACATTGTTAGTTTCTAAATAATGGTCTCAAAACTGTACACTTGTAAACTAGATGCTTGTTTTTGTGGTGCTATAGAAATGGACATTTAATATTATAAACTGGACAGTGGTAATGACAACTGGCTTTTTGTTAAAATTCTAAACAATTTCTACAACTTTCTACACAATACAGGCACAACAAGCCAGATCAGTCACATATATTTAAAAATTAAAAAAATAGGTTGTCAGGCAACAAAACATATGTCCACAGCAAATAAGTTGTCCAAGCAGTCCACAAGGTAAAATCTTTAGACGGTATAATATCATAGGCTTTTTTTTGCTTTACTACTTTAAATAATGTGTATAAATTTCATACTGATCAGAAAATAACTTTTGTTATTACAGCGCTCACAAGATTATACAAAGTGAAACAAGGGCAATAAAGGACATCATAATTTATAGTCTTAGAGTATGAGTTAAATTGTGATTTTTTATCAATGAGGCAGAAAAAGTCCTTGTGTTTACACAGGTATATATTTACCTGCGTCGTTTGAACAAAATTGGGTTGTATGGTGTTAGGTTGTATGGTGTTGGGTTGTATGGTGTTTGGTGTATGATTACCAATATACTATAAAATAAAAAATTAATGCATGCAAGAAATCAATGCTTTAAATAAGAAATACCATTAATTGCATGTTCTATATGCATTGATTGGTCCGTATTCAAAGGTTTTCTTAAAGTTAAGTAAAAGTACTTAATGTTTCCACTTACTCATGTGTCTTACCTTAAATCGGAATTCAAAGGCTCTATTTTACATATACTTTTGGCTATGTGAAAAACTTAAAGGACAATATTTGTGTCAGTCATAATCACATATGTGATAGAACTAATTAAACGCGTTCCAAAAATAATTTTAACACAGAGATCATTGCTACGATAGCTGAGTAATACAGGTTTCCTGAATTGAAAGTGACGTCCGCCAAAGGAAAACACGAGTCATACCTCTATATAACTGACTGATGTAACGAGTGATAACAGATACACGGCCGAATTTCTGCTCACAAATAATTCCTTCCAAGACCAAAAGTTGTTGTGTGAGACTGTGAGAGGATATCTGACAAAGGATATCTGACAATTCATAAAAAGAATTGACTGCCACTAGATAAGAGAACACAAAAGAAAAACAGAAAAAGTCTGTGCATTACCATGTTTTTATAAGGTATAGAATGAATATAAACAAGGGAATGTACGGACTATTTCTATTTTTATCGTGTTCTCTTATCTAATGACATTCGATTACTTTATTGAATTGTCAGGTATCCTCTTACAGTCCCATATAACAACTTTTGATCTTCGAAGGAATTATTAGTGAGCAGAAATTCGGCCGTGTATCTGTTATCACTCGTCACATCAGTCAGTTATATAGAGGTATGACTCGTGTTTTCCTTTGGCGTTCGTCACTTCCGATTCAGGAAACCTGTATTACTCAGCTATCATAGCAATGATCTCTGTGTTAAAATTATATTTGGAATGTGTTTAACCAGCTCTATCACATATGTGATAATGACTGGCACCAATAATGTCCTTTAACTGCACACTTAAAATATGGAATACCCACATTAGCCAAAAAGCATGAATTTTTAACTTAAGGAATAACCTCCACTGTCTAAAATCATGAATCACTCCTGTCGCATGCAAGTTATGTCCTTTTAAGAGGACCACTATGCTTTATTAAAATCTTAGTTGTCATTACTAGGAAAATGTTTGCCGAAATATTATATTGTAACGCATGAAAATAGTATGACTATGATTTATGATAAATTATGATAGTATGCATGCATTCATTGCCTGAACAGTTGCTTTCTTAGATGTTTTTCAAAATCAATAGATTTCATTTTCAATAGCAGTTATCGAATAATGGTAGTATAGTGATGAATACTGTAAACTTTATTATTTTAACAATGTATAATGAATAGAAAACAACATATTAGTAACACACAGATCTTTTGGCTTTAAAGTTAGACTGAACAAATCATTCAGTGGCAGTCATCATCATATATTTGTAAATTTATACAAACAAAGACAAGACCATGTTGCAATCAAAACTTCAAATATGTATATGGGAATGAATTGTAAAAAATTAATCATGTTTTGCTACTCCCCTAACTTTTAAAATCGTCATTATGGGTCTGCTACTACATTGTAATCTCACTTAACTTTAAGGTTCCTTCCATAGGTCACTTAAAGGCAGCTTAACTTTAAGGGAAAATTGGATACTTAACATTGCCTTTGAATACCACTTACCCTTAACTTACGTGAAAACTAGTAGTGAATATCTTTAGCCTAGCTTATGTCGCCCTGCGACACGATAAAACTGACGGCGACTAAATGCAACTGAGAGCTTATGTCGCTACGACTGAATTTATTCACGACCGGACGCAACCACAAGCAACCAGTTGATCATTGTCGTAAGCGCTCATCTCATGTCGCCCGGTTTCAGTTGCAGAATCAGAGCCATGACTGATCATATGACTCCCATGTGATAACCTTTAAAATGGTCCCATTCCACTTGTGTCCATGTTTGTTCAGACGCCGACTCAAGGCAGTCGTAGGTGCGCTAATGTCGATTGCGACTGGGGACAACTAGTTGCCTTCACTGGTAAGAGTAGAACATGTGCGACTCCAAGAAACTGGAGACGACTGGTTGCCGTCCGACTTTCACCAGTTGTAAGAGCGCTTAGGTTGCCCAGGTAGCTACGACTGATCAGTTCTGATTGATCATAAACCAGTTGCCGATTTTGAGTCACTGTCAGTTTTGTTGCGTCGTATGGGGGACATAAGCTAGGCTTAAGACTTAAGATATCCTTTGAATACAGACCCTGTTCTGTACACATTAACATAAATGTAAGTAATTAGAGACCAGAAACATCATCCTATAAATTATTCGTGACATCAATAAAAACTCTTGAAAACTATAGAAATATCACGATTAATTTGAAAGTAATCACTTTCCTTGATAACATAACAATGATGTAATAATCTGATGATAGTGGTCTGATATCTCAGTTAACAATGAACATGTTAATTACATAGATTGCCAGGCAACAAAACATACAACAGCAGCAGTTAAGGTTGTCACATTTTTCTTATTTTGCAGACAAAGGGATCATTTACAAATTGATCAAGGGTAATAAACAACAAAGTAATTATACAGATATACAAAATTTGATAAGCCTATGGGTCTTCCTAGAGCTAACATAAAACAAGCCAACAGTGAGGCCGAAATCCCCAAATAAACAGATGACACATATTAATTGCATTTTTATTTTTTTCAAAAGTATCGAGTGATCAAACTGATTATCTATGCTTAGTCTAAGCATAAAATGTTCAGAATCAAACTCACTTAGGTTTTGAAGTACCTGGTAGTGAAACTATACACTAAGTTTCATCACCCTTCATCAGTTAGAATCAAAGTTATCTTAATCAAAGTTATTTTGTCCCAAAGCATCGGCCACTGAAATTGCTTAGCTCTGCTAAACTTTAGTGGTAAATATTAATCACTGAACTTAGTCAAGACATTCGCAATACGGCTGAATGAAAGTGTACCGACCCGTACTAGCTGCTTCAAATCCATGTCCGTATTATTGCTCCAAAATTACATGTCTCTGTTTATACTACAGAAAATGAAAGGATAATTCATGATGTTGACACATTGTTTGTCTTCTTTATACAATGGTATTTTAAAATTACATCAGCGAACCATCAACCCCTGTATGTAATACAGATATGGTATCCATGTTAATGTTATTTGTTCATGTGATTCGTTTTTTCCCGCCAAAAAGAATCGTTCTAGTTATCGAACTTAGTCAAGGTATTGATGGAAGGAAACTATACATCAAGTTTCATCACTCTCACTTAATGAGAACTAAAGTTATCGTGTCCTAAAGCATCAACCAATCAAATTGCTTATCTCTGCTTACCCTAAGCAGAAAATGCTCATCTTCGAACTCCATCAATGCATTCATCCAACAAACACCTACACCAAGTTTGAACATTCTAGCACAATTAGAAGGAAAGTTATTGTGTCCCAAAAAGTGTAATGGACATACAGACAGACGGACAGACCTATTTTAATAGGCCCCTGCCCTACTAGTAGTAGCAATCTGAAAATTTGATTATTCAAAAAGATATGGGAAACAACTCTGACAATAGTTATTTGAAATCATTGAAAGTCAATGGGCTTCATTGTCACATCAAGATAAATACTGTGTGTTAATTTCAAGTCAATTGGGTGATACATGTTACTTCTAGAATGTCCCCAATATATTTCAAACTGATCAAGGACCATGATTCAAACAATAATCAATGGAAATTGTTGAAGATCAATAGGTTTCTTCACCTCTTGAACATAAACACTGTGTATAAATAGCCACCAGAACTGACAACGATCAAGCAAATTGATATTTAAGTGCATAGAAATGAAAAAACTATGCTTGACTACAAATCCAAATTTTTTAGTGACACAGAATTCAGTTTGTGAATAGAATTCTGACATAATCAAGGAACGTGAAACTTTTACATTTGTCTTGCACATTTGAGATATTTTCTTACTCAGGTAACACATGCTTTGTAGCGATTTGACAAATGTGTTAAATTTTAGAGAATATTTACTTGAGTTTGTTGTGTGGTATCTGTTGTTTCAGGTAACATTGGTGATGTTTTATAATGGTATACATCTGTGACATCATGTATAATAGGACCAGTTGATTCAGCTGGTGATGCCAACATATCCATACCAGGCTGAAATAATAACATAACTATTACACTTTCCTACAAACTATGAAATGAAACCAAAGTGCATTGACATCAAAATGCAACAAAACAAACAGTATTGAAACAAATATAGAAAGCAAAAAAAAAAAAGAAAAAAAGTGAAATATTTAAATGTTTAATGTTTTGTTGCAAGTTAATAAAGTTAAACACGAGAAACATGTCTATATTAATAATCAAAAGTCACAATATTGGAAGAGAGTAGGTATACAACAAATTAAAAGTAAAGAAACAAAAGGAAATATAACCGGACGGTCAAATATCATATTTCAACGGAATAACATTTCCATGATTTATTACCAGATTGTTTCACAAGTTAGATTTTAAAATATATTGCTGTGCCAGATATGATTGTCTTGCAAACCCAATGGTAACAGCATATACATGAAATCCTGAGACAGCTATTACAAACATGAATAATATCTACCAATAAATATAACTCACTGATTGAACAGTATAATTATCCTCATTTTCTGTGATAGATAATGGACGATTGAGTTTAGGCATTTTACTGGCAGGCTGACTTTGACTTCCAGGCTCTTCTATCATCAGCTGCATTTTACGTTTCATACCAGATAATCCACGATTACCACTAGCCAACGTCACTAGAAACTGGATTAACTACAAAATAAACACATTAATACAAATAAGGCTTATTTACGCTTGTATATCAGTATTACTGTGAAGGTTTGAAAAGGTTTATTTAAAAAGATAATAGTCAAATTCTCAAACTCAGTAATATTTCTGGAAATGGATAATCTAAAATATTGCAGCTGTAGTTCTGAAACCACAATGTTTCTTATGTGTGCATGAAAATGTTGGGAGCTATGATAGAGAGAGATACATGTAGCTTTAACATACACTCAACACAAACTAGGTCATTTCTAGATTAAAATATCATACGTCAGTAATTCAATAGCACATAGGAGTCTTTAGCAGTGGGAGGAAACAGGAGGACCCAGAGGATATCGATGAGGTTAACAATCAAAACCATTCTCAGCCACGGCAACCCACAGCATTGAAATAACATTGACTTCATGTAATGTTAAGATGTCACTGCGGAAGCAATCCAGCCATCATGACAACTATTTTCATACCAATTGAAAGAGGGGTTTGGAATCATGAAATAGTTAATTACACAAATATAAAGATGGTACAACTTGTTGGCACTGTTACCATTTTTATTTCTGTATTTAAATGTTTTGAATACTAGACAAACCTTGTTAACAATTTGTTGTTGTTTTGAATGTTTCTGACGGAGATTAGCAACTTCCCTCCAAAGCACTTCATTTTCACTGGAAAAAACAAAAATATATACACTAAGTATCAAAATGTACTATATTACCACTAACAGTTATGTCCCTTGGTTCAAGAAATACAGGTAGAACAGGTATACAGCAAAACATGATAGCTTAATGGCAAGAGGGTGTTAACCTCACTAATTGATAAATAAGTGTGGATATAATGATGTCATACCTACGAAGCTGGTCCAGTTTATTAGAAACATTTTCTTGTTTCCCTTTAATACTGTGAACATCGACGAGAAGTTCATTCACATCATCGTGGATATATTTCAATGAATCATTTTTCGTATTAGATGTCTACAAAGAAGAAGGAAATAAATATTAACAACTAAATGTACAATGATTTCTTATATGTAATTAGAGTCAACAGAATACAGTTGCCAGAACTTAGAATTTTTAAATTATAATTTCCAATTTTCTGATAAAAATTTAGAGAAGAAATAAAGTGGTATTTGTTAAGTCATACCATGATGATCTGCAGTCCTTCACGTTTATAAAAATTGTGTGGGAGCCATAAAAAGCTTGTGCCAATTTCAAACATGATAAAAAAGCTCCCATAAAAAAACTTCTTAATTATATTGCAAGAGTAATTCTACATTTTCTTGAATTAAGGAGAACCAACCAAATTGTATTTATGCTTTAGTCTTTTTTAATATTTGGTGAATATGTTTGGAAATGAAATGAAATGGGGTTGAACGCCCTACTGTTCTGCTCTGACTGGGCTAATGAAGATGGAGAATATGTCTGGTGAATATTATGGTATATGTAGCATCAGAATTATCATCATGGAAATGATAGCTCAAATGTATGCAGTTTAAAAATAAACCAGTGACTGCCAGGAAGGATACGCCCACATTTTGCCAGAGATGGATAGAGAACAAGCTAAAAACAAACACGATTTTTTGTACAATCAGGGGCAATAATCCAGAAAGTTATGGCCTGAAATGTGCAAATATCAAAAGGGACTGAGTGAGATCTTTGGGATATAAAGATATATTTTAAGTTTCATCAAAATCGGATAAAAATTGTGACCTCTAGAGGGTCCACACAATTTGCAAACAAAGAGCGGCCATTTTGTCGGGCAGTTTCATTTCGATTTCCCCCAAATTCAAATTCAACCTTCATTATGGGTGAATGGTGATGTATTTAAAAGGTTTTTAAAATCAGAAAAAAATTGTGACCTCTAGAGAATACGCAAGCTAAAAATGCGATTTTTCGAACAATCAGGGGCCATAATCCAGGAAGTTAAGTTCGGGTATCCGCGATTATCAAAAGGAACCAAGATCTTAGTATGGTGATATATTCACATGTTTTTTTTTTAAATCGTACAAAAATTGTGACGTTTACTGGGACCACAAGCTAAAAACGTGATTTTTGTTCAATCAAAGGCAATAATTCAGGAAGTTCCGATCCGATATGCGCGAATATCGAAAGGAACCAAAATCTTTGGGTTATAAACATGTATTTCAAGTTTCATCGAAGTCGGATCAAAATTGTGACCTCTAGAGGGTCCACAACCTTGATTTACCAGATGTTTACACTATTTGTGTACGAGGGGCGGCCATTTTGTCTGGCAGTTTTGGACCGATTTTCACAAAATTCAAACTCAACAAACATTACGGTGTAACGGTGATATTCAAACATTTTTTATAAATTGGATAATAATTATGACCTCTAGAGGGACCACAAGCTAAAAACACGTTTTTTTCGTACAATCAGAGGCCATAATTCAGGAAGTTACTATCCGATATGTGCGAATATTGAAAGGAACCGAGATCTGTGGGTTATAAACATGCATTTCAAGTTTCATCAAAATCGGATCAAAATTGTGGCCTCTAGAGGGTCCACAACTTTGATATACCAGTTGTTTACACTATTTGCGTACGAGGGGCGCCCATTTTGTCCGGCAGTTTTGGTCCAATTTTCATGAAATTCAAACTTCGACAAAATTACGGTGTAATGGTGATATATTCGAACATTTTTTTAAATCGGATAATAATTGTGAACTCTAGAGGGACCACAAGCTAAAAACGCGATTTTTCATACTATCAGGGGCCATAATTCAGGAAGTTACAATTCGATATGTACAAAAATCGAAAGGAACCAAGATATTTGGGTAATAAACATTCATTTCAAGTTTCATCAAAATCAGATGAAAATTGTGACCTCCAGAGGGTCCACAACCCAGATACACAATATTTTGACAATACTTGCGAACGAGGGGAGGCCATTTTGTCCGTCAGTTTCAGTCCGATTTTTACGAAATTCGAACTCAACCATCCTTAGGGTGTAACGGTGATATATTCACAAGTTGTTTTAAATCAGATAAAAATTGTGACATCTATAGGGTCCACAATCTAAAAACACAATTTTTTGTACAATCAGGGGCCATAATTCAGGAAGTTATGGTCCGATATGCACGAATATCGAAAGGAACCGAGATCTGTGGGTTATAAACATACATTTCAAGATTAAACCAAATTGGATAAAAATTGTGACCTTTACGGTGTTCACAAGCTAAAAACATGATTCTTCGTACAATCAGGGGCCATAATCCATGAAATTACAGTCTGATACATGCCAATATTGAAAGGAACCCAGATCTTAGGGTGATAAACCTATATTTCAAGTTTCATTGAAATCGGATAAAAATTGTGACCTGTAGAGTGTTCACCAACAATTGTGGACGGACAGACAGGGGCGACGACAATATACGTCCACATGGAAAATGTGAGCGTATAACAAAAACTGAAAGTAGTATATCAATCTCAATATTTAGGAGAGTGATTTAGCTAATTTGCCGCAGCCTTTAATGACTCCCGTGAAGGAATGTTGAGGTGTGTCGAGAGGAGTAGGAGCGAAAGTTCACCTTAAACGTGAAGGACTCAAGTTAAATCCATTACATGTATATTAATATTTTTGAAAGTTTTAATTACCCTTCTTTTAATAAACTCAAGAAGTTTGTCCTCCCCTCTCTGAAAATAAGGATGCTGAAATTCTACATCATCTTTTTCCACCTTCAGAGCACCTTGTTCTATAGCTCCAACTTTACGAAACCCATCTGATAATAAAGAGAAACATGCAATTCATATTACCTTGATCTACGTAAGACCTTCTTCTTGCACATGTAATTAAAGTTATACTTTTATAAACTACAGAAAATACTGATAAAATAAACCTACTGCCAGCATGTTTCAATGTCTATTCTTATTTACAGTTTTAAAAACAAAACAATTGTTATACTTTGAAATAACGTTAATAATATACTTTGCATCCATTCAACAGGATATAAATTGAAGTTTAATATCCTACTACAATCTGCACCAACCAGCCTAATGCAGACAGGTAAATGACATGCAGTGTGCCATGAGGAAATTTATGCCTGGACAGCGGCGTTTCGACCCACTCTTCTCCGAATTCCAACTGTCATTTGACTAATCAGAGGTTTATCCTTACCAGGCCCTCCATCCTGCACCTCTCTCAAGGAGGAACCAGGGATTGAACCGGAGAGCTCCAGATAAGTGAGCAAGTGCCATGTTCACTGAACCACAGTGGCTCCCACTTACAGAATATAAGTAATGGGAAACCAATAAATTCTGTAGCAATGGAAATAATGTCTGGTTTGTAAAAATTCCTGGCAAGAAACCTGCCTATGCATGTACATTAACTTGATTAGTAAGTAATCACTTTACAGTTTTGAAAAACAAGTATTCTAAAATTACTTACACATATTCAACTGTCTGATAAAACTAGAAATATTATTATGTTTAAAATAATGTGGAAGAACTTCTTTAGCAAATCTAGCTTGATCAGTCACATGAAAACTTTTTCCAGTCTGAAACAGAAACAAAATAATTATATTACACATATCATAGATCTGTTACTTCATTTTATAAAGCAGTAAGCAATCAAATTGTCTAACCTGAGCATAAAATGTTTATTATCACACTAACATGTAGTCACAGTATTGATGTTATAAAACTATACACCAAGTTTCATCACTCTCACTCAATTAAAATCAAAGTTATCATGTACCAAAGCATTGACTCATTGACAGATAAATTTTCTTATCTCTGCTTTCCTAGCAGAGAAAGATCATCCTCAAACTTGGTCATGATACAGTATTGAACACCTACACCAAGTTTGTACACTATACTTCTATAGATCAGGGGTCATGGTGGCTAAGTGGGTAAGACACTGGCTTGCTAGCCTGGAGGTCGGGTGTTGGATCCCTGCATTGGCCGAGAAAGTTCATCCAGATTTTCAACCGTGGTTTCCCCATGTTAGTGATGCAGGACGGAGGGCCTGACAAGAACAGCTGTCTAGTCATTCGGAAGATACGAAAAACCGAGGTCCCGTGTACACATTGGCATGCACGTAAAAGATCCCTTGACAGTTGGAATTTGATATAAGAGTAGGCGATAGTGCCGCTGCCCGGGCAAAATTTCCTGCATAGCACACTGTATGGCGTATGCCCGTCTTCATTAGCCCAGTATAGGAGCAGAACAGTAGGACGTTAAACCCCATTTCATTTCATTTCTTTGATGTATCATACAGAACCGTACAGTCATACTTGTTAAAGATTTTACGTGTATATAATGCAGTAATGTTGTATTCAGGGCCACTGTCCGGGCAAAATTTCCCGTCTTCCTTAGCCCAGTTCGGAGAAAAACAGTAGGACGTTAAGCCCCATTTCATTTCAGGCCATTTATAAATCAGGCCACTTAGCCTACTGCCTTCTGAAATCATCAAATACCTCCCAATACATTTACTACATGTACCAAATACCACCATGTTACTAACTCATTATTATTCAAAGTAATTAAAAAGCCTCATGTATGTCTGGTGTGTATGTCTGGTCTGGTGTGGAAATTGCTTAGCTCATCAAGTTCAACATCAAGTTTAAACATTCTACCTCAATTAAAAGCAGAGTTGTTATGTTCCAAAGTCTTGACCAATCAAATTGCTTATCGCTCCTTAGCCTAAGCAGAATATTCTCATCAAACTTAGTCAAGGTAATGATACATAATGGATCTACACTAGGAGGTTCATAGCTCTCACTTAAATATAACCAAAGTTATCGTGCCCAAAAAAGCATCAACCAATCAAATTACTTATCTCTGCTTACCGTAAGCAGAAAATGTTCATCATCGAACTCCATCAAGGCATTCACCTAATGAACGCCTACATGTACATGTACACCAAGTTTGAAAATTCTACCTCAATTAGGAGAGTTATTGTGTTTCAAAGTCTCAACCAATCAAATTGCCTATCGCTCTGTTTACCCTCAGCAGAAAATGTTCATTATAGAACTTAGTTAAGGTATTGATGTGATGAAACTATCAACCAATTTTCATCACTCTCACTTAATTATAACTAAAGTTATTGTGTCCCAAAGCATAAACCAATCAAATTACTTATCTCAGCTTACCCTAAGCAGAAAGTGCTCATCTTCAAACTCCAAGGCATCGACCTAATAAACACCTACACCAAGTTTGAACATACTAGCTCAATTAGGAGTGTTATTGTGTCCCAAAAAGTGTGACGCCTGACCGACAGACAGATGGTTGGACAGACAGACGCACAGAAAGACAGACGGACGAACCCATTTTAATTGTCCCCTGCTTTCTTCAAAATGTGGGGGACAATAAAATGTGATATTAATATGTATTCAATATGGTCGAGTGGAAGTGTGTTGCTCAAAATGTATCTCCTCCTAGTATGTCTATCAGACTTTGACATGATTTGTACTGAAAGGGATTGGACCTACATGTAAACCTATTGTCGGCCTTTTTCCAAATGGCTTAATTCGGAGCAGTAGTTTACCTATTTCAGTCTGTGAACTTGTTGGAATATACCACGTGTACCTATCAAACATGGTACGGTACTGTTAAATATCAACCACATATACCACGTTTTTATCTCTTACAACTTGTACTGTTATGTCAACCTATTATTTTTTTGTACCACGTTTTTACCATTCAAAACTGGTACTTGTAGAGTTGTATCTCAACCGTACTATTATACCACATTTTTACTTATTACCATCAGTAGCTATGGGATCTCCCCCAGAAAACTTTGAAAAATAGATGCCGAAAAATGCATTTTCCTGCTATTACAGACTTAAGTACAGAGTAAATCAGTACCAGCAACTTGAAAGTAGTTCAAAATACCAGTAGCTTTATTTATGTTGTTTTGCAACCCAAATCTCACATTATGACAATTTGAATTCGAGAAGTTGGAGGAGTGGAACATAGAAGAAACGGCAAAAAATGTGAGTTTAAGGTCCATGTATAAGCCTAAGCACGAACACAATCACTGTAGCCTTCTGCGCGAATCCCAGTTCTGACTGAAATTGGCGATACTCGCAGAAATTTGCGGTGAAAATGGTGAATTGAAAATTTCAATATTTGATCATGCATGATCGGTACCGTCAGTGGAAGCGAATGTTAAATAAAGCTATTTCACACACAAACGTTCGCCTGTATCACTATAAATGACTTCATTTAAATTGTTGATATAAATCAAATGCGACCGCCACGATCCTGGTCGGAGTCGCGCTCAGTATATTTCAAAGCATGGTACTTAGCCCATGCACCTTGGCCTGTCCCAAATAAATTATCTAGGTTACCACACACTGCAAACCACACACACATTTGTTTTAATAGACAAGCTTGAGTTGAATATTCTTTGCAACCAGACAGCTGGTTTTCAGTCTCTAGTCTAGCCTATTAGGACTCTGGCAAAAACAAGTGTATTTTTAATTACTTTGAATACATAATTAACATATAGCCTAAGTCTAACTTGAACAACATTCTTTCACTTAGTTCACTGCTGGTAATATGGTGGTGGCCGGTTTCTGACGATTGTCAGAAGAAAGTGAACGAGCTAAACTTACAGAATCCCAACAAATTAATTCATCACAAGATTTATCTTCAACCAAAGTCCACAGTTTTAATAGAAATGCAGGCACATTGCCTGTATTTTCAGACGCTGGAAACATTGTTATTTTTCTGCAAAAATTGTTGTAAACAAGTATCTTATTCCTCAAAGTAAACGTGAATCCCCTAAATACAATTTACGCATGCGTAAATGACACTACCTGATGCACAGCATTATAAAGTTTCACGATTGTCCTTGCTATGGAATGAAATTGCCGACATAAAATAAATAACACTTTTAACCTAGTATTGTATATGTCAATAGTTCAATGCGTGTAATATTTGATATTACTTACATATTTATAGTAAATTTGCTATTTATATCAAATGCTAATTCATAACACTTTTAACCTAGTATTGTATATGTCAATAGTTCAATGCGTGTAATATTTGATATTACTTACATATTTATAGTAAATTTTCTATTTATGTCAAATGCTAATTCATGTGGGGTTTTTTTCCTCAAATATTGTATTAGCATTATTATATTTATTGGCCCGGCACGTCAATTATGGAGCCGAATCATTGTCATTAAGAAAAAAAATCATGGTTAAAATTGCAAAATTATCATTGTAAAATGGTAAAATTGGCTATTTTTGATATTTTTTACTTGTTAATATCATATAACACAAAATCACTACAATTAGTATCAAAACAAAACAAAAAATCTATTTATGTTTTTTTCACTTTCTAATTTTCGCCTTTGCAAACCCTCTTAACTTTTTTGTCTGTGCATTTTCAACTATCAGATTTTCTCAATTGTATTTTCCACCACCAAAATGTCTCCAATCGAACGGACAGAGGGCGTGGTTCCGGGTTCAGCCGAAGTTGATGTCAGTATTTATCGTCTGGGCTAAAATTATTGCACCATTGGGTTATTCATAACTCTTAAGAATTGTCCGATTTTATTGATTATTTTTTGGGGAAAAAAATGAAATAAATTCGTTGTCATGTCGAACAACTTTTTGTTTAATGAGCTATATCATCGAACCTTGAGGTTGGCTCGTTGTCTTAACAGACCAGACAAATCTTTGGCAGCACATCGGAATGAAAGTGCTGGCGTTATATCTGTTAAAGTTGCAATTTCATATTTTTAAGTTATATTTTTAAAATTTATTAAAATAAAGCCTTAAAATAGATGGTATCTATAAACAGTCCAACCTTGTTAAACAATAATTCTATTAATCCTATAATTCACTATTGCCAGTTGAGAAATTGGCAAAAATATCATTTTCATCTTCAAATTCAAACGTTTGATGATAGCTATTCCATGGGGGTAATAGAAAAACAAGGGAGGTAATTGTGTTAGTATTTCCAGTGTAAATGAGTTTTAAGTGTGAGAATGACACCTATGATCGTATAATAGTGAGTTGACAACCTATTGAGCAAAAGACATAGAAATAATTATGTTTTGACTTTCTTAGAAAATATGAAATTGTAACTTTAAAGTGTAACCACAAAAGAGGTGCCTTAATCAATTAAGAAAAGCTTTACAGTAACGTTAATAGACGACGTAATAAATTTGCAAACAATACAATTAGGACATGGTATCATGTTTCGCCAGGAGCAGTTATTTATTCCACAAGAACAGTTACAATATTTAGATGATAAAGATATTTAATTTGTGGAAAATTAACAAAAAAAATAAATAAAATAGCCCTGAAAAGAGGTGTGCATTCTTGTTATCAAGGGGTCGATTATTTAAATTTACCTTTTCAATCGATCATGATAAAGTACGGTAGTTGTAATGGCAACAAATGCAGCAGAGCCTACCTGTCCAGTGTCAATATTAAAATCTAATGGATTATGTCAGTGGTTCTCAACCTTTTTTTGCCAATGGCACACCTTGGAACACATGAAAAAATAGCGGCACGCATGGCTAAGTATATGAAAAATATTTGAATTGAAAATAGAAACATGTAAAGTCGTAGACGGCATACAACCGTAGACACAGACTAGTCATATAGACACATAATAGAATGACTCAAACTAAATAAATAAAAACACAGCTAAGATAAGATAAGATAAGATAAGATAAGATAAGATTTTATTGTATCATAACACCCATTGCAGCAATCTGTTTCACAAAGAATTACGAGTCTTCTCTAATATCTCTGTAAAAGATGACTGCCTTTTACACGTGCCGTCACAGCACGCGGCGTCAATCATTAGCTGAATGGCGCGTGCATTGTTTACATAAGACGTTACATAATGCTGCCTTTTAGTCATTTCAATACCCATTTACACTAAATAGGAAATAATTTTTACCTACAATTATGTCAAACGTCTTTATTTATTTTTCTAATACATCAGTGTATACATCTAATACATCTAATGCTGATCAGTGTGCCATTGCAGGCCGCATACAAAAAGGAACATAGAATAAATAGAAATATACGTATTTTACATATATTTATAAGAATACGACACATGAAATATAGGTTCGTGTTAAAAGTGAGAATAAACATCAGAAACATTATTTCAAAATGTATAGATGCTAAAAAATGAAAATAAGATGTGAAGTTTCTACGTTGAAATGCTTTATAATATATGTTACAGTCAAGGTCTACAATCAGGCAATGTGTACAATGCCTTTGTAACCCTAACCCTACCCCCACCCCAACCCTTACCCTAACCCTAACCCGGCAATGTACACATTGACTGGTATATTTCAGGCATTGTACACATTGCCTGATTGTAGACATTGACTGTCACATGTACATAATGGCATACACTCACAGAAACTGAAGGGGGAGGGTCAAATAGATTTTCAGACGTTATGGCCAAATTGTTGTCACTGAAAGTAGGATTGATAGCGTGGACATTCAATTAAAAAGTGAAATTCGGTTTCTGCTTTTAAGAGGGAACACAGTGCGCATATATAGTCTCAAATCAGGGTGGTGGGGGCGTTCTTGTACCGGCCCCTCTCTATTTCTAATTTATGGGAACTCAAACGTAGTGCGGTCATGGCAGACATGAAGTTTTTATTGTGTACATGAAGCAAATAATTATCTGGATTGTCTATAGTAGGTTTTACTGTGCCATAAGTTCTAAATTTTGAATTTCCAGAAATATATTCAGTTTTATAAATAGTATTGAATTGGGACCTTATGGCCGTTTGAATGTTAGATTTTGAAACTTGCAAGGGAGATAAGTTGAACTGGTCCATGGGGGGGGGGGGATATTGCTGCTGGCCATGATCATTTGGGATTGGATTTGCCTATTTCTACATCGTCCACATATGCGGCGGATAGTAACGGATTTGTACGTTTTATGTCGGGTGTATTTAATCTTTTATAAAATAGCAACATTCGTTGGTAAATACCAATTTGAATTGGGAAGATACCGAGTTCAGCCAATGATCCTATATTTGAAGATTTTTGGGGTTGGAGTCAAATAGATTTGCAAGTTTTTTTGTGATTTATTTATTATGCTCCACATAGTTTCATCTGTGTAAATTCACATTTCTGCTATTTACTATTTGCGACCCCCATGCACCACAGGCATACAGAGCTATTTGTTTCACTACTGCTTCATACAGTTTATGAACTTACAAGTAGACACCCTTGAATACTCGATTGGGATCACGTGGTTTTTCGCATTTTCTTAGAGTGCCGTTCAAAATTTCGCGGCACACTTAGGAAGATCTCGCTGGTTGAGAATCAATGGATTATGTATAGTTGCCATCAAACATGAAAGTAAAGACATAAATTAGTTGTTCTTTTCACATTGACTGGGGGTTAATTTATGCGAAACTAGAAACAAAAGTTATATTAATCAAAATACAAGACGGGCCTTATTAGACACTCAAGAGTTAAAAAAAAACCCCTATACTTATGAAGGTTGGATGGCATCATGTTAGTAATAGTTATTGAATTTTAATCATTAGCATTTAATACTTTTCAAAACCGGAATTTTTTAAAACAAGTATCCAATAGCCAATATAATATAGGCCTAATAAGTTTTATGTGGTCATCAATAAAAATACAGATGTGACGTCATCTTTTTAGGTTGGCGTAGGACCTACTAGTACTTCAAATAAAGTACACCTCAGTGGTACCTACAATTAATTGATTACCTATAAGTAACATATTACGTTAAATATTATTTTATATAATTAATCAGCAGGTGTTTTTATAAGTCAAAATCCGGTACAGCGCAGTGTACTATGGCGGTATATTAGACTCAAAATTCTAACATGCTATCGTCTAATTTTAACTTATACACTTGCTTGCGTCAACGAATTTTTATTTTTTTATAGACTTTATGTTGTCGCCATCTTCGCCCCGGAACACTCCGTCCAATGAAGATATAAAGAGGATGAAAAGAAAAATTTTGAACGCTGGAAAATCCATTCCGACATAATATTGACCACTTGAACATCAAGATGTTGGTTGCTGAATTTTTATAAATGCGCAGGATATATTTGGGGTTTTTTTCAATTGGTTGTTTTTGTTTTCTTGAAAAGTATGATTAAATTTTCGATGAATTTTCCGAAATTAGCACCTTTGATCTTCTAATTCTTGCGGCACGCGACAACCAAAATTGAAACAATCATGTTTATTTGTTCAGCAGGAGCATATCTAGAAGCTGAGAATAATAGGAGTGGGCAGGCTCGGCGAAGTGGGGGGGGGGGATTTAGCCATTTGGGGTATATTTTTGAAAGAACATGACTTTTATGCTTATTTATTTTATTGAAATTTACTGCACGTTTGTAGGATTTAATAAAAAAAATTATGGATTCTGTATTTTTTTTTTTTTTTTTTTCAGGGTGGCACCCTGTATAAAGATCTTTGGTATTATTATGTATATATTTATTTGCTATTCGCTAAGCTCAGTATCGCAGGAAACCACAATTGACTGTGTTTGCATGGTAAGGGATTCATTGCTGAGTAATTTTATTAGCCGGAAATCGCTCAAAAGCGTTTCTGGCGATCTAGCTAGCCCCGTGGAGCTTCAGGGGCAGTGCCGGACAGGTGGGCCGAAGGCTTGACCCTCGCCTAAATTCTAGAGAGACATACCGTTATAGCCGCCTCGGCTTACAGGACGGAATACCGACATCGTGCAGTGTTCTTAGGACGTACTCTCAGCCTCTGGTTCGAGGCCGGCATAGAGACATGTAGTGTTTCAGCAGTTAGGTCTGGGCCCTTATTCACGAAAACTTAAACTAAGATACAATCGAAATTTTAAGAAATACTGCAATTCGATTGGCTGACCAGTAAAATCAATTTGCATAATGAAGTTGCAGTATTTCTTAAAATTTCGGATGTAACTTAGTTTAAGTTTTCGTGAATAAGGGTCCTGATTTCTATGCTTGTAAGTAATGTTAGACTCAGACTGTAGATATTACAATAACTCATAATGTACTATATACATGTAGATGTTTTAGTTTCCTGTACGTATTTCATATAGGCCTATAAACATAGTTATAAAAACACAGTGTTCCAGTCATTGAAGTTGTATGCAACGTGAAAGGCTTGAATAAGTGTCACCCTTATAGTGTCACGGACCGTTTTCTGGAAGTTCCTGATTAGATAGTCTTAACCGTCCCCGTAGTGTCACATGTACACGTATACACAACGAGAAAGTCAGAGTTAATTCATCTATTTAATAACACTGCAGAGTCACAATTGTTAATTGTAAAATAAAATCGCTCGCGGTCTACGTTTTAAAATACTATAATACTTAAGATCTCGTGCAGTAACATTTGTGGAAAACTCGTTTTAGTTAATGATTAATGATCGATTCATTCTCAAAAAACGGGGGACAAAGAAAATTTTCGGGCTAATAGCCTCACCCCTCCCCACCCCCGCCCCCATTGCAACTACAATACTTAAATTAAGACCTCGCGCAATAACATTTGTGGAAAACGCGTTTTAGTTATCGATTCATTCTCAAAAAACGAGTGACAAAGAAAATTTTCGGGCTAATACTAATACTAGCCTTACACCCCGCCCCCAACTGAGATTGGCCCCCTACACCTATGCCTGCCTGTCAATTCTGCCTGTTTTGTGACTTTTGATATAACATTTGTACAGTCTGTAGCCCCACGCACAAGTTGTACTACTAACTGGGCGATTCACTATAACCTATATGATAGTGATGAGATAGTTTAAGACGTGGAAAAATGGTAACAATGGATTCGAGTGCCGTAGCGAGAAAAAATTTCCGATAGGTAACTGAGTTTTTAATTTTTTTCGACTGGACTTGAGGAGATTTGCTTAATGTCCCCCTAATTTTTTCTCAAGTAAATTATAAATTTATAACGTCGATTATTCACACCAAAGATAAAATTCCTTAAATCTAATTATATTATTTATTATTAGTTGCCTTCTCATCAAAGTTACGCAGTGACAGGGGAGGTAATTGTTGTAAAATGTTATATAATATGATGTAAACTCGATGTCAAGTAAGAACTAGATTTTTTACGCCACAAATAATTTTTGTTCACAAAACGTCGCTATAATCTTGTGTTTGATTTATAATATAAACACTTGATGATTTATTTTATTTATTTGCAGCAGGTGACATGCGCTTATATTTACTTCGGATGTGGAGCATCACGTCATTGCTAAGAAGTGCATTCACATATTGATCCTAGGAAGAAGGTTGTTTCGTTGTAATGTGCCAGAGACACAATTTTGTGACAGAGGGCAATAATTTTAGTGGATTTTACTTGATTTTTAACCGTTGCAATTATTTTCTCCAGTTTTTATTGAGGCACAAAAGTAACAGTGCCATCCATTAGATACTCACAAAGTGCCCGTATGACAAATCTTGTAGAGCAGTGTTTTTAGAAGTAGAATGTAACAATATATGGCGATCGTCAAAAATAGATAGCTTGGCCTTATTCCTGTCAAAGACAGATTAGGAAAGACAATCTGTGGTATCATGGTGTGTAAAAAGCAATTATGTGACTGGTTCAGCAATTTGAGTGCTCACAAAAGGATTGAATACATCTGTGCATTAATGCAATTATTTCATCCTTTGGAGCTGAGGTTTTTTGGTTCAGTTTTAGAGGACCTCGGCAAGAAGAATTTCTTGTCTTTAAGAGATGCAGAAACTCAGGCAAACAGTGTCACAAATCTGGGAAAATTAAATGACTTGTCACAAATTTTGATATCATTAACTTTACTTCACTCTTCGAACTCTAGGTGTTCAAATGTCCTCTATGATGTGTTGCAGTCATATCTCCAAAGATGTTTTAACAGGATTTTGTCAAAAGAACCAGAGGCATTCACTGATTTGATGACAATGTTGACAATTGCTGTCAATCATCCTGCTTTTAGTTATGAACAGAGGCAGTCATTATCTGAATTCTATTCGAGAGCCTATGATTATTCTAACAAGGTAAATATAAAAAAGGTACCGTAATTAACTAGATCTATACCATTTGCGAACAAGTGTCACTGTCATTTCTAATATCAATAAATGTAGTTAACTGCTTCATTAATTGCAGATGTGAAAAAACTCCAAACAAGGTCTTTTGAATTGGTTGAAACAAGATTGTTATGTCATAAACATGCAACAAAATTCTGAAATTTTACAAAATAGAGAAAGGAATAATAATATTAATAGTATCCTCTCCCACCTTTTAGCGTACTGTACTTTATTGTGGTACTGTTACCATATATTATTTATCAGTACTGTACTCAAGAGGAAAATACCTTCAAATTATGTTTTTAAAGCTCAATGGATTGATTCTCTATGTGCTCATTTTGGTTTTAGCCAATTTGTGCCTGATTGATAATGTCAGTGATGTGTGCCCTAATTTAAGTCCGTCTTTCTATCCAGATAGGGGGTGTCATACCATAATAAATTTGATCACCCCCCCCCCCATCTTCTTAGCACTTTTTACGACTTTTGCCTGGTCTTTTCGTGGATACACTCTTAAAATTTAAAATGTACTAATAAAAAATACTGTGTTCATCCCATGCTTTAGCATCCCATGCTTTAGCATATTAAAGTTTTATGTGTTAATTCAAAATTGTAATAGTTTTGTAAACCGTTACATGTAGGTATACTCTAACCTATTAAATTTCATGAAAATATTTAGTTATTATACTTTTATTTAGGTCATATTTGTAAATGATCTATCTCCTAGAAGAATTGCTGTTCTACATATGCAGGTTTATTACATTTGCTCAACACAAAAATTATCCTACACCAAATATAGGTTCAATAGACGAGTGCAAAAAATGTAGTCTACCATTGACTTGATTAAAATGGATTTGTATAGAATTTATGGAAAACAAAACTGAAAGTAGAATTCTCAGTACATGTACAGGAAGTGTAATTGAACATATTATATTTTTTCAGAGAAAGACATAATGCGTACATTTCACTAATAAAATAGCAATCATCATTTTTAATACAGCACTTTTTATGCATTGGAATTGAATTTGTATAATGTTTTGGTTACATCACATGTATACAATGAATGTATTTTCAATTTGGTTACAATTTAATGATAGGCGTATACAATGTATGAATACTCTTATATTACATGTACATGAAGTTTTAAGATGCCCTGTTTACTGCCCGGTCATAGGGAAGTTTCTGACTCACTGGTCTGGAAGTTGGGTTTTCGATCCCTGCATTGGCCAAGAAAGTTGATCCAGATTTTCTGACGTGGTTCCCCCTTGTCAGTGATGCAGGACGGAGGGGCTGACAAGGACAGCTGTCTAGTCCTTGGGATGAGACGAAAAACCAAGGTCCCGTGTATACATTGGAATGCACGTAAAAGATCCCTTGGCAGTTGGAATTTGATATAAGAGTAGGCAATAGTGCCGCTGCCCCGGCAAAATTTCCCTCATAGCACACTGTATGGCGTATGCCCGTCTTCATTAGCCCAGTATAGGAGCAGAACAGTAGGACGTTAAACCCCATTTCATTTTATTTCTTTGATGTATCATACAGAACCGCACAGTCATACTTGTTAAAGATTTTACATGTATATAATGCAGTAATGTTGTATTCAGGGCCGCAACATATCCCTAAAACAATTGTATACCAGTAGGGAACACTATAGTATTACAATAATCCTCTATACATTGTACTTATACAATGTGCCATTTAGATTATGCTCTGAAGTAGTCTAAACATGAAGTAGTAAGTTGTAATATATTGATCCAGAGTGTAAGAAATTATAAATGAAGAATGGTTGTTTAAAAAGCTTGAAATTTGTTTAGTTAGGTTCTAAGAGACAGGGATGCAGGGATTAAGAGACAGAGAGAGAGAGAGAGATGAGAACAAATGTGTACCATTGTTTTGTCCCTAAACACATTTTTATATTAAACATTTATATGTGGTTGTATACAGTTATCAGATTGAATATTTTATCTGAAAATAAGTTTGTAGAATTATGGGAAGAATTGACCATTGAACTTAAAGAAAAATACTGTTTGACTTTAAATATCTTAGCGAAATATAAGGCTGTGAACAGACTTTATTTCTATTGAATATGTTTACCGGTACAGCATATTCAAAGTTTAACACTAAACATATACTTAAAGCATGTGCATGGGAGCAGGAAGTTATAACTGGAATTGTGTTAGCACCTTAGATGTTTCAATTATGATCTATGAGTTGTTTAGCTCATAAGTTGCTTGGTCATCTCCATCTTTAAATATAAAGTATAAGCTATATTAGAATTTAGCAATAATGTTAATTTGTCTTTGATTTAGAGGCTCATCATGTACTACTTTAAAATGATGAAAATCAATTCATTAGTTTTAGAGACGTGACTTGAGAAGATATCAGGAAGCATGTCTCCAGTAGAGTAAGCTTACCGGTACTCTGTAAAACTTGAATCGTGTGTCTGTAAATACTAAGAGATAGTCTACTTTAAATACATGTGGCATTCTATTCCATTGATTCGAGAGTAATTCAAATTCCCTTAAGAATAAGAGCCATTTGTTGTTTTCTAATGAAAGAATAATAGAAATAAAGTATAGCTTTCTAACCTTACAAGTAATGTAAATGATCAGTTACATGTAGAGTTAGAGAGTTTATTATTGTTTGTAATACTGGCTTAAAGGGACTTAAACATGAAGTTAACAGTATTTTGGTTTTAAATCTAAAGATTATAATTGTTACCTATACTTGTTAAGAATATTTGAGACTGTCAATAACTAGTGCCCCCCCCCCCTCGAAATATTCAACTTCCCCTTTTTATCCACACATGATATTTACTATAAATATGTTAGTTAGAAAGGACAAATGTTTCTTTTTTGTTGAGTTTTTTTATAGTATAGTCATATAGCAAAGCAAAGTAAAGAAATTACAATATAATAATAATAATATATGCACTTATCAAGTTGGTGCTCCACACTTCCACTAGTCTCGACTCCAATTCTAAAAAATTCTGTATATTCCCAGTTGAGTTAATAATTATGATTATACTTTTGAGAAACGTCATTATTATAATCCCTTTAAATTGTTAAAGATATTTGTAGACAAGGCCATTTTAAGTTTATATTCCTGACACCTGAATGTTAATAGATTTGTGTGAATTTGACTCTTGCCTTCCGGTTCCATCCATGATCCAGGGGGAAAAACATTTGTAAATTAATATAACTTGAGAAACTGTTCTTTTATTTTGAGCTTTGTATGCAGTGAACTTTGAACAGATAATAATTGCATAATTGTGTATTACCTTTTTGTAGAGATTTGCATTTTTCTTAAAAAAAGAAAACCAACCAAATAACAACCAATCATATTGTAATAACATCGCTGCAGGTTTTTGGGTTTTTTTTTAGAATCGGGGTTAAATTGAAGTAAACGATGGTCCAAATCCTGAATGCATGAGAATTGCAAATCCCCATTCATTTTAAATTTGGATTTTGATAAACAGGCATGATGAATGCAAGAATAAATGTCCACATAAAATACTTACATGTTTGTCATTTGCATTCTTTGGACATTATCTAATATTCCATGGTTTAAAATACTGCACGCTAAAAATGTACTCTAATTGATTATTTAACATTTGATTATGAAAACAAAATCAAAATATTAACAGCAGATAACCTCCTGGCTTGGATTCAATCAAATTCAAAAGAAGCTGACACTTGTTTTGATCATAACTCTTTTATATCGTCTGCAGAGGATAGCAGATGTTTACTAACTTTCAGTTTATCATGTCTTTGTAAAATTGAACGGAATTGAACCATTTTTGAACTAGTATTCAACATTCACAATATTAAATACAAGGTATTAAAAAATCCATCAAATGATTCTCAGACTTTATTAAGTGATCAAGGAAAAATCTAGCCTTTAATATTCAAGGAAAGATTCAGTCTTTGATACATGTATGTATGTTTTTGAAATATTTTTATTCTAGATCGAAGAGGAGATTGATCTTGATCTCACAGTTGAAAATAACCAAAATCGGAAGACAGATAATGCTAGAAGTCCATTAAAGCCAGCAAATGTTTTTCCAAAAGGTTTGTTAATAATTTAGTTTGTAAATAAAACTGCCGATGATATAGTGTTGCATCATAGTATGTATGTATTTCATGTCATATTGCTACACATGATTAGTATTTGATTCTATACAACACGGTCTCATAATTTCACAGTTTCAAACTTATCTCAAAATAATCAACAGAATGTTAGTAAGAATATGTCTCAATCATAAAGGATTTGGAGATCTTTACCAGCTATCTTTTCCTGCACGCAGACTGAAAAATGCACTTCTTTGAATTATATTTCCATAGAAAAAAACAAATCCATTTTTTGGGGCAGTGGATTTATTACATTGAATACTGTATATTGATTTATTGTATGTGAAATGAATGAAAATATGTTTTCTTTTGTTTAAATTTACAATGCATACAAAATATATTTGTTTACTTGAGTTTTATTCTTTTATTTCTATCTTCCCATGTATGAAATAAGCCATGTATACATGAATTAGCTATAAACGTTTCTTTGTATGTAATCAGATTTTGCCCTTAAGGCTGTCATTTTATTAGAGTTTTAATATTTTCTTTAGGTTTTTTTTTCATGACCATACACCACACATAAAACAAACATGTAAATTTTAGTATTTAATGCCCTTAGACAAGAAGAAAGAAATGAAATGAACTGGGATTTAACATCTTAATAATCTGCTCTGACTAGAGTAAAGCAGACAGGCATACAGCATAAAGTGTGCTATGAGGGAGAAATTTTGCCTGGACAGCTGCGCAGAATAGAGATAGAAATATATAAATACATAAGCAATATTTATGATTTCATTATAGCCTTTCCATTGATTATGTCAGGGACCGACAGGAGCTGAGTGAGTAGTATGTTGGCTTACTAACTTGGCGGTCTCGCATTCAATCCCTGCGTTGGTCGATAAAGTTTGTCAGAATTTTCTGGCGTGGTTCCTCTTTGTTAGCGATGTAGGATGGAGGGCTTGGCAAGGGACAGTATATATAGTTATAGTAGTTCGGATGGGACAAAAAACCAAAGTCCTGCATACGCATTGACAGTTGGAATTCAAAATAAAAGTAGGCTGCAGCACCACTGTACGGCCAAAATTTCCCTCATAGCACACTGCATGGGGTATGCCCGTCTTAATTAGCCAAGTAGGAGCAAAACAGTAGGACGTTAAACCCCTTTTCATTTCATTTGGCATCTGCTTTCGAAAGCCTTGGATTTATTGGGTTTTTTTAAACCTAAAAAAGGGATCTGCTGTGGATTAACACCATTTTCTGTGTTGAATAACGATTGGTTAACAAACGCTATAACATCTAATCAATATATCACCATGTTCATATATGATATACAGTAGGAAGACTCCACCTCAAATAGTTATATACTATTGGATTAGCAAGTACTAGACGAGAGACTTATTAGTTATGGGGGGGGGGGGGGGGTTGGATGGCTGAATGGTTAGCGTGCGCGCGCTGTATCATAAAGTCTGTCATTGAGTCGACTGGCGTGGTTTCGAATCCCCAGTTGTACGTGACAAGGAGTAGGGTCGCCTGTCCAACCTCGTGGGTTTTCTCCGGGTCCTCCGGTTTCCTCCCACTGCTAAAGACCCCTACGCGCAAGCGAATTATGTAAATAAAATTAAACCATATGTTAGTCCCGAAATGACCTAGTTTGTGTCGAGTGGATGTTAAACCCCATTTCTCTCTCTCTCTCTCTATTAGTTATGGTAGACACAAAACTTACATGTATACATTGCTACATCTGTGTTGAGTGTCGATTTATAATGTGAAAAACTGAGTATGTAAACTCCCCCTTTGTGAACTGTTTATTAGTTTGGTCTCAATCTGATTCAAATACAGATCTATATTTTGTTTTGTTTCGTTTTGATGGCCTTCACTATATGAAGATCTGAACAGTTTCAGTGGCTTTTGACCCTATGACATCAGTCACTTGATTATTTAACCAGTCAGTGTCAGTGTTTCAATTTGGTAATTGGAAATACAACTTTGCTTTTAATTGTTTTCTATAGATGTGAATGTCTATCCATAGTTCTGCGTGTCAGACGATAAGAACTTGACTCAACAGACCATTTGATTGGCTAATCCCTCACATCAACCAGAATGTGGGTTATTTAACAACTCTGCCAAATCCTAGTGTAGTAAAGACAAGTAAAACAATATTTTAAACTATAAAAAAACAAAACGAAATAGGATCTGTTTTAATCAATTGGTTTGATTTAATGTGTTATTTGTAGTAGTAATTGGGCGAGTAAGTGAACAAAATTTTTTTAACTGTTCATATTGTGTTTACGTATTGTTCTTTTGTTAACTTGTGTAGTAAACTCAATAATGTTATATTGTTATTTTCTAGTTTATATACGTGGATTGGAAGTGAAAGAAAATAAAAAACATCCTGATAATAAAATCGAGATAAAAGTTACCTGGTCAGATGATACTGTAGAAAATATCTTTAAGACACCTAAACAGCTGTATGATTTCCATACAAAGGTAAATTGAGGATTGTTATATTTAGTTGTATATATATATACATGTATCAGTATTAGACTTGCCGTATAGATTGGAATGGATTGATACATATATAATTAAAGTTAATTGTCACCAACTTGGTAATCTCGTCTATGTCGGTGTGAGCTGTCTGTCCTGATAAAATGTCATATAACAATGTTACTTTTTGGGGCAGATAGGACAATATGATACAAATTTTTCTACAAACTTGTAGTACAAACGTTGTAAGACAAATTGATGTCATGAAAAAAAATGTTTATGACAATGTAACAGTTTAGGAAGAGTGGTAGGTGTTACAGTAGCTCAATATTATCCAAAATTTTCGACATTGAAAACACAAATTATTTGTCAATTTAAATCAACATTGATGTTGTGATCTTACCTGGAAAAGATGGGCTTTACCATTGGTACATGAATTGTGTACCAGAATGCATTTCAGTGCCATTTGTAACTAGGGACTTGAAGAACGAGGCTAGATATTTGCCAAAAGTCATGTCAAACTGTTTAGAAATTACAGTAAAAACAGAAACGATTGAATGTTTATATACATTCATATTACATTATTATATGCATTGCGACCCACTTGTGTCAATTCCTAGGTCCCAAATATTGGCGATTTAGCTCTTTTAAAATCATGATTTTAGGCAATATGATGTAGTAAATCATTCAAATAGTTTTGAGGTTTCTCATTGTTTCAAATTCATTTGGTAACAATTCTATAAATGGTGACATGACTATTTACTATTGTTTTTTATACGCCCACATTTTCATGTGGACGTATATTGTCGTCGCCCCTGTCCGGATGTCCGTCCATCCACAATTGTTTGTGAACAGTCTACAGGTCACAATTTTTATCCGATTTCAATGAAACTTGAAATATAGGTTTATCACCCTAAGATCTCGGTTCCTTTCGATATTGGCATGTATCGGACTGTAACTTCATGGATTATGGCCCCTGATTGTACGAAAAATCACGTTTTTAGCTTGTGAACACTGTAGAGGCCACAATTTTTATCCGATTTGGTTCAAACTTGAAATGTATGCTTATAACCCAAAGATCTCGGTTCCTTTCGATATTCGCGCATATTGGAACGTAACTTCCTGTACGAAAAAGTCCCGTTTTTAGCTTGTGGACCTTATAGAAGTCATAATTTTTATTCGATTTAAAAAAACGTTCTATTATATCACCGTTACACCCTAAGGATGACTGAGTTTGAATTTCGTGAAAATCGGCCCAAAATTGACAGACAAAATGGCCGCCATTCGTTCCCAAATAGCGTAAGAATATGGTATATCAAGGTTGTGGACCCTGTTGAAACTTGAAATGTAAGTTTATAACCCAAAGATCTCGGTTCCTTTCGAAATTCAGGCATATCGGACCGTAACTTCCTGACTTATGACCCCTGATTGTACGAAAAATCACATTTTTAGCTTGTGGACCCTATAGAAGTCATAATTTTTACCCGATTTAAAAAAACATATTATTATATCACCGTTACACCCTAGGGACGACTGAATTCGAATTTCGTGAAAATTGACTCAAAATTGACAGACAAAATGGCCGCCGCTAGTTCTCAAATAGCGTAAGAAAATGGTATATCAAGGTTGTGGACCCTATAGAGGTCACAATTTTTATCCGATTTTGTTGAAACTTGAAATGTAAGTCTATAACCCAAAGATCTCGGTTCCTTTCAATATTCGCGCATATCGGACCGTAATTTCCTAAATTATGGCCCCTGATTTTACGAAAAATCGCGTTTTTAGCTTGTGGACCCTATAGAGGTCATAATTTTAATCCGATTAAAAAAACGTATTATTATATCACCGTTACACCCTAAGGACGACTGAGTTTGAATTTCATGAAAATTGGCCCAAAATTGACAGACAAAATGGCCCTGTTCATTCTCAAATAGCGTAAAAATATGGTATATCAAGTTTGTGGGCCCTATAGAGGTCACAATTTTTATCCGATTTTGTTGAAACTTGAAATATAAGTTTATAACCCAAAGATCTTGGTTCCTTTCAATATTTGCCCATATCGGACCATAACTTCCTGAATTATGGCCCCTGATTGTACGAAAAATCATGTTTTTAGCTTGTGGACCCATTAGAGGTCATAATTTTTATCCGATTTAAAAAACCGTATTATTATATTACCGTTCCACCCTAAGGACAGTTGAGTTTGAATTTTGTGAAAATCGCCCCAAAATTGACAGACAAAATGGCCGTCGTTTATTCTCAAATAGCGTAAAAATATGGTATATCAAGGTTGTGGACCCTATAGAGGTCACAATTTTTATCCGATTTTGTTGAAACTTGAAATGTAAGTTTATAACACAAAGATCTCAGTTCCTTTCGATATATGCGCATATCGAATTGTAATTTCCTGAATTATGGCCCTTGATTGTAGGAAAAATCACTTTCTTGTTAGCTTGTTCTCTATCCATCTCTCGAAAATGTGGGCGTATCCTGCCTGGCAGCCGCTGGTTATCCGATTTAAAAAAAAACATTTTATTTTTCACTGTTACATCCTAAGGACAGCTGAGTTCGAATTTCATGAAAATCGACCCAAAACTGACAGACAAAATGGCCGCCCTTCGTTCTCAAATAGCGTAAAAAGATGGTATATCAAGGTTGTGGACCCTATAGACGTCACAATTTTTATCCAATTTTGTTGAAACTTGAAATGTAAGTTTATAACGCAAAATCTAGGTTCCTTTCGATATTTGCGCATATCGAATTGTAATTTTCTGAATTATGGCCCTTGATTGTAGGAAAAATCACTTCCTTTTTAGCTTGTTCTCTATCCATTACTCGAAAGTGTGGGCGTATCCTGCCTGGCAGCCGCTGGTTTTATATAATTCTATAATTATAAACATTTTTTTCCAGCTTGCAAATTTTTTTCCTGCAAGTGGAGACCATGAAAAGAGAATTCCTTATTTGAGAGGTGAGTATGAAAAACCTCAACAGATTTTGAGAGATAAATATGTACTCTGATTTAATTGCATATATTTAACCTTATGGTGCCATACAGTAATGGTAATGCCACACAAAATTTGTTGTCTGGTTCTCAGACTATACTTTAAAAAGTCAGATGAAGGAGAGGGGGGATTTTTGTCAAGGGGTTCATGTGGAGAAATGACATCACATCTCAGGTTCTACATTTATCTCATCATCAATTTATTCATGTTGTTTGTAGTAATTGACTAATTCACATGTCGTCTTGGTCTACAGATGGAAGCACAGATTTTGTAGTTCTAATGTATAATTTCAGACATTTTTTTATTTCTGATTATTAGTAGTTTGCAGGATAATTACCATGCACAAAAAATGGATTTAGGAAGACAAAACCATATTTACAATTTTGGAATAATGAGACATTTATGATTCTCAATAACATTTATCAGGGTTGTGTACATGATAATTGAGCCTATAGTACACTTCCAGTTTCAACAATATGTGGAGTTACTTCCCTCTGACCAAGGAAATACTGAAGAGCGGTAACCAATGAGGATGTTTCAAGTGATGCCACACGAGTCATTCAAGTGGACCAAATTTTGGAATGTTGGGAACATTGGGCCAGTTGATATGGAATGACTCAAAATATTTAGAAACCAGAATTTTTTTTACATAACCTAGATAAGATGAACATAGAAGTGAATTGCTGTAGTCTTTGGGTATATCTGTAGTGTAGATTGGTCTGTTTGTGATCTAAATATTTTTATTTCTTATTTTTCAGTTAATAATTTTAGAGAAGATAAAGTTGATAGACATGTATTTTATACCTACATTCGGTAAGTACACCTCTTATTGTAGACATACTTCAAATGTCTTTAATCGGATGCTAATTCATACTTTATTGAAATAGATTAGTAAAGATAATCCCCCAGGAACAAACTAGATCAACACTGTGTGAATTTAAATCAGTATAATCTTCACCAAAACGCGTTTCGGGCTAATAGCCCTTCATCAGTTGGCAATTTGAACGATATTAAAAAAATAATCCCAGATTAGTGGTATATATACAAATTTTTGGCGCATGCGCCTTAAAATAAATTGGGATTAAATAATCCTTAGGTTAGGATTATTATTTAAAAGATTAAAAACATAATCCCTATACTGGGATTAAAAAATGTTGAAAATTAAAAGATGTAGAAATTTAATCCCTGTATATACTGGGATTTTAAAAGAATAAAAAAGTTGATTTTTTTAAATCAAAATTAATGTACATAAATAATTTTTTAAAAGTTGATAAATTTGAATAAAATGGATGTACAAATGAAGGGCTATTAGCCCAAAACGCGTTTTGGTGAAGATTATACTGATTTAAATTCACACAGTGTATATACAGGGATTAAATTTCTACATCTTTTAATTTTCAACATTTTTATTCATAGAGGTGACCAACAACCTCCCTATTCACTCACAATACGATATCTACCGCCTATCAGCATCACCGATTTCACGATCCAGAATTGAACCACTAGCTATGAAACTACTCCTTTGAATTCATAACCACGCATTTTAAAACCATACGTATAGGCCTATTCTACCTCTGCACGTTTGAAGACTAGGAGGTTCCGGATGACCGAGACTATACGTATTTCGTCTCTTAGGAAACGGCCGCCATTGATGTTACCTGACAATAGTCACTTGATGATAATCAACGTTTATATTTATTCATTTATTATATTAATTTTGTTTGTACATCCATTTTATTCAAATTTATCAACTTTTAAAAAATTATTTATGTACATTAATTTTGATTTAAAATCCCAGTATATACAGGGATTAAATTTCTACATCTTTTAATTTTCAACATTTTTTAATCCCAGTATAGGGATTATGTTTTTAATCTTTTAAATAATAATCCTAACCTAAGGATTATTTAATCCCAATTTATTTTAAGGCGCATGCGCCAAAAATTTGTATATATACCACTAATCTGGGATTATTTTTTTAATATTGTTCAAATTGCCAACTGATGAAGGGCTATTAGCCCGAAACGCGTTTTGGTGAAGATTATACTGATTTAAATTCACACAGTGTTGATCTAGTTTGTTCCGGGGGGATTATCTTTACTAATCTATTCTACACGGACTGGTTCCTGCTCTCCCTCAGATGCATCACTGAGATCCAAACCGGACCACATTGTTACAGGGGAATCTTCCGCCCTCCTACTTTTTCGAGTGTGGGGGTTTCATCGTCTCTTTGACTTGGAATCTTTATTGAAATAATCGTGAAATGCTTGTATATAGTTTGCTTTGTTTGTCTTTTCACAGAAAGTTGAATAATTTATCAAGACATATATTAGATTGTGATCATGTGGTCGAGTTCTTCAAGGGGGATCATCCTGCCAAGTTGGTGAAAAATCTTTCACCAAAATCAACGTATTGTCCTTCGTCATCACCTTCTAATCTGTCAGGAGGTTTGTGTAGTCTTTATTTTAATTTATAAAGTTTATTTCCGGTGAATAACAATAACTGTAGCAAAGATAGTGTGTGAGTTAGTTGTATTTAACGTTCGCTTCCACCGAGGTGATATAGCAAAGATAGGGTTCCCAGTCCCGCTGGTATATATGGTATAAAATTTGTTTCAAACAAACAGTATTTCACTTAATTTCTATTCACTGTTTGCATATAAACAGCTCATTGCAGTATCCAGATAATTTTGTTCGCTGTACCATCGTTTGAGTGATACAAATACTGACTCAAGCCCTACACAAAAACACTTTTCAATTCATTATGAATATTGAACAAAATTGAACCATTTTTGGACAGATATTTCTTTTATTGTATGGGGTCACGGTGGGTAAAATGCTGGCTCGCTAGCCTGGAGGTCAGATGTTCGATCCCTGCATTGGCCCAGAAAGTTCAACCAGATTTTCTGCCGTCGTTCCCTCTTGTCAGTGATGCAGGACGGAGGGCTGACAAGGACAGCTGTCTTGTCGTTCGATTGGGACAAAAAAACAAGGTCCTGTGTACACATTGGCGTGCACGTAAAAGTTCCCTTGACAGTTGGATTTGATATAAGAGTAGGCCGTAGTGCCGCTGTCAGGGCAAAATTTCCCTCATAGCACACTGTATGACGTATGCCCGTACTCATTAGCCTAGTTCGGAGCAGAACAGTAGGATGTTAAACCCCATTTCATTTCATTTTGTTTTATTGTAGTTTGTTAGGGATCAGAGACTTGAGCCATGTACGAAAAGTTAATATCATATTACTAATGTTGTTATTTGATATTCACATTAACTTGTTAGTTTGTTGAGAAACAGAACCTTAGTGAATGGATATATATATGGTCTTACTGTGACATAATATTCACTAATTGATCAAATCAATAATTTATTATACATCAGAATTAATCAGTTTGTAATCTATTTTTAGAAGAAGAAGATGCAATTCCTCCTTTTCCTCTTACATCTCTCACTTTTCTCAATTCACAACTTCCTGTATGTTCAAGTAAGTATCTATATTACTATCTATATTTAAACTCATATTTAAAGTTTGAACTACATTAATTAATTCATTTCTCAGTATTGTCGATTTCTGTGAAATAATAATTTTTGTCTACAAATATTTCTTAGAAAGCATTGTTTACATTTTCTGTAAAGATGACTTTCACGGGGCCAATAATAATTAAGGTTTCCAGAAATGATGAGTCTTAAATCAGTTAACTTACATATAGTAAAACTGGCATATTTTTGTCCATTCCATTTTAAAACATGGATGTAGTCGTTCTCTAGTGCATAACTGTACAAATAAACGACCTGTACAAATTAGTTGACTTGAAAAAAAACCATACTAGAATGTTCTTCCTGCTACAATTTTTCAGCTCTATGGGGATAGGAGATCAAAGGAGCATCATTCACGTTGGGGATAAATTTCGATAGTAATTTTTCATTAATAAATAATTCTTATAATAAGATATTATTTCATATTTCAGTATATACATTTTTATCTTGACACACTGACAAAGGGGTATAGAAGCATGAATTTATAGTACCGTACCATAATTAAAAACATAAAAGATATGAATTCAATTTGCAACATTTCCATGCTTTTACAAAACTGACTGTCAATCAAAATTTGGAAATGGAAGCTCTGATACTAGGGTATTAAGTACTGGTAGGTTTACGTAAACATATCAGAGAAAGAGGAATGGGACTTAATGTCTGTTTATCACAAATCTGGGGCCTGTTTCATGAAATTTTAACGAAAGATAAAATCCAAACTTCAGTTTTGATTGACTGAGCACTAAAATCAATCTAATATTATCCAATCAAATAACTAAAATTTGGATCTTATCTTAGTTATAATTTGGTGAAATAGGCCCCAGGTCACTAGCAGTGGGATGAAACCAGAGCACCCAGAGAAAGCGAACATGTAAGGCAGTTGTGACCCTTGTCCAACACAACCTGGAATCTAAACCACAAACACTTTACTGAGTGACAGACCACCTGACCACCCACAGACCTACCCTTGTAATAATAATATCAATAAAGTTGTACAGTAAAATGTCTGTTTTACATGTGCTTTGTACAGCAGGTATAGAGTTTTAAGTTTATAAAGTTATGAGTGTGTTATATTTGGATATGTTGTTTTTCAGATGTAGGAAAAGAGATGAATATACCTGTTACTGCTTTACCACCCAATAGGTAAATTTTCATACATACAAAAACCTTTCATAGATTATTTAGAAAAATTTAATTGGGCACAAGATATTGTTCAGTCATTTTCGATCAAGATGTCTACTTTAAATTATTTGGTACCATTAAGTTGACTTGAGTTAAACCTCAAGACGGATCTTTTCATATATATAGTGTGTGTTTTGTATTATGGTTTGCTTAGACCGGAGCTTGTCTCAATTGTCATGTTGAATTTAGCAAATTAAAAAGAGTCCTGATTGTTATTAATATCCTTAAATGACATTTAGAAGTAGAGATATAATATTTAAAAAAACACATCTTTATCACCCAATGATCAATAATGAATACAACCATACATTTATTATACATCCATGAGTAAGACAAATTATAACAATCAAAACATGAAATTAATTGAGACATAATAACAACAATCACTTTTCCTTTGAATGTTCTCCTTCGCTATTGTATATAAATAAAAAAAAGCCATACATCAGTCAGAAAATAACCTACAATAAGTACAGTGTTGGTTAGACATATTTCACTACACATATTCATATTTATCGTTGTATTTCATTTTGGGAGCCATGGTGGCACAATGAGTAGGACATTGGCTTGTTAACCTGGAGGTCCCATGTTCGATTCCTGCGTTGGCGGGGAAGGTTGATCGGCATTTTCCGACATGGTTTTCTCTTGTCAGTGGTGTAGGACGGAGGGCCTGGCAAAGGACAACGTATAGTCGTTCAGTTGGAACGAAAAATCAAGGTCCCTTGACATTCAGAATTCGATATTATAAGAATAGGCTGCATCGCCAATGTCCAATCAAAATTTACCTGCATGGTGTATGCCCGTCTTCATTAGCCCAGTCGTAACAAAACAGTAGGACGTTAAACCCCATTTCATTTTATTTGTATTTCATTTCTTTTTTTAAGACAATTTATTGGTCCAACTGTGCTGACTGCTCGAACAGAATCCCCTTCTCAGTCTCCCCCTTCATCATCGACTGAATCCCCTCACAATAGTCCATCGGCTTCACCCTTATCTCAAACATCGGAAATGACATCTGATACTCAACCGTTATTCAGTTTGGATGAAAACCCAGATCAACTCAGTAACTATACAGTCAAACAGGTGAGAAGATCGTTATTGATTTTATATATATATATATATATATATATATAGCCATATTTATTAGTCTATTGGGCCATCTATAATGACTTTTGAACAGATTCTTTTCCATTTAGTTTGAATTGAATATATAGGTTTTATAGCTCGCATGGATGTACTTTAGAATATCAGGTCTGTCATTGTGTCATGTTATGTGGTTTTGAACTGAGGCTAGTATGTGATAAGGAGTAGGGTTGGCTGCCTAACCTCATGGTTTCCTCCCAGTGCGGAAGACTCCTACTGGCATGCAAGCATATTATGGAAATAAAGAACTACTATAAATTAGTCCTGAAAACTTGGTGAGATTAAACCCTCTCCCTCTCTCTCTCTCACCACCACCCCCCCCCCCCCCCCCCACGCCACCCCACCCCACACCCAACTGCCCATTAGCCAAGCTGAATAAACAGACATGTTGGAAGTAAAATCGTAACAACATTTCTGTGATTATTAGGGCTGTGGTCTAAAATACTGGGCTATATATCTTATCTAAGGTATCTTATATACAATAGAAATTCTACATTTCCTGTGTAAAATCAACTAGAGTCTCAACATATATGCTATTGTATTGCAGCTTACGTGTATGAAAGATGAAGATCTTGTCAAAACTGATTTACCAAGAGATGCTCAGAAAAAATTGAGGAACAGAATAACAGAACATTTGTAAGTTTAAAATTTTGTTTTGGTTCACCATCTCTCAAATATGAGTTTGTCCGTCTGTCACACTTTTTGACTCACAATACCTCTGCTTCTAATGTAACTAGAATATTCAAATTTGATGTGGTTGTTCATTCTGTGAGTTCTTTATCTCAGTTTGGTGATGAGCATTTTCTGTTGGGCTAGTCAAAGCACATAAGAAATTTCATGTGTCCAGACTTTGGGACAGAATAATTCTGCTTCTAATTGAGCAAGTTAAAATGCTCAAAATAGGTGTCAATGTTTATTAGATGAATTGTCTTGGCTGTATATCTGTCACATATGTTGAGACACAATAACTCTGCTTCTAATTGAGGTAGAATATTCAAACTTGGTGTAGATGTTGGTTATGTAAATATCTTGGCAGAGTTTGATGATGGCGATCATTTTCTGCCTAGACTAAGGAGAGATAATCAATTGGATTGGCTGAGACTTCAGAACACAATAATTTTGCTTTTAATTGAAAGGGAGTGATGAAACTTGACGGTTTCATTATATCCATACGTTGTCTGATATTAGTTTGATAATGGACATGCTTTAAAATTGAATGTATATTTATTTTACAGTGGCAATGATAAACCAAATGGATTAGTTGAACCTCAGTTTACAGTTGCCAACATAATACCATTGGTCCCACCACCTGTGGGTCGTTACCCCGCCCACTTTACTCACCCACCACCTCTCCACAACTTCATACATCATTTCCAAAACATGCCAAATAGCCGTGATAATTCTCCAAGTAATTCGGAACCGTCTAGTCCACCCACAAGCCCCCACCTTAATCAGGCATCAAATCTTGTCAAATCATCCAGCAATATGGGATCACAAGGTAAGTATTGTTGGTGGATAAAAAATTTTTTCTCAACGGTTTTATTTTATTGTTCAACTTAGTCACTCCTCTGATATGCTAGTATCTTGACAATTATTTGACCTACTTTTATCTGATTGACTCTCCTAAGATTAAACACTTCAGATTTAAACATTTATTTATTAAGTTATCTATTTGTGAGTGTAGGTAAGTGCACCACAAATAAACATATATCTAAAAGACAAACTTGTTGATAAGGCACAGTAAATCAAATGAATGGTTACAGTGATACAGTCTTCACACTCATAACAAGGGAGATAATCCTTTAAAGCAAAACAAGAAAAGGGAAGCAATTTCCTGAACATTGATTTATTGGGTGACAGAACCGAAATGTGTTATAATGTGTCTTAAATTATTATACTTGTAGATAAAATACACAGAGATGATAAGGAATTTAGTCAAACTGGTAGTTTACCAAGAACAGGTGTTAAACACTCTCAAGGAGGAGGTTCAGTGAAATACCCTGTTCATAACATAAAACCGGACGGATTACTTCCTCAGCCTACCATAATCCCAATGAACGTTCCCGAATCTAGTCACGATTTACAAGGCTTATTAAATCAAAATGGCTACCAATCTGATAACCCACCAGCAATGTCGCCAGCTGTTCGACCTGAAATGTTGAATATACAAGTTCGACCATATTCTGGAAAACAGCCACATCCTAATATGGGATATTCACAGCAGAAGTTAGTTATGATGCCAGCAGAAAAGCAAGGAAATGCAATGGCACCTTCGATGGTTTATCCAATGCCCACGTCTGTCTTTTCAAGCATGATGGACAATCAAACACGACCCTTCATGAACCAACCAGGAATATTAGGTCATCCACCAAATTTAGGAAGCTCAAGACCAGGTTTCACAAGTGTCTCAAACGCGACAACGATGACGATATCAGGAGGACCAAGAACCTCTCTTACACCAACACCCCCTATGGCTGGCAATACAGGAACTAAATCCCCTAATAACAGTGCGTCAAACTTAGTGAACAGTTCATCAGATCCCAATCAACCCAATCACGAACAGACTAATTCACCATCTCCGTTACAAATGAATAATCCTGCTAATACAACAGTGCCTTGTTCTGCTGGTCCAGTGGCTCATAATCATCAGCCGTGTAGTGCATGTGGCTCACCACGCCCACCTAACTGGCCGATACCTGGACTCCTACCCACTTCTAACGGTTACATGCAAACTATTCCTTCCATACCCCACCCATACCAAGCACATATGCATCCACAGACATTTCCTAACGGAATGAATCCTGAACTTTTTTTTAATTCCATGCCAGTGCCACTGTTTTATAATCATCCAATGCCTCCATTTTTGTACGGCAATAACATGTACCCAGGTGTAGCTAATAATGTACCAAAGAAGACATTTTGTCATAATTGTGGGTCCAGTAGTCATAAAGGAGCAGATTGTAAAGAAAGCACTATGGAGAGTATGTCTGGTAAGTTTATGTGCAGGAACAAATTAAAACTTGTGACCGTTGAATCTCTTAAAATGTTTCAATTTCGTTCAGTATTTACGCATCCTCAGCAGGGAATACAAACAAACCAGTGCCACCTAGGAGTGTGGCATGAATCATTGATGTGCCTCTCTTTAATCCGATTAGAAACAAGCCAGCAGAAGATCGATTAAAAATTTGATGTACAATGTGATCGTAAACTTTAATTTCCTAGTTTACATGAGCTGAACATCTTTGGTTTTGTTTTTAGATAAGACTTGGGAATCAGATTGTTTACTAATTTTAGGGTTATTTACGGCTCTGACGACATTGGAAAACAAAATCAGTCATGTTTCGATATTGGCTGTATCTGTGGACATAAAATTTTAAGAGAAAGCCAGTTTACAATGCAAATAAAGACTTTAATTTCGTTACCGATTTTAGAGAGGAAACAAGATAGAAGATGCTTAACTGTTGATCGTTTCCCCAACAACAAAGCTTTCACAAACATAATTAATGCTGGGGAATTTTCCACACTGTTTTCCCCTTGTCAGTGATGCAGGACATAGGGCCTGACAAAATTTTTTTAATTAAGTGTAGACTGTAACAATGATATGCAGTCAAGATTTCCTTAGCATAACTTCAATAGCCTGGTTGGTGTAGAAAAGTAGGACGTTAAAACCCATATCATTTAATTATGGCTACATTATAGAATACCTCTCCCTCAATCCATGTAAAGTTTAGAATAATCAATTCAATTAGAGAATTCTATGTTATTCTACATAAGCATTGACTTTAGAATCAAAAGAAAAATGGTTATAGGTTTATACAACTTGAAAATAAATGTTTGAAATATTATGTTAAGATGACTTTATGCTATCCTTAAAGATGCCTTCCCATGTACAAACTGGGTGATTTGATGATGTATTTGAACGAAAAACATATTAAAACTAATTAATCTATCAAAACATTGTATTCGCGAGGAAATACCCCAAGATGTAAAGAATCTGTTTTAAAAGCCATGTTTGTCAAAAATCTTGATTAAGGGGGGCCCAATTTCAGAATGTATTTGTGGTTACTTACTGTCCATATACCATACTAGGTCAAGCTGGCAGACAATAAGCCTTCGGGTTGCTCGCTAGTGATACCTAGACATTTTTGCCCAGTGCTTGCCTGATGCGTGTTTTTCAGGGAATTCAGTATTTTTCTAGTAAGATTGGGCGTCTCTGCTTCCCATATGTACACCAAATGTGCCATACTTTTATTGAAAATACTACCCTATAAAAATACTTTAGTGGGAATGCATTTTTAAAATAAGTTGATAAACACGATTGTTTTCTTGAAAATTTTATATATTTAACTCTTCTTTTCATTGCAGGTCATTATCACTTAAATTACAAAATGAAATCTGATTCCGACTGACCTAAATAAACCTAGGATATTGGAATAACATGGCGAGATATTAACGATTCTGGTATCCTAGGAAACGAATTGGAAACTTTGTTTGATATTTAACATCACATGACTTTATATCAACTAATGTTTTACTCTCTGCTGAAGAGGCAAGGAAGTGTTCAAATGTAAATAGGTGTGAAATATTTATAAAGAAAGTTTCTGTATATTGTGATAAAAAAGATGAATATTTCCTTTGTTACAATTGTTATGGATGCATAGTAACAGTATTGAAGGTCAGAGTTCATTTGTCATTGAATATGATTACTCTGAATATTTACATGGTGCACAGAATCAAGAAATGTTTTAATGTTTTTTTTAACAGCTGTCATTTGTAGCTGGATAATTTCTACTGGAGAGATTTGTTTTCTCAAGGAAATTATTAAATCATGAATGAGAAAAGTGTAAGAAATGCATGATTTTTGAAATCAGTGATTTTATGATCAGGAAAAAGCCATAATAGGTAAAAGAGATGGTAGTGAGATTATTTTGTCATCAAAAATCCCAATAATACTTAAAAAATCGGAAAACAAAGAAATTTTGTTTTAAAGTGAGAACAATTGTAATTTTATGAATTGCTGTCGGAAATGTTTTGATTGTTGGTGTATTTGGAAATAGTGGCATGTGTATTTATAAAAGACTGAGAATAAAAAAGAAAGTACCCCTAACTAACTTATTGCAGCTAAGTGCTCGAGTACTGATCTCTGCGTGTTGATTGTTTGTGCTGTTATGTATATATAGGGCTATTTTTTAATTTGCATTTTATATGCGCAGATATTTATCAATTGAAATAACGGAGTAGAAGCACATCTATGTAAAAGATCTAATGAAATTGTGTTAATAAAATATTCTTATGTTATTACGCAGCAATAGAGCATACATCCCAACATGCATAGCATCAATAGTGCGTAGGAGGATTATTGACTAAGTTGCTCCTTCCAATACAAAGGTGGGCAATTCATCAATTATTCTTCGATTAAAACTCGATGTGGCTCAGTATTTGTGATAATCTTGTATATTTATTAAAGTTCCTAATCAAATATGGTCGATTTGGTTTTAGTTGCCAAATCTTGGAAGTGCTATGAACATATATTAAAACGTACATGCCCTTAGACTGATTGACAAACACTTTATTTAGTTCAGATGTATTTTGTCATTGTAGTTTGCTATTATATAGCAGGATAAAGTGTTTGTGAATACGGCCCATTTCTACATATGATGATAACTTGAGGGGAACACTAGTTGAAAATCTTTTTAAAAAATGAATTGATTAGTTTTCCTGGATGGATTATTTATTCTTTTTTAAATGGATAAAAGATGTCAGTGTATTCAAGATGACTGCCATTCTTATAATATACATTGAAAATATTAAGGAAAGATGTTATTTGGAGGAGAGGATTAGTATATAAACACTCACTGGTTCAATTAACAAAGAAATTTTTTTTTTCAACTAGTGTCCCCTGAATGTAGCATAACTGTGTATATTTTAAAACATATCTTATGTACATGTCAAATTTTGTATCTCTCTTAAACAATAAACCACATTGAAATAATCTTATTAAAGGACAATTGTCACATATTTTCAACAATATAGTTTCGTTGAAAAATCTCCTTTTACGACAAAGAGAAGTAGTTGAGTAATAACCTTTTACTGCAACGGTTCTCATAATTTATTGCGTTTCACTAATTCCCGCTTCTTAACAATTATCAAAAAACGACAATACAATGAATATTATGACCTCTATTAACAATTTATTTCTTCAGGTTTTGCACTTGAAATTATGCTTTACTACTCATCTTGATTTACCGAAATTTGTACTTTATTAAGAAAAATTAAGTCATATTAAGTATGAAGTTTTAAAACAGATTGAAAATAAAATTTATTTTATTAATTACTTTAGTGAAAGTATGTTATTACTTATGAACTATCACAAAGGTTTAAAAAATTGATATCCAAAAATTACATATTTTGTGTCAGCTAAAAATGGGTAAACATAGACTATAATTTTTTTTTTAGTTTATATATATTTTTTTTTCTATTACTTCAGATATTTCACATATCAGGTTATAATTGAAATTAATAACAAATAATTCATTACCGTGGTATCCAAGTGAAACAGTAAACAATCAAAATCTTTTAGGGTAACTTTTACTTTCTGTTATGACATTCCCTAAGATGAGGCCTTCATATGCATTGGCCTTGTATTTGAGGTCATGGGACATGACTTTATAAATAATTTTACTGGACATCAATACAGTGAACTATTGTCATTAGCAAAAAATAAAAAAAATAAATAAAATTTGATGAGAAGACAATGATTCATAATTTGTTAGAAAAGCGTACAAAAATGAACTGCTAGTAGACCTATATGCAGTATAGTATTGTATGTTTTCAGCAGTTCATTGACTTTAAATTATTTTTCTATTTTATATACAGTTAACTTCTGATAATTTTTGTGCCTGCTACTTTGACATTTTCTGCATTTTCTGAAAAGAGCGATAACTCACATTCTGCGCATGTTTTAATATGTCTCATTATCATAAATCATAATGCTTAGCATTGCTTATCTACTCACCAACCGTAAATGCTTTGGCCTGTTATTCATCAATACCTTCTGATTGTCTTACGTGGCTTTTTCATTGATCTGGAAATAACACTTCTCACTGTAGCTGACAAAAGTTCTTTCAACTGAAGTTGATTCCGATATGTTTTAAATATTTGCCAATCAGGTATTAAAAACATCAATAAATCCACAGAGCAAAAGTTGTGACTGAAAAAATTAGGCACTGGAGAACATAAGCCTGGCAGGTGACTTAATTTCAAGCTTGATTGTTAATATACAAAATACAGCACTAATTTTTTAGGTTAATCAGAATTTGGTAAATATTTAAATATAAGTGAAATAATGGAAATCTTGCTAAAGCATGGACGGTTTGTGAAAGGAAATGAGTGTTGTAGTAATATTTGACATTGCAGTGATCATCCTACATTATCCAGGAAGGTTAATATTTTATATACAATATGCTTTAATTGTCCATCTAATTCTTTGATAACCATCTGTTATGTTTGAAAGAATTGCCTTGAGTTTTCATTTAATATGTAGAATTGTGCTTAATTTTTGGATGTGATAGGTCAATTACTTTTTTGGTTATCTGTAAAACATTATGAAATGAATTTTTTCAGTGTAGAATATAGAGGTGTTTACTATATGCAGTCAATCATTATTCATTTTGGTATATCAGTGGTCTGGTCTGTAACATATTATTACCTCCCTTGACTCAAGTCTGCACACTAGTACCATTTGCATGGATATTCATGTTGATATCAAAGGCCAGCTCTGACATATTGAGCCAGTCTGGCATGCTGTACAGAAATGCATCTTCCAATGCTATTAACCTGAATTGAGTAATGATATTTTCATCACAGAGGCCAAGGCCGGAGAGGTTAAACCAATAACTAACTGGTTAGGGTTAACAACCTCTGTGGCTGAAACATTGGTTGAGAAAATTTTGTACATGTGATAAGTTACCAATGACAATTATACACCAACTTTCAATATTATCATGTTGTCACATATCAGTTGTTTGTTAGCATTTATCTATAATATCATTTAATCAATAACCAAAGAACTTATGTACATGATTTATACCAATGTTAGAAACCTTGATTTGATTTGATTTTAATTATTTTTCTGAAACATCCATTCTGTCAGGTCTCCACATCTGGTCGTAACTGAAGCCTAGCATACACAAGCGATTATTTTTGCTTTCTAAAGCAGCAAGTGTTTATTATGGAACCAACAATGCTGTCAAATTAGGCAACAACAAAACTTGATATCCTTTTCATTTGAAATGACGCTCACCCAGGTTATTTTTTTATAGCAATATGAGGCTAATTAAAAATCCCTCACAAATTGCCAAAGACACTTGCCCATGTGTGCTAGGCTTTAAGTAAAGCACAATAGTTGATCTATAATACTTACACAATTTGACTAAATTCATCCATTGGATTTCTTCCAGTTAATTGTTTGAAAATTACTTTTATTTTACATTTTGCTAAGATAATATCGCTTAGTACAAGTAAATTAATATTATTGATGGAATTGAAATCATAAGAAACTAGAACTTGTTGAATAAATTATTAGTTGATTTTCTGTATTATATTGATAAATATCTTTTATCCCAAAATTGAAGAATGTAGCAAATACCTTAATTTCTCTGTTTAAATGGCATCAATGCCAGCAATTTTATTTTTCATCTATGTACAAAGAGATTAATCAAAATACTTGTATATATCTTTATGGTATTACTCTTTACAGGTTTAAAATGGCGGTGACAAATATCTAATAACTTTAAAATGGTTAATCACTTGAGAATGGTTCCTAAAACTTGTTTATTTTTTAAATCCATTAATTAAGACTAAAGTGCTTCAAATTACATGGATCTATACTAAAAATGTTTTTTGTTTATATACTAGTATGTAATTCTGGTATTTATGTTTTCTGCTTTGATTTTTCTAGGGACTAAGTTGTCAATATTGATGTAATATGATTCGATAGTGCAATGACCTAAAAGATCTTTGTCTTGTGTATTAACTAGTCATTCAGTATAGATGTTCTTAATGTGTATTCCTATAGAACTGAATCACAGCACATATTTTCAAGGACAATTTCAGTTAGGATATTGAAAGATCATTTGTAAATTGTTTGATGAAATGAAACCTAGTCGTTATTGTCCGTACAAATATGGGCAGTGATTAGATTTTCTGTGATCACCTAAAGAAACATTTTTAACAAATATATTCTTGAAATAAATCGAGATTAACATGTATATTGATTTCATCAAAACAATATTATTTAGAGATAATTTACAATATCATTTGGGTTCTCGATACCTCTATATACAACGCAGTTTGTATTGGACAATCTGATATTAACTTTATTATTACAACCTGAATTGTGACATACCTCTTTAATAGGATTATTTTTTCCTTTGACCCTATGATATTATGACATATGATTGATACCTTGACTATATTGACTGATTGTGGGTAATACAGAAATTATTGTATCCATCAGAGCCCCTGTTACAAATAGATATATTGTAGCAAATATTGACCCAACTATTTCGATCTTCCCTTAATCTCATTTCTTATATATTTTAGAACTTTAGGAATATTTTACCCGGTGTAAGAAATAGTTGGCTAACGCAGTCAAGGTTCATATTCATATGTTGTAACATTTTGAAGCTTATTTTTACTCCTTTTTCTTTTTTTTAAAATGATCTATATCTTGTGTCAAAGTATAACTTTTATATTAAAACATTGTACTTAAATTATTATTAAATAGATCGAAGAATCTGAGCAGTATTGGTCATTTAAATCGGTACCTATCAAAATTAGATTACTGTAAATGGAAAAAAAAAAAACCTATAAAAATGCAAAGTAAAATATTCAAGCTTTGTTTATATTTCCTTTAATCAAAACATCAAATGTATGAACTTTCTTTGTATAAGCAGTGTCATTTAGTATAGTGTCATTTAGCCTAATAAGGACATAAATAGGATGTAAATGAAATAAATCCATGATATGATGTAAAACTGTGTTAAATTATGGACAAACAATGTACATAAGATATAATATATAAAATCCTTTATCAACGCTGTGGTTTATGGACAAAGTGCTGCCCTTTACAAGGTTTAGTTGTTAATATTCAAATAAATGGTGATATGCTGTTTCCATGGTCACAAAACATCACAAGGGGGAGATGACTCTAATTGTGCTGTTCTAACTTCCATTTGTTACTGAACTCTTTTAATAACTTATATATATTTTTTCACATTTTTTAATTATGCAAATGGTTGTTGAATTTGAAAATGGGTTTGTATATTTTCATGATTTAATAATGTTTATTGTCTGATTTTAATTGACCTTGGATTTCCATGCTATATTTTATATTATTGTCATACCCTGCTCTCTTAAAAAATGATGGAGGTCTTTATTTTGTCAGTTTCTTTTATATAGTTAACAATGTTGATCTGATTAAGATTCCAGTAATTATGCTGTCTACTTGCCATTGTCTAAAATTTCGAGTTGTGAATTTCAGATAATTTTGAAATAATTATAGGCTTGCTTATAGCTTAATTTTAAATATGGGGAAATTGAATTCTTGAAGAGAGATGACCACGATTGGAGACTGAAGATCTCCTGTTCAAATGCGAATAACATTTGGTTTTTTGATCGAATTAATCAACATTCTGTGTGCTATATTGAAGAAATTTAGACAAAATGATTTCCTTCGCCATTTCTAAACAGTCTGTCATAGATGGAATTATATGGAGAGTTTTAATAAGCATATATTTTTCAGTACTAAAATTATTAGTTGATCTCTTATAATCCTTAATGTTGACATAGTGTGCATTTGTACAGATTGTCTGCAAAAATGTATAGTATTGTTAAAAATACTGATATTTTATTGGATACTCTTTTCCATACAATCAAATCCAAAGCAATTTATTGTTTTGAAGATTTCATGGTCGTTTGTAAGAGATTGCTGTCTCAATTTGCTAAATGATCGACATATACAAGCATACACTATATCAGGTGCAAAAAGCTTATTAAATCTCTACATTATTCCAACTATCGCAGTTTCATTATTTTATTAGTCCGTCATTTTGCATAAATTGGTTTTAAGCTTGAAAATAAATAATTAATTATTTTAGTCTAACAATAACATTGTGTAATTAAAAGGCTTCCTTTATCATGTCTGAATTTGACAAAGTTCTTAAAATACACTCTTCATGTAAATTTTTACAAACAATATATTTTCATGGCTTATTTGGTGTAAATCTATTTAATCTTGGATGAGACTTGTACATAACAGTTGGTCAGTGGATGAACATATTAACTTGTTATTGTATGTATGACTTACGTATCATAAAAATAACATTTTCCCTTTTTTTGTTGAAAAGTTGAAATGATTTCATCTCTCTATATGTTCATATTGTTTTTCAAACTCAAATTATATTTATAGCAAATGACAAATGTACAATTGTATTTTATGCATCAAAACTACCTGTTCTTGTAATGGGAGAGAGAAAAAAATAAAAAAAATAAAAAGATTTTAAAGATATGATTGAAAAAGTTATGAGTTATTTTTGTAGACTGGATCTTTAACACACTGATCAGCAGTGAATATTCGCTAGGCCGCTAATGTCACTGAGACGGATGACATCGGTTTGGGTTAATGAGCTCACAATATTAAAGGGGACGAATTGCTAATATTTGGGACCTAGAAATTGACACAAATGGGCTGCAACGCATATAACAATATAATATTATATTATGTTCATCGAAATACGCCAGGTCTTAATCAAATGGCTATCTCTAGCGTCTGGTTATTTAAGTCTGCACCGAAAGTATTTATTGCGCATGCTCTCCAGATAAAAATATGACGTCACTGTTTGACATAACTTTTGGAATATGTCTAGCCTCGTTTTTCGAGTCCCGTCTTACAAATAGCGCTGAAACGCATTATGGTACATGATTTGTGTACTAATGGTAAAATGTTTATTTTGTCTTAACGGTAAATTTTGGATATGAGAAGCTCATCTTTTTCTGGTACGAGCACAACATCGATGGTGATTTAAATTGACAAATAGTTTGTGTTTTCAATGTCGAAAACTTTCGATGATATTGATTGGTTAACTTGCGTTGTATCATAAGGTCTTTCATTAAGTCAACTGGCGGGATTTCGATTCCCAGGTTGTATGAGACAAGGAGTAGGGTCGCCTGTTTAACCTTGTGGGTTTTCTCTGGGTATCCTCCCACTGCTAAAGACCCTATGCGCAAGCGAATTATTGAAATAAAGTTGAACCATTCTGTTAATCCCGAAATGACCAAGTATGTGTCGAATGGATGTTCAACCCCATCTCTCCTCTCTCTCTCTCTCTGTAATCGAGTCAACTGGCATGGTTTCGACAAGGAGTAGGGTCGCCTGTCCAACTTCGTGGGATTTCTTTGCGTCCTCCAGTTTCCTCTTTCTTTGTGCGTATGGAAGGAGTATTTCGGGACCCCACGACCATATCCTTAACATTTCTGAACTGGTTCATAAACATCTAGCGAGAATTTTATACATTGTCAGCTATTTAATGTCGAGTATAATGCTGCAAATAGAGCGGAAGTGAGGCAGTGGCAACATTCACTATTTGACAAGAAACTACTATTACCCCACCCCCCTTTCCTTTAAACATTTTACTGGTTGTAAGTGTCTAATCTGTTCTGCGCTAGCTTTGTATTTGAAATCTTTCTTACTGATGATATTGTATTGGTCATTCTAGTAATCTAGATCTGGAAACAAATCTAGGTATACTCTACTAAACCCGTCAACAGATTTTTATGGTTTCGAAAATACCCTATAATTCATATCTTCACTGTTAAAGTAGCTAAGTCTCTAACTCAATATCATTCAAAATCTTCAACATTGAAACCACGATTTATTTGTCAAATTAAATCAACATTCATGTTGTGATCTTACCGGAAAAAGATGGGCTTTTGATATCCAATATTTAAGACAAAATAAACATTTTACCATTGGTACACAATCGTGTACCATAATGCGCTTCAGCCCCAGTTGTATCAAGAGACTTGAGGGACGAGGCTAGACACATTGCACCAAATCAAACGGCGTATGTAGACTGGAATAACCAGACGCTAGAAATTTGCACTCGCTTGAGACTGCTGGCTTATTTCGCCGAACATAACTGATTTGAAATTGGAGTAAAAACGGAAACCATTGAATGTAAATCAGTTTATATACATTCATATTACAGTATTATATGCGTTGCAACCCACTCTTGTCAATTTCTAGGTCCCAAATGTTAGCAATTTAGCTCCTTTAATACCTCGAATATTTTTTTTACTTTGATTATTATTCAGTCTTTATATGAAGTTGTAGTTTGATCGTATTTGAATTAAAAAAAAATGGATCCAAAAATCAATTGATTTCTGACTATGACTCAACTTTTTACCAACTGGTAATCAGTGCCACATTTAGATGAAGAGAGGCACCAAGGCTATTTATTTCACGATCTCTCACCCTCACGAACTAGAGGAAGATGAAAGTGTGTTTTAAACACAAAATGCAAATCCAAGGATGATACTGTTTCAGAAAGGCTGGGTGTCAAAAATATACACATTGGCCGGTGGCCTGTTCAGATCTTGACTTCAGTCTGCCAAAATAAAGAGGAAACTGGCACTACTGGTAATCATTGTGCTCACATGTATATTTTGGGCCATTGGGCATTACATTGCCATTGGTTAGACCATACGAGCTGGATTGTCTAGGGATGAAATCTGAACATTTGAGATCACATCTGAAGATAAAATTTACCAATCCTTTAGTCATGTGAAAAGGAGCTTTGCCATTCCCAAGGATACAGGGACAAACAAAACCGTGTGGTCACTAATTAATTATGGTTGATATTAGTAATTGTAATGATTGCTAGATTACTCAATGAGTCTCTAGTTGCCTATAATAGAATCACAATGTGATAACCTTTATTGATCACTTTGCAACTGTAGGAGTGCACTTCATTGCCAGGCAACCCATATTTACAAATGTGGACCACATTCATGATTATTTCCCAATTCTATCTGTGTCAATACTCCATTTTAGTGAACCATTATGGATCTGTTGCTAATTTTCTTACAATATGGTATGTATATGGGATTCATTTTAATGTTGGAGTGTACTGTATTCCACAATTCTGGTAAACACTCTAGACTGCAGGTTAGAGTTTTTAAAAAAATTGCTTTCAAACTTAATAGGAGATCCTTGCAATTCCATGGAATTATGTTATGTTTGTAGGCAATAAGTTCCTTCTTGAGAAGCCAAAAAGGGAAGTGACCCTATTTGTCACAATGACTTTTGGATTCAGTAAACTTGGTCATTTCAAGACTCAACAACATAAGAAAATAAAACAAACTCCTGTAAATATGTTTAATTTGACAATTTATCTTGTTGCAAATAAAAAATAGAACATGATAAGGTTTCTCCTCAAAATAAAGGTGTAGTAGCAGAGCAAACAGTAGTGCCTTCAACACTTGTAAGGCAGTTTAATACACATGACTCAAGAACAATCCAGTTACACATCATTCAATAACAATACATTTTGTACTGTATCATTAGCAACAAATACACTGTAAAGCAAGATATCTTTATTTAGAACTTTAAGATGCGAAATCATCCTTTCACAAAGAAAATCTATTTTTGTGGCTGATAGGACTAAAGAATATTGACTAGTTGACAGCAAAATGAGTTGTAAGTCGCCAGTAACTGTTTAAGTATATGTACGGAAATGTACAAATAGGGTACCTGGGCCCAAGTTCACAAAGCATTCTCAGACTTAAGTTAAGAATTTGCACAACTTTTAATCACTGTTTATGAGAAATATCTTTGATCCAGAAACACAAAACTTTCTTATTGATGTACTTGATACATTAAAACAACAAAAGTTTTATAAAGGGCAATATTTTAGTTAAAACAAGTTTGAGTAAATTCTCAACTTAAGTCTGAGAATGCTTTGTGAAATCGGGGCCAGATCAATATAAATATTTTCTTTGATTTAAACTTTTACCTTATATCATGAAAATAATATACTTGACCTATTTTAACATTTATCACATAGTAACACAATGACTTGTAACTTTCAACTCATTTTGCCGTTAAGGTTAGATATGCCCTTGATTACACTTCTACAACATTACAATGTATGCAAAAATGCAACTTAATCAAAATGCATCTGAGGATCATATTATTTCTAGCATATATGTGCACATAATTGGATGCTTTACAGTTTTCCATCCAGAAAAAACAAGCCAACAGTGAGGCTGATGTCCCCCGCCGAAATAGGAAAATAATTAGAGGACACATATAAATTTATCACAAATTATCTTTTACAAAGTATTGAACAATCAAACAGTATATCTTTACTTATAGTCTAACAATCAAAGTAGGAGAGTTATTGTTTTCCAAAGTCTCGACCAATCAAATTGCGTATCGCTCTGCTTACCCTGAGCAGAAAATGCTCATTATCAAACTTAGTCAAGGTATTACTGTAATGAAACTATACACCAAGTTTCATCAATCTCACTTAATTAGAACTAAAGTTATCGTGTCCCAAAGCATCAACCAATCAAATTGCTTATCTCTGCTTACCCTAAGCGGAAAATGCTCATCTTCGAACTCCATCAAGGCATTGACCTAATCAACACATACACCAAGTTTGAACATTCTAGCTCAATTAGGAAGAGAGTTATCGTGCCCCAAAGTATCAACCAATCAAATTGCTTATCTCTGCTTACCCTAAGCGGAAAATGCTCATCTTCGAACTCCATCAAGGCATTGACCTAATAAACACATACACCAAGTTTGAACATTCTAGCTCAATTAGGAAGAGAGTTATTGTGTCCCAAAAAGTGTGACGGACAGACAGACGGACGAACCCATTTTAATAGTCCCCTGCTTTCTTCGAAAGGTGGGGGACAAAAAAAACAGAAACAAAACTTAAACCAATAACAATTCATTATCAATCACATTAAATTATTATTTCCATATTATACCATCATTAAATAAATTTAAATTTCATTTCATCGTTACCCTGGTCATATAACAACTTTTGACCAGGATTTATTTATATCTCAACATTTATTCCACTTTTTACACAACAGCCAGGATTAACTATGTGAATCCCTCAAAAAGAAATTACTTATGTCACCTATAGCTACAAAAAGGGCATCATCCCTCATATTACCCACAACACTTGTAATCAAATTTTTTTTACGACAAAATAGGGCTTTTCTTTTATAAACATGTAATATTTTAACAGATACACAATTACAATAAACATACATAACATTGCGTATTTCAATGCAACTTTTTACCTGAGAAAATAAAGAGATTTATACTATGTAGAGTTCCACACCATCATCTGAGGAAAAAAACTAGACATTTTTGTCATTTGAACATGGTTTCTTCTTGTACTACGGACACCTGATACACATTATAATTATACTTTCTGATGACCTATCAGATAATTCCCTGTTGATATATGGCAGATCGAACACAGATAACAAAGCATGAAGAATGTTGGCATACTAGACTGGTGCAAAAACAATGAGACAAAAATATAAAATTATCTTCCATTGTTCAAAATGCCAAAATAATTTAAATATAAAGTAATGCATGTAACATAAATAATGAGGTTCGAAAAAAAATTAATTGTTCATTTAGTAAACTACATAATTAAATAATGATGCTCAAAACTTAGTAAATAGTATTATCTTAGTAAATAATAAATCATTTAAACAAAGGTATTACTGAACAATATATATAGGCTATATATACAAAGTACATGAAAAATCTTAAATTGATTTATCGCCCAAAAAGAAAATCATTAGTACATACAATATGAACTTATTGCCTATAAAAATTATTAGAATCCATGTCGATAGTAACAATAAATGCCCCCCTCTTCCTCCATCTCAGATTGTCGCACGCAGAAAGCTGTGGTTTTGTGTTTTTCACGCAACTGTCAAAATAGACACAGATAGGTATCCGGCACCACATCCAACTTGTTAGCACATTCAACTTATAAAAAGGAATTGGTTCAAAATTAGCACACTCATATCGCACACAGTTTTACTCAATAGCAATTCAAAAATCACAGCACATACATTTTAGCTTCAACATCATGGCACAATCACTTTTTCTTTTTCAAAGCTTGTCTAAGTAATTCATCAAAGTCTGAAACTGGTGCTTTGGGTTGCATTGGCTGAAACATATCTTCATCATCTGCTTTACCATCTAAAAATAAAATAATTTATATTAAATCTAATTTGTCAATGTATCTTGTCCTTATAATTTACTTGCTGAACATCCAAGTCTACTCTATCATCATTAGACAGCCAATCTGTTATAGATAATTAAATGTCAGTGGTGTGATGTTTCCCAGATCTCATGAATAGTACAAGTATAAATGAATTGTCAGGATAATTATTGGATTTGACTTCCTTCGTTATTTTCATCTGTCACACGACAAATTGTGATAAATAACAGGCAGGCTGTTTACCTTTAACTCAAGCAATGAAATGTCAAATGGTCTAATTTTTATATTACACCAGCACTACTATCTCAAGACAATTTGCTGCATTTTAAATTTCAATTAAAATAGTATTGTTCAAAAACATTTATATTTTATTTACCTAAATCAGCATATTCTGTATCACAGAATTGTCTTCTGCCACCAAAACATAACTCAAACTGTAATTCACCTGGTACAGCATTACCTTCTACAAATATACAGAATATTTATAATGGTATTTAAATGAAAGAGTTTAACATGTATTTGATCCTAACAATTTTCCGGCGTGGTTCTCCCTTGTCAGTGATGCAGAATGGAGGGCCTAACAAGGACAGCTGTCTAGTTGCTCGGATGGGATGAAAAACTGAGGTCCTGTGTACACATTGGCGTGCACTAAAAGATCCCTTGACAGTTTGAATTCGATATAAGATTAGGCTGTAGTGCCGCTGTCCGGGCAAAATTTCCCTCATAGCACACTGTATGGTGTTATGCCCATCTTCATTAGCCCAGTTCGGAGCAGAACAGTAGGAAGTTATACCCCATTTCACTTCATTTGATCCTAACAAGGATAATAAAGGACAACTATATGGTTTATTTTCATCTGAATACCCAGAAACAATAGCCACACAGACAGGCAATCCTACACCTTGCTATGTACATAACTGGAATTAAACCCCTGAATAACAGGATCAACCCAACCCCTCATATGTCATAATGTAAATAAAGTAATAGAACATTTACTTATTACATATTTTGTTCAATTAAACCACAGGAATAACAATATAAAAGTAGTACACAGTCTTACTTTCAATAGCAGCATAAGCATCACAGGTATAGGCAAATGTCACAAACCCATAATTATCTCTGTAAAATACAATATCAAAGAGAATAATTTTCAGTCCGATATTTCTGAAGGCCAGAAACCTCACATTGTTTAATGTTTTACTATTTAATCTGTGCACAAAATTGGTATAGAGCCAACCGAAGGTCACCATTCTGAGATCAACACTAACTGCCAGTAAATCAATCTTTGAGGACTAAAAATAGCCCCACAATTTTAAAATAAAACATGTGGAATACAAGTTAGTTATTTACAAGTTGATTCTAGCTATGTTACACTGAGGTTTCTCTCATCTTGATCAAGCAAAGAATGGTTTGAATCTTGCCGGGGGTGAATATCTGAACTGTACATTTGATTGGCTACGCATGTTTTACGCATTGAAAACTCGGTGTATACATATTAAAAGGTTTTAAAATACAGATGTGACGTCATCCTTTGATGTTGGCGTACCATTATTTCCAATAATGTACAGGCAACTTGCCAATCGTACATTATCTATACTAGATGAAATATTGGACTCGCGTGACGTATTTTATTGAAAAGCATGTGCGGGATTGTGTCTGTATTTTAAGTTGTTTAATGGTCTTGTGCTAAAGACATTGTGTAATATATGGAAACAGCACTCGGCTATCGCCTCGTGAAGTATCAATATATTACTTAATGTCTCGTTCTCGACCATTAAACAATACACAGATTATGACAATTTAGCTCTTAACTAATAACGATAATTCAGTTAATGTAATTTCTACTACATAAAATAAAACAATCTTACCCAGCTTCTCTAAAATGTGTACTGACATTTTCTATTTCACCAAATCTATCAAATCGTTTCTTTAAATCTCTTTTAGTATAGGTATCTGGTATACGACCTACATACACTATTCTACGTTCTCTCTATAAAATCAATAAACTGTATAAGGCTTGTGCAAAACACAAATCAATTTAAGAAGGAAAATAATTTTCTGATGTCGAAAATGTGGTATAATACTGACTTTGCAATGGATTTCTAGTCACTTAACTTTGCTGGAAATATTCAATTGAAATCGACGTTAATCTGAAGCACAGATGGTGAACCATTCGAGTGTCATGTGTAAAATATTTCTAGGACTTTTAAGTGTAGGATAAAGCACGAGACTGAGGTTATGCTGGGGAAAGAAAGACAAGAAAATAACCTGAAAAAAACAAAAACCGAGACCGGAGACCAAGGTTTTTCTTTCAAGGTTTTTTTTCTTCAGTCTTTCTTCCCCAGCATAACCGAAGTCGAGGACTTTATTTTCCTTATAAACCGTCTATGTTTACATGTACGTAAAATGAGAATATCCCAGAATTCCAGTAAAAAAAACCCTTATATCATGTTTTCTTATGGGGTAAAAAAAACCCCAACCTATTCTAGAAGAATAACCTGGTACAGGTTTAAAGAAAAACTTGAATAATAACCCCAAATTCCCCTGTACATATTCAAAGCCGCTCCCACTTTCTGACCGCAAGTTATTCTGTGCATAGAATATACCCCAAAGATCAAAGAGATTTACCATTATAGGTTTATGATGAGCAATATGACTGATGCCACTGTGCATAATAGGGTCTTTTTATATTAGATCATTATTATAATAAAGTGAAATGTATCACTTGGAAGGGTCTAATGTGCACGAGGTTTAGCAGCCCTGCTCTAAAGAGTATTTTTAATCTTTAAACAATTATATTGAGTATAACTGTCTTACAATTTGTCTTTCTTTCTCCTCTTCCTTTCTTTTTTTTCTTGCCAGTTTTATTCTCTCTGTGCTTCTGTCCCTGGATCGAGACCTTGAATAGGACCTTAAATAGATTTTAAATATCCATAAATATGCTAGTCTAATAAAATAGCTTAATGCCTATTGATTTGCTCCAAAAGATAAGACAGAATTTATACGAGAGACAAATTTCTTAATTCTTCCAACATTCTAGTGTAAAATTAGCTTAAATGTCTATCCTCGAAAGACATAATCGTAAAAGAATATTTTAACAATATAAAACTAACCTATGTCTATGACGTGAATGGTGTCTAGAACGTGAGCGGTAAGTGCGTGCTCTTGATCTGGATCTAGATCTGTACTGCCTAGGACGTGATTTTGAACGTGAGCGAGAACGCGAACTGGAATAACAACTGGATCTGAAAAAGATAAGCATGCTACTTTACTATCAAAACAGGGTTTATCACTTTTGTGTAAATCCACATATGGGCTCAGCTTAACCTGTTAATTAAACCCATTGTTTAAAATAATAAAACATTTCCTCTAGCATCTTGGCAGGTTGGTAAAAATAAATATTTGGGGGATGTTCAAATTGTATTGCATTCAAAGTCTGATTTTCAAGACATTCATTATAATCTTGTGCAAAATACCTTACCCTGCAGATCATCGCCCAGATACCTGTAATTGGTAGACCTTAAGATTATTTTAATTAGGTTTTTTTTTTTATATAATAAACAATTTTCTTTATGAAAGTGATAATGCCTCTTTTGGTATCATACCTTGATCTACTGGAAGATCTGGAACTTGATGAACAAGAATGTCTTCTACGTCTCCTTCGAGACCTACGATATCTGTCACGCGATCTGCCTCGAGATGAGGAACGAGAATGTGATCTAGAACCGGAACTACAAGATGATGATGAGGAAGAGGAGCTAGAATAAGAACGTGATCGCGACGTTCTTCTAGATGAAGGTCTTGAACTAGGTCTTTTATTATGTTCATTATCAAATTCATCCATTGGTTCAGTTTTTATTTGTATTTCTGCCACCTCTTCTTCCTGTCCGTCGTATCTAGTACTGTTCGTAAAGCAACTATAATAGTCGGGTAGTTTACTATAAAGTGTATCCATCTCTCGAGTCGGGGATCTATCACGGGGTATGTAATCCTCTATAGTAATCCCTGATCCTCCCACAGTCTTTTCTTTCTTGGGCGGTTTTTGAGGTAACGATAGTGTTGTGAAATACGCAGGAATTTTATCATAAAATTTACTAGCGTCGGGCACCATAGGCTCTTCACGTTTTCTATAATTACGCTTTGATTTTAAATTTCTAGGACAAGGGAAAAACACAGTTTCTTTCGCAGGGTTTTCCATACTTTCTTCAACACTAATATTATGATCCGAATCGATTATCTCCCCTTCTTCCACGCCACTGTCTTTACTTTCCTGACTAACACTAACCGTCATATCGACAGAATCAGTCACACTACCTAAACTAGACATACTTCCACTTACACAATTACTAAATCCTTCAGTATGAACTATCTGTTCATGATCAACATTAACAATATCTATTTGCACGTGATTATCTGATGTCGGTGAGCGAGCTGGAGTTGGGGTACTACTAATAGAGGGACTCGAACAATAATCATGATCAATTGTAACATCTTGGACAGTCTGTTCGCTAACTAGTTGCTCATCAGATTTTGTAGTACTATTTTGTTTAATTATACGCTGCAGCTTCATGGAACCACCAGAGATGGGGAGCTCTGTTGGTGGTCCTCTACCTTTCTTAGACGGAATACCCAGTGGTAACATTATGGTGGCTTTACGTTTGTTAGCTTTACCAGCTCGTATCTTGTCAAGAACTTTAGAAGGTACAACAGGTGATGCTTCACCTAAAATTAAAAGATAGTTATATTTAAATATTGTCTTGAAAAAAAGTAAATATCTATTTTTTGGCAAAACCATGGACTAACTATTCAAACAAGCCAACAGTGAGGCCGATGTCCCCCGCCAAAATAAATAGATGACATATTGATTAATTGGACATTTATCTTTTTACAAAGTATTGAACAATCAAACTGATTATCTATACTTTGTCTAATTATAAAATGTTCAAGATCATACTCAGTCAAAAATTTGAAGTACCTGGTAGTGAAACTATACACCAAGTTTCATACAGAATCAACTTATCTTGTCCCAAAGCATCATCCTATGAAATTGCTTAACTCTGCTTAGCTTTAGTGGGAAATTTTAATCATTGAACTCGGTCGCCTACACTAAGTTTGAACATTCTAGCTCAATTAGAGTTATTGTGTTCCAAAGTCTTCACCAATCATATTGCTTATCGCTCTGCGTACCCTGAGCAGAAAATGCTCATTATCGAACTTAGTCAAGGTATTGATGTAATGGAACTATACACCAAGTTTCATCACTCTTAATTAGAACTGAAGTTCTTGTGTCCTAAAGCATTAGCTAACCAAATGGCTGATCTCGGCTCATCTTCAAACTCCATCAAAGCATTCAACTAATGAATGCCTACACCAAGTTTGAACATTGTACCTCAATTAGGAGAGTTATTGTTTTCCAAAGGAGAGATATTGAGTCCCAAATAGTGTGACAGACAGATGGACATACGCATTTAATAGTCCCCTGTTTTCTTTGAAACGCGAGGGACAATTAAGCAGGGTGCATGGGTGATCATGGAAACTTATCTGATGTCATCCAAAATTAGGTGTTTTTTTTTGGGTGTGTGTGTGTGTGTGTGTGTGTGTGGGGGGGGGGGGTATTCGCAACCATTTGTTTGGAGAGCTCTTGCTGCTTTGTTGCTTTAATGTCAAGATGGCTGATGTGAAATTCTTCATTTAAATCTAATTAAGTCAACAGCTGAGCTATTCTATGGATCATCCTTAAACTTTTACTTGGGAAATAAAGGACATTTGATTTGGATTATGCCAATAGTAAGTAAACAGATGTTGTGTTTAGGTATGTAGTCAACGAGATCAATGTGTCAGCAGCTTGCACAGAAAGAATAAAGGCCAAATAAAATCAATCTAATCCAATTGATCAGTTAAAATACAAATTAGGCAACAGCAATTGAACTCGTCAAAAAGTGTTACCAGATGTTTGGCAAAGATTATGGTTATTACAGTAAGCCTAGCAATACACATTCATCTATATGGATTTACTACATCAATTTTATTGGGACAAAAAATCTAAAAATTTCAAACCTGATTTGGCTGAAGGGTGGTTTTCACTGCTTATAGATTTTTCTGGATTCTGGTTTTCAGTATCCGAGTCATTCCTAAAAAAAACCAAAAAACCTTGGAATACTTGTTTTTTAAGATCGTATATTTCTTTCTTTTCATGCCAACATTGACTTGATACAGTCAAACATGCTATAGGCAGCTGGTTACTGGAATAGTCCACCTATATACAAAATTTTGTATCTCATTTAAATTCTCTTAGAATTGAGAAGTGTAAAGAAAATGAAATCAAACTTACCCAGACTTAAGTATATTTTCTTCACTTGATTCTGTAAGTATTTCATCAGTTGATTCAGTAGCTGGAATAAACAAATACAAGAAATTAACCTAGTATTCATAGAAACTAGAACAGATAGATAAAGCAGTACAACTACCCAACAATAGTACATATATACAACCTCACATACAATAACTGTTGTGGTGAACCAGTTTCAAGAGTGGAATACGAAATGGCAGAAAGATTTTATCCTGCAGACTTTAAAAGCAGAGAGTCATACCGTAGCTAATTCCGTTATAGACCACAACAATTGGGGCGTTTTTTTATTTTTCAAATATTTTAAAGCATGATCTCGAGATCATCTTACCTTCAAACTGCTCTAATAAACTACTTAAATCTTCGGCCTGTATTCCTACAATGAAATAAATAAGATTATCTGTACTCTTCACTAAAATATTAAATTTCTCGCAGCTTAATCCACTCCAATACATGTATGTACTCAGGATGATTATTTAATACATGTATATAATTAAAGAAACAAAGTCCAAATACGAACGCTAGATAATAACCTCCTCACTTGGATTTAATTGGATTTAAAATAGGCCTATCAATTCTGTTTGCCTACTGCAAAATGGTGGTAGAGTTGTTAAATAGCAAACAGCTACAAACTGTATAAGAGATCCATCTTTCACAATATTCTAGTTTGCAAGGGATGCAATCTAAATATTCACTCAATTAGGATTTTTACAGCACCTCCAACTTTATTAATCTATAGGAGCTTATGTTGACATTTATAGGAATTCTAGAAATTAACATTACTAACATTTGATGAATACAGATGCCAAATAGAATACAGGGCTCTCTCAGACTACAAGTATTACAATATTCTCACTACTTCTTCGAGTGCTGTCCATGCTATTCCGACACCAATAATACACAAACGGATCTAAAGTCAAATGTTGATGTGTGGTATAGTTACAAGTTAATTATAACAATGATAGTGTAAAAATGTTTGAGATCTTACCTTGATTATTAACTTCAGGAACAGCATCATCAATATCCATCATCTGTGTAAAATCCATGTTAGCTATTTCTTGTGGCGTAAATAAACATAAATCATCAAATGGATCCACATTATCTTCACAATAATTCACCTGTAATTTAAAATTTCAAAAATTTATCATACAGTAACTTTTTTATATATTCTCCTGGACTTGTCTTCACAGACTGGAAAAGAGGAAGTACAACTTTTGATGGTGCCTCAAGTGTTGGGGGTAAATTACAGGTGCATATAAGTCCACATGGTGTAGTGACTAGTGGTGATACCTGGACTGTGGGATTATAGTTGAAGAAAATTTTAAAGATCATATGCAACTGCATGTCACTGTTTTCAATATTGACTGATGGATGATTTAGGTTAATAAGGAGATTTATCTTTATAAGGTGAGTGATTCCTTTTACTCTTTAAAGCAGAGGTAGTTAGAGTAAAAGATGACATTCATTAAATATTCATTATACATGTACATTGTGTGTATAATATACACTGTATATACATACACCAAGTTTCATCATTGAACTTGTAAAAACACTAGACCTGTAATCCGGGATTGTAAATTGCAAGGGCTGATTTTTTTGTTATTAACCATCAGAGCAAATAGCTTTATCTGTTCACTATTATTGATTACAAATTATTTAGGTCAGTATTGTATATAATACTGTATGCAATTTAACGCAAATAACATTATTCAAAGAGAAAATAAATTCAGAGTGCGTTACTAAAAGTCAATTTGGTATTATTTTATTGAAATTTCCTGTGTTAGAATGATGAATATCTTAATATTGATTATGCTACATATCTTTCTTTATTGAGTACATGTTTCTGTATGTTCAGACTTTAGACTATCACAACGAAACAAAACTGAGTTATTTTAAGAAATTTTTGTAAACAAACCCTAAAATAATGTTTGTTACAAAACAAATATTTTATTATTAGGAAAAGAGATTGAAGGTGTTTACTTGGTCACTTAGAATGTTGATTTTAGTATTTAAATATTTTATGTTATTATTCAAATGGTATCCATCCATTTCAAATGTGCAATTTTTGGATCTGTTTATTTTCTTTTTTAATATTAGTTGCTAGCATTGATAAATATTAATAACACAATAAGAATGATCAAATTTCATTAGTTTTAATTGACACTGAGCAACATGATTCCCAAAAATCTAAAATGTCCTGAAAAACCATTCAAAAAATATTTGTGAGCACTACATTTTCTTGATAAAGACGAGTGAGAGAACCCAATCTGATTAAAACACTACACTAGGATCTGGAAGAGTGGTTATCATTGATATATTCAGGATGATGTGATGGATTAGCCAATGAAACGGACTGTTAGGTGAGCTTTTGGCATGAGGTGCATGGAACTGTCGGTAATCCACTAGAAACATCTATACTGATTGGTTAATCAAATGTCTGACACCATAGGGTCAAAAGCCACTTGTATGACCTCTGACACAACCTCCCAAAAAAACTGGTCAGATCTTCATGCCTAGTATAGGCCATCGAAAGAATAAAAAACAAAATATACATGTAGATCTGTATTTTAATCAGATTGGAAAGAACTGTAGCTGAAATGTCGCCAGTCAGAAATTAAACAATTTTTTCCATACATAAATTGTTTAATGTTTTAGTCTCCAAATTCCATTTGTGAGGGAGAGAGAGAAATGGGTTTGAACGTCTACTCAACACAAACTAGGTCATTTTGGGACTAACATATAGTTCAATTTGATTTCAATAATTCGATTGCGAATAGGGGGGGCACCAGAGGACCCGGAGTAAACCCACGAGGTTGGACAGGCGACCCTACTCCTTGTCACGTACAACCAGGGAATCGAAACCCTGTCAGTTGACTCAATGACAGACCTCATGTTACAGTGCGCACGTGCTAACCATTCGGTCATTCAACCCCCCTTATTCCATTTGTATTGAAAATCAAATGTGGTAAACACAAAATAGAAGATTAGGTTTTTCTGAGTATATTTAAAGTCTTGATGCTAAATACAGATAAAGTGTAGACCTACTTTACTTGTGGACTTATACACAGGATTTTTTTTTATTGAGTCTCAAATGTCTGTTTTAATGTATCTTACATGTATCTTCCAATCAGTCAATAACAATACACCATACATGTAGATGACATATACTATTTCACCACAATGATGGCCGCCATGAAATTGTGATAAACAATTTAAAAGTACACGTAACTTAAGCAGGCTGATATCACAAATTTTATTATTACATGTGTAGCAATGTACATGTAATCAAATTCATTAACATAAAGATACATTATACAAAAGCTAAATCTACCTATTGTAAGTCTTTAATTTGGATTCAATGTTACAAACATACATGTAAATGTAAACTTATTTATTCAGACATTTATTCATGTGAAAATAATCCCCAATAAAGAATCGCACTGTGCCTTTCCACTTGTCTTCTGGGTGTGGATGGAAATTTTTAAAAAATAGATCACTTTTCCATTCTTATTTAATCACCCAAAAGTTGCACATGCAGGCATGTTATCTTTAAGACTAGTTTGTTGACAAACTATCAATCTTTAATCTTAGTTTTGACTTGTTGAGAATTATCAATGGCCCGAAACTTGACGCTGTTCAAGGTAGTGACATCTATTCATCAAAATAAGCCATTGATCTTTAAAATTAAATAAATTAATTTTTTAATATTGTGTTTTGGCTGACCTTAAAAATATCTTTTTTTTCACCAAACCCGACCCACAATCGAGGAGAAGGGTCGGTAGGTCGGGTTTTTTTCAGATTTTTTTTTTTAAGAGCTAATTTGACAGCTTGATAATTTTCAGGGTGCAAACATTCGTCTTCTTTTATTGGCAAACAAATCAATGACATCGGGATTTTTCTTGATGCATGACTCGCACACAAATTGCGACAAACTCACGTTTGAAACTCCCTCAACACGTTTTTAACGAGCGTGCGGGTTGTGCCTTCATTTTTCTCGAAAACGGATATTGAAAATATCGTCGTCATGTTTAAAACGACGCCCCACAGACATAGAGGCAGAATCATTTCGTGGGAATGGACGTGCTTTCGTCTGCAACCATTTTGTTGAGAAGCGACACCTATGACGCTTTCGTCTTGATCAACCAGTTTCAATAATGAATCAAACCATAGCCATAGTAAAGGGAAATAACTCTCGTGATATATTTCAGGTTGACACACAAAATAAAATAAAAAGATCGCGGAAAAGTGCAATAAAATAATTTAAGTCAAGGGTGGTTTTAGTTAGTCGGTCGCGTTAGGCGAAACAAAGATATTTTTAAGGTCAGCCTTAGTATCAGCAATATAATCTGCTGGGGTGAACTTTAGTTTTAATAATAGATGTACCTACCTAACATCTTTCTTTTGTAAGGGTTGAAAATTAGGCTTAGTTAGAGCCTTTCTTACAAATGACATACACCATACACGAAATGTAATACATGAATGAACAAGATGATAAAGAATTTCTGAACAACGTTTAGTAAATGGTTTTTCTTTACACCTACCTTTCCTGAATATATTACACTAATTTGGGAACTCCTTATCAAAGTTACATGTATAATACTTAAATCTTTCCTAGATTTATTATTTTTCTAAATGAAAGTGATGACCAATTTGGAATGTGCACTGTGCAGTCAAGTTATATTTTAAAGGTACTGGTGTTATAAATCACTATCAATTAGTTCTGCTCAATTAAACAAATTCCTGTATGTATTGTTGGGGTGTTATCTCTGGTGTAAAAAGATTAAAGATTGACAAATCCACAGGTAAAACAATGAAAGGTGTCAATAATATGAAATGACAATCTTGTCATATTTTAGCCATAGACAACAATTGAAGTCAGAATTTGGGATTAATCATTTGATTTATATACAAGAGTAGCTTTCTGGGATAGCACTAGTGTTTTAAGGCATTAAGTTTAGACCAGGTTAAAGAATAAGTATTTGTAAAGTACTCTTAAACATTGAAGAAGCAACACTTATTTGAAATGCACTATGCAAGAGCTAAATCTGCCTATTGCAGGTCTTATTTTTGCTTTGAAATAATATAATTTATTATTTAGACATTTATTCAGGTGACAAATGTATAATCAATTCAGATGGAGAAGTTTTAAACAGCTTAAAACATGGTTGCCATTTAATGATTTAATTTAAATATGGCAAAGCGAAGCTAAGTCTAGAATAACAAGTACCGTTATGGAAATAAATAATTTATGCTGCATCTTGTCAAAACTTCAAACAGTGATAACTCTGCTCGGAATAGTAATTTGAATGTAATTTTCTATATTTTCATTTTAGATATCTATTTTTGAACTATTATAGCAAAAACAATGCATCTTACACAATGCATCTTTGATTTAAAAAAAACAAAACAACAAAACATCCAGCCCATTCTTGTCTTTGCATGAAAGCTAAAACCTAATAGATTATAACTGTTCAAACGCATTGAATCTCACAAACCTCCACATTTGTCAAATATATTTAGAAAGTTTAATTCTTAAATTGGTTGACTACCAAAAAAAGAACGATTTGTTTACCTTGACTGTGACAAATAAACAATGAGCATTATATATATATATAGTTATTCAAGAATATTGGAAGTACTAGAGATTAAATGGTTTCTAAATTAATAGACATAATATAGTATTTAATTAAACGTTGATTAATGACAATGCCTTATACTGACATGCATATCAAAACAGTCATTTTAAGGTGAACAATCTTCCTACTAGATATCTCAAAACCAGTGCCAGATTTACCTATGTGTATAGACTTTGCAGGATGAAGCCTTGGCCTCAAGGTCTACTCTGGTCTTTGATACGGTCATAAGCCTTTCTTACATGCACATAACATCCTTGCCTTTACTCAATTGTGTTTGAAACACTTTCATCTTCCTCTAGTCGTAAGGGAAAGGGATTGGGAGAGGCCTCATAAGTGGAATACTCTAAAATCTACATGTATCTTCATCCAAGTCTGGCACTGAACATTTCAAGGATGTAAACCATTATGGCTACCTCTTGATTTTTTTTTCTTTTCGGTGTCCTCTCAAGATCACTTTTACTAGATGTCTGTTACATACAGAATCTATATCATACACATGCCAGTTTAGTATAAAATTTTATAGTTATGACATGAAAAAAAAGTGGACAGATTGTGAAATTCATTAAACAAATTCACTAAATATGATCTATGGGATCAATTGAAATTAACAATCACAATACTTGAACAAATTTTTTTTTTTTTTCTATTTTGGTAATCCCCATTACGTTTAGTTAAAAAATAATAATACTGGAATTTTTAATTTTATACCGAAATGAAATGAAATGAAATGGGGTTTAACGTCCTACTGTTTTGCTCCGAATTGGGCTAATGAAGACGGGCATACGCCATACAGTGTGCTATGATGGCAATTTTGCCCGGACAGCGGCACTACGGCCTACTCTTATATCGAATTCCAACAGCCAAAGGATCTTGTACGTGCATGCCAATGAGTACACGGGATCTTGATTTTTCGTCTCATCCGAACGACTAGGCAGCTTTCCTTGTCAGCCCCTCCGTCCAGCATCATTGACAAGGGAGAACCACGCCGGAAAATCTGGATGCACTTTCTCAGCCAATGCAGGGATCGAACCAGCGTCTTACCCACGTGATCCCCTAAATTTTATACCACGGAGTCTGACCAGGCGGTGCGTACGTTAAGCCAATTGTAATAAATTGTATATTGGAATAGATCTTTGAAAAATACTGTGATCGTTGATCTGTCCTATATATATTCAATAATAAATAGACCTATCTTCCTATTCACAAGAATCATATATAATATAACCAATTACAGAAGAAATGGTATAAAGTATATGTTTTTTTTACCCAAATTTTAAATAAATTTTATACATGATGTGCTTGGATCACACAGACAATGTGCATGCAATTCATTAAGGATTTTAAATTTTAATGGCATCCTGAACATATTGACAAACTACGTTCTATGAATTGTATTCCGGGTAAAACACGTGGTCCCGGATGCTTCTTATCGTAACTCACTGACATATGTAGCTGTACGTAAAATTAAAATGTTTGGTAATAGTAATCGTATTTCAAGTCTTAACCCAATTCTCCGGATCCGAAATGAAGGCATGTCCGAACCAGTGAACGTTAAAATTACGATATTCGAACCAGATAAAGAAGAAATAAAATATTAGTAATATTTAATGACTTCATTTCAGACTTCAGATATTGTTAATCCTAATCACTAAGTTACATGATAACAACGATGCCAGACAACTTACCCTGCCAAGCACGTGGCATTTATTCGTCTTCACACTGTTCATATTTAATGTTGTAACAAAATTCACGATGCTTATGAAAATTTTCTTGAGTTACTAATCTAATTTAGATAATGTATAGTTGATATATATAGCATTGTCAGGTGTTATTTTATCAAGGTCGATGAACTTCAATGATGGAAAAATCCAAAGCAATTACTCCATGCCTCCACTTTCTCCACAAATTAATATGGATCATCAAGTACTTCTCGTGATATCCCGTGAGATCTCGCCACCCATATCCAATGACTACAGGCGACGCTTATGGCTTCCGGGTAAGAGAATTTTATTCATTACAATAATGATAATGATTTTTAACTTTAAGAAAATTCACTTTGTAAAATGTTTATAAGGCGTAATTGTCAGTAGAAGTGTATAACTTATATCTAATTTCCTGTTGGCGTCAAATTATAAAAAAAAAAGGTGACGCTGAAGTTTCAAATCTAACTAACCTACCACTACTGAATAGGCTGGTTAGGCCGAAAAATTATTTCGTGATGATGATCGCCCCTTCTTCCTCAAATATGGGGGCGGGGGTAGCAGAACGTTTTGGTCCCGCGACCTTTCTTACTCCACATAAACGACGGTTCGGACTTAAAAAAGTTTCAGACAATAAATACAAATTCTATTAATCTAAACTGTTAAACGTTCGGATGGGACGAAAAATCTATGTCCAGTGTAGGCCTACATATTGGCTTGCACGTAAAAGATCCCTTGGCAGTTGTAATTCGATATAAGAGTAGGCCGTAGTGCCACTGTCCTGGCAAAATTTCACTTAGTCATAGCACACTGTTACTGTATATGGTGTATGCCTGTCTTCAAGTTCATTAGCCCATAGTTCGAAGCAGAACAGTAGGAAGTTAAACCGGCCATTTCGTTTCATTTCATTTGTGTATATTTAGTTAAAGATACATATAGGAGATTAGATAAAGAGCTGGCAGTTCTCACTATAATAGTTAAAAACTGGGTAATCATAATGTAAAGGGAATTTGCTCAAAATTTCAGTCAAATTGATCCCCTCTGAACCGAGAATTTAGGGATTGAATTTTGGGCCTAGCCTCAATCATCATAAGTCGGTGCAATAAAATACATAATCTCGATTATCCATTTCTTGATTTAATCATGAACGTAGAGCAGCAGATCGGATCCTATAATCCAGTAAATATCGCAGGCTAGCGATGACATCGAGAGTTTATTATGGTCTGGATAAGTTAATTAATGTCTAATTAATAGATTTCACAAATTAAAAACACCTGACATACCGGTACTACATGTATTTTTGAATTTATTAACATGCTAGGTATAGGGCCTGCTGTCGATTCCAGGTGACACTATGACGACTACGATATGAAAATTGCTTGCCATTTCTTCAATTTTTAATAAAACGGCTAAAACTTAGTGACATAGGCCTACCTGGAATTGCCATCCCATTATTTTCTTACACAAGGGAACCAATTTCAGGTCAAGTTATATAACCTCTCTCTCTTGAAAAATTGTGGTACTGAATATCAGCCATGTTTGGCCTGGTTAACTTGGATATTAGAAGAGGTCTGGGGTCGCTGGTTTGGCTTAGAGTTGTTTTGGCCTATCAGTAAAATATAACTTTTATTTTTACGGGATCCAAGACCACAGTTGTTTGTCCAGCTGACTTGAATATTTAATTGGCCCCTAGGGCTGTAGCATTTTGATATTGATATAAACTACATACAAATTTTATCCTGAACTGACCCATGATGGAAATTTGTAAGGAGGCTATTGACGTACACAATAATAACTCGGTCTATAATGTAAAAGACATTGCGGGTTGCTTAGTTATTCCTTTGCTTAAGACTTTGCCTTGAATTTAGGCTGGTGTGATGATCAAACCAATTGTAACCTAATTTATCATGAAGCCTTCAACAAAAGTAAAACAATTGTTATGTAATTATTATTACCGGTACATAGGTACGTCTAAAATCAAGGACCATAATAATTATGTCTGGCACATTATTGCCCGGTTGATGCTGACGTGCCATAAAAAATTATTTCATTTTGTCAAACAAGGTTATGTAATGCAGAACACAACATATGGTCTCTGTTATTATATCATTTTGTCCTTTTCCGGTTTTGTAGATGGGTCCTCTTTTAAATTTAAAGCTGATTTTACGGAAGTATTTAATGTGTAGACAATCTTGTTTTATCGTAAATAATTTTGTTTCTCAAAATAACTACATAATAATTTAGTTAACTACATTCCTTGACACCTCGCATAATTTTCATCTTGAAATAATAAATTGTGGAGATAACAATAATCATTTATTCAAACTAAAGGGTTATATTTTCTAAGATTAGCTTTTTTTCTTTTCTAACTTAATAAGTCTTGTCATGACAGGTATATTAAAAATTGAAAAAGTTAAATAACAGGATTTGAAAATCGATTCCCGCCCCGCTCTGCATATTTACGAGGGATATCCAGATATATATCGGCTAAATTTAGATTAAATAATATTTTGTAGTGCAATAATTAGTATAGTTAGTGCCATTGTGTATGCCATTGATTCTCTTTCAGTCAGACATTTCTTAATTAGTTTATACACTTAAAAAAACTTTACAGCCAAAGGGAGATAATTTAGATAAATATATGTTTAATATTTATTTGCAGCTGATCAGAACCTATGTACTTTGGAAAACTAATAAAGTGTTTATAGAAATGTCACAATATTTGATACCAGTATAAGCTTACCATGTAATTGTAATGTTTAAAAATTGAATTTTTAACAGATGATATTGTCAAACTGTAAGAAGAAAATAAAGAGATGACGGAACTGATAAGTTTTAATTTTCCAACACTCTCCAAAACTAGACTTCACCATGTTCCAAGAAGATATGAAGAAACTAAGCCAGTTGTAATACAAAACTTCACTCACCAGAGAATCTTAGGTATATAAAAAAAACTGTTTATAAATTATATAATAAGCGTTAGAACCTTGTATATATATCTGTCAAGTGTTTTTTAGGTCCACGGCACTGACAATATACGTCATAGATACAGAATGAAAGAATATAATTAAATCTGGGAAAAGCATTTACATTATATTGATGATAATTAACTGATATTCTTATTGAATCTCCTTTATTTGCTGTTTAAGTGCACATTTAATTTAAAAATGTAATTTTTTCTTCAAGGTATTGGTAACAATGTTCACAGACAAAGCTTACAAAAATTGGAAGATGAGAAACGGTTTATTATTGAACAAACTGAACTAGAAATTTGGAAACAAGCTGAATTCCGTCAAGCTGAGGCAATACAAAAAGTAAAAAATGAAGCCAAATTTGAAGTGGAACTGGCTGTCAAAAAAGTTCTGAAAGAACAAGAACACAAAATCAAGGTATGAAGAAATCTATTTTAAAGGAGGTTTAAAATGACTTTAACCCTTTGGACACCAACAACATGAGTGACATTAGGCCTACTAGCCTCCCAGGGTAGAAATGGATGCAAAATGTTTCTTTTGTAATATTATGAACCCTTATGACCTTAGGATGGCTAGAATACCTTGGCTAGAAGACCAAGCACGGGTACCTGTACGTTACTAATTGTCTGACAAGGTATGAACAGGTACCTGTGACGCACGGTACTACACCCAAGGGGCATCCGTGGCTGGTTTATCAGGCGCTTGAGTCCTATTAAGTGTTGAAAATATTGGTTACAATGTACAGTAATAGCAGTTTTTCAGAAATGCATATACATCATCATATTGTCAAGAACGAAATTGCTGAATTGTAATGAAATTTACCTGTCAGTCAATTGCGCTCCAACAGCCATAAAATAGATACTTTAAAAAAAAAAAGATACCATAAATAGTAGTCAAAGACACCCAGAATCTCCTAGTCTTCAAAGTACTGAGGATTATCTTTTACCGTATGGAGAGCCTGGGCTAGGCAAATGTCCCAGTTACGCAATGGAACTTTTGAGCTAAAGTCAGGCCTCGAAATGTTTAAAAAAAAGGCTACCTGTCGCTTCAGTAAATAACCTGTCACTCTCAATTATCAAACACAAAGACTAATCACATCACACATATCCATACATGTAGGTACACACACACACGTTTGTTTATGTCTCGACATATATTGCTCCATCTAAATATCGTAATATGAAACCTTTTTATTTCTTCGACATCAGAATACCTAAAAGTTCTTGAAAGTAGGCGTATCTGCTTTGGATCAACGACTCGAAGATTCGTACAATTCTATCATCCGTATCCATGTGAATTCCGCAGATTATCATGGTACCACACTTCCGTACTAAATCGAATACTTGCCGTTGAGTTGTAGAATTCAGATTTTAAAATATCAACAGTAAAAATGGCGATATTTCGGTGCTTAATTCTTGCATTTAGAAACAAATAATTAAATATACGTGACGTGGACGTGAGTATTGTGGTCAATTTACTAAACATCAAGTAAAATTTAGTCCACCTGTCGCAAACGACGGGTAGTTTTATTTGCTACCTGTCAGACGAAAAAATCGCCTGTCGGCGACAAGTAAACAGGCGAACATTTCGAGCCATGGCTAAAGTTAAGAAAGAGTTGCTTCCCTTCCCAAAATAAAACCCCCTAATTCATGCATTATTAAACAAACATGAATCGTGACAATGAATTAGGATTAATAAAAACCATAGATATGATATTTCAAGAGATAAATTTACAATAAAAAACTTCAGTTGGGTGTTGAACAGGCAATGCAAATAGATTTTTTCTGAAATAACAATTCTTAAAATTAATTTCATAGGCATTGACATCTTGTTTTAGGGCTATTTACCTCCCTGACTGCCAAAATTAGATTTAGTACATGATATTAAAATAAAAGACTGGATAATCTACCATTGACTTAGATAGACTCAAAACCAATTAAGACTGATATTAGTAGAATATTGTCTGAATGATAGACTTTATAAAAATTTAAGGCCTATTTCCATTTAATAACCTGTTACTCTTAATTAAAAAAGCATGCTATATCATATATCACAACCAAATTCTTCTGTTGAATTATTTTAGGAAGAAGCCTTGAAGGTTGAAATGGCCATGCAGAAGTTAGCAATAGAACAGATAAAGACCGAAAGAGCTAATGGTGAGAAACTATTAAAGGCCGCTGTGGAGAAGAATGAAGAGAAATGTGCCAAGCAATTAAAACAAGCAGTGGAGGTGGCCAAAGATCAAGAAAGACGAACTTCTGAAATAGAAGCCACTAAATCAGCAAGGTGAGACCATAAATCAGAGTCTATGTGAGTACAAATCTAATGTCATTTGCATAGAGCTTGTTACTGCTAATACTATTAGTAATAGCACATCTAAATTAGCCTGTGGGGAGTTGCCAAATGGTCTAATGTGTGCATTGTAGATCATAAAGCCTATATTTTCTATACATGTCTTGGGTTCAATATTGGTTTTCATGTGTCAAGGAGTCAGTTACTCCTGCACGCTACCAGATTATTGGCATAAAATATACCATAATATAGTACTCCTAGTGTTGCATGGATGTTAAACGCCCATTTCCCTCTCTCTTAAGGCAGGGCACTACCTTATAAAACAGTGTGTATAGAATGATCTGTCGAAGTTTGATATCAGCTCAAATTGCCCAATGTAGTCAAAATTTGCTGATCTTTCAAGTTGTATCTAGCCTTCATATTATATACCAGGTAGTGTTGAAAATTTAGTCATTTATAAAGGTAAATCAAACTTTTAACATGCATTTTTCCGTACTCTATTTTTCATGCATATCAGGTCTTAAAAAATCAAATTCTCAAAATCCAAGAGAGATAATGGTCTCATCTTTGGAATATGATTAGTGCTATAGCTACTGTGTGCAATAAGGTGATTTTCAAAGTGTTTGTTATACATTTGGACATTTTAGTGTACAAAATCTTGTTTGTTGTGTGTTTTGCCACGCCCACTTGTTTTATTTGGGATATATAATGTTCTTTATTAACAGTCAAATAGTAAAGTTTATGTCTTATTGCACTCTTTAATGTCTATATATGTTATTCCAAACCACAAATACCGGTAGTATGTTTCAATAAAATTGGTGAAGATTTTGATTTCCTAACATACCCACCGTGAATATATAAAAAATCCAGTATGACATCCATTTCCATGGCAACCACTTAACATTTTACCCTCAAATTATCAAATCTGATTTGGGACATCAAATACTAATATTACACTAAATGACAAGTTTCTGTTATCAATGTGAAATTCTTAGGTAGTGTTCTGCCTTAAGGGTAATCTTATTCAAAGCACTGTGAACATTTGACTGAAAGTGTTCTATAAGTTCTCTGTTATACTGTCAATACTATAAATAAATCCAGAAATACTATAAATAAATCCAGAAATACTAAATTATAATGAATATATCTTTCAAATTGTAGGAAATACGCACAAGAATTAGAAGATATAAAAACTAAAGCCCTTCAAGAAAAGGATGAAGCCATACAGACCATCATTCAACAGAAAGATCAAGAGAGAATAAAAGCAGTTCAAGAAGCTATTGATCAAGAAGTGGTTAAAGCTAACAAGCATATCAGTCAATTAATGATTCAAAATCAACAAGAAATTGAAAAAATTGAGAAAGTGATTCTGGATAAAAACTCCGTAATAGATGAACTTCAAAAAGAGATTGTGAAAGTTGAAACTGTCAAATCTAAACTTAAGAAAAGTTTACTAGAGATCAGACAGGAGTTTCAAACTTTCATAGACAGAATGAAATTTTTTGATGATGGACAATCTGATTATCTGCTACCTTCATTGTATCTGGATGAATTTGAAAGTTAATGGCTTAAAAACCGATCTTGGTTGCTAAAATAATTTGTCAGAAAACGAATCTGGCTTGTCATAATATTATACTCTTTATTTGAGATTGACGATTTCATTGTTTTGAGCTGCCGATTTCAGTAAGGGAACTACTCAATAATATTAGTTTTGTAATATAACAACAAAATTGCATATAAAAACAAATTTAGACGCATTAATCAGGGCTTGCCACGAGATGCGAGCGATCACTCCTGCACGCAAGTTTAGTCACTTTGTGAGAGTAGTCGCTCGCTCACATCGTTCAGTGGATAGTTGTTATCAAACTCATTGCCTTTTGGGTCAATATTTATCATTTTTACAAACCATTCTACTTTTGGCTTAATTACAACGCATTAATTATTACTTGTTGATTAAGAAGTCAATCAACTTGCTTGTCGGCTCAATAACAGTCATACCTTAGTGAGAATCGGCCTTGTGGTTCATAATTTGAGTAATTAGCATATTTAACAAGCTTGCTGATTATTCATACCAGGTCCAGTAAGTTGTGAAAAGCCACGTGGCAAATGAAGATGGTCTCGGCATGGATTGTGAATCGAGATCTCAGGAATTGTGCCCTTTTCAACACTCTGTAGATATTAAAATAATAAATAAATCATACATTTAATGGTTTCACTGGCCAGTTGTTAGTTAAATTTAAATAGTCATTGAATATCCCGAGAAACAGTCATTAATATTTTTCCGACAGAATCTCCGATACCGAATCCCAATGATACGTGACATACATCGGTTGGAATTAGGTCAATAAACCAGCAATTCTAGATGATTTAGTTTTAAAACACGTTCACCGTTATAGATTATTTATTTTATGCTGACAGAGGCTTAATTTTTAAAATATTGTCGTTTAATATTATTGAAAGATATGTCATCATAGTGGTACGAAATTTCATTTTATAAACCAATTTCAATTATGGTTATTACTTGATCATTGTGCGTTTTGTCTATCATCTAGAATGAATAAAAACTTTGCAAGTTACGTGATAGACAAAACCAAAAATTTGTGTCAAATATGAAAAAATGCCATGGTGCCGTATCAGCTAATTTCAGCAACATTTTCTAATACTGGCCGTAGTAAAAAAAATCCAAATTTTCGATCAACTGATATCTTATTTCGCTTTATCCATTGAATAAACGAAGACAGTAATTTATTCAGAAATTTTACTGACGTGAATTTAATATGGAAAATTTTCAGAAGGGTGTACAATATACCTATTTGTCGTTATTTTTTGTGGTAATCACATATTTTAGCTTATTCATTATACAACATTACCAAGAATTGTTTTTGTTGACGTCTGGTTATATTAAAGGGAATGGGGCTTATAATTACCCTGGTTATATTAAAGGGAATGGGGCTTATAATTACCCTATTTCCTATGGGGACTTCATTTGACCCATTTCTGGCCAGTTCATTTCAAAATGGGTTAAGAACCCTGATCCATAAGTAATTATTCCAACTTACTATATTATTCCACATCCGATTTTTTGTCTTCATTGATGTGCGGTCTATTGCTCATGTAAAGCGAATTTGCGGAAGTAAATTTAACCACTCGCCATACTTGTGCAAGGTCAATTTTGTGTGAGTGCTTAATTACTTGCCATCATTTTCCTCATGGCAAGCCCTGCATTAATTTCTTGCTCACTTTAATGTGTATTAAATACAGATGCAGGAATCTCGGCATCCGAAGTCTTTTCAGAAACCAAAATAATGTGCATGTATTCATAAATATTACTACAGTATCTTTAATTTTTATTGAGCCTTATTTATTTATTTTGATGTGATATACATGTATTCATGATACACAATTTTGTCTACTTTGAGTATTGAGCTATATTCCTAAAATTAATTCATAAATAATGATCCTTGATTTGTATTTTGTATCATCTTTTACTAATGACTCAGGTCCAATTTGTTCTAAGTGTCTTATATTTATACACGTTTATATTTGCTATGTGTAGATTGGTATGGCCTGGTTCAATAAGTGATTATCTCCTATGAGTTGTTTTGCCACCTGGTTTCTGGAGAGCAAAGAATTATATAGCAATTAGTAACTGGAAATGTCATTTTTTTGCAAATTTTTCCACAGAAATACTCACTACAAGTACAACTTGTCAGTGAGCACATGTTTGTCATTGAACCAGACAATAACAATTTTATAATTAGTCAGTTTTATACAAATTATATTGGTATCTGCAAATAGAGTAATATTTAACCATACTGTGATATAATGTATTGTGCTAAAAATGTTCTATATATTTATATCTATATATTATATATCTATTTTACAAGTATTCTGCTATTTTTTATAAGACATTTTTCTGCTTGTCCTTTACAATACATACATTTATAATATCAATCTATTTCCTGGATTTATATTGTTTTCTTTCTTAAATTTGGAGTGAGTATTTATAGCATCCCTGTCATACATATGCAGATACTGCCGCCACTTAAATAGTTTACAAATTGTAATATTGGTAGCTCCCACAAGTTGCAATGCAGACTATTTTTATCATGTTATCTTGTCATTTGGCCAGACAACCAAACCTTGCGGATATTGTTGTCTCCTTGGTCAAGAATTTCACCTAAACATTCTTCAGATCAGTGTTCTGGAAGATTTATTATCTTTCAAATCTGCATGGATTGGATGTTCAGAAGGAAGAACCCCATTGAAATTCAGAATTTTTCAATCTCTATCTTTCCATTCATATTGTAAATTTAAAGCTTGGGACAGAGTTCATAGTGGATTTTAAAATTAACCCACAAACTTGATGTTTTTAGGTTAAAGCACCTAAAGTTGAAATCCATCAAGTGTTCAGGAAAATATGTTAGAATTTTAAGTGATTCAGGAGAAGAAATCTAATGTTTGAAAATGTCTAATTTTAGTTGAACAAATCTATACATAAAATGAAATGGGGTTTAACATCCTACTGTTCTGCTCCGACTGGACTAATACGTCTGCGATGGGGAAATTTTACCCGGGCAGCGGCACTATGGCCTACTCTTATATCGAATTGCAACTGCAAAGGGATCTTTTACGTGCATGCCAATGTATACACGGAACATCGGTTTTTCATCCCATCCGAATGACTAGACAGCTGTCCTTGTCAGGTCCTCCATCCTGCACCACTGAAACCATGTTGGAAAATCACGATGAACTTTCTTGGCTAATGCAGGGATTGAACACGCAACCTCCAGGCTAGCAAGCCAGCATCATACCCACTTAGCCACCGTGTCCCCAAGCCCGAAGAAAGTTGATGGTTTCCATTTATTTTTCTACATGGTCCCCTTCAAGATGTAATCACTTTCCAGCTGTCATCATTACTAGGAGGATAGGTTGCCAGGCAACGAAACATGCCCACAGCAACTAAATTAAATTGTCCGAGCGGTCAACAAGGGTGGTGGAGGTAATGGGGGGGGGGAATTTACAAGGCAATTTCACACAGATCACATTATAATTTTCATCGTTTGAGGGTTCAAAAGGTGCTACAAACTGAAACAAGGGCCTTAACTCTGGAAGTAATATCTATATAGATGTCATACAAATCGGATGATGTCTTCTTTCATTTGAGCATTCACAATGTAAAACAAGGGCCATAACTCTAGAATAAATGGAGTTGCTGAAATTCAATAGACTTCAATGTTTCACTTACTAAAATGGTTCATATAAATTTCATAACTTTTGTTGTTAGAGCATTCACAAGGGTCAACAAAGTGAAACAAGGGCCATAAGTCTAGCAGCAATTAATGGTTATTGCTGAAATTCAGTAGACTTCTTTGTTTCACTAGTTTAAATAATGCATATAAATTTCGTACAGATCATTATGATAACTTTTGTCATTAGAGCATTTACAGTGTTCAACAAAGTGAAACAAGAGCCATAACTAATATAATTATTTACAGGCTTACCTGATCAGACATTTTGCAATCTTCAATAATTTGGTATACTGTTGGGAAAATATAGAGCAATCGGTGAAGTGTGTGTAGAGAATAAAACCGGATGTGTACAGCTGGCTGACAAGAAACAAACTGGAAGTGAGATCGACTAACCTTGCCTGGTCATAAGCCTCCATGTCCGCCATATTTATTTCATAAATTGGAAACAAGTATGGCGGCTTGGGGGTGTTAACTTTTTTTTTATTTAATTATTTCGGTATTTTTGTAAACGGAGTTCAGCTTTAACGGAAATTGCTGGAATTCAATAGGATTCTTCTTTTCACTAATTCAAAGGATGCATATAAGTTTCATACAGATCGGATGATAATTTTTGTTGTTAGAGCGTTCACAAGGTGCAGTAAAGTGAAACAAAGGCTATAATTCCAGAAGAAATTAATGAAAATTATTGAAATTAAATAGGATTCTTCATCTCAGTAGGGGGGTTGGATGGCCGAATGGTTAGCATGTGCGCACTGTATCATACAAAATGACCCGAAATGACCTAGTTTGTGTCGAGTAGACGTTAAACCCCATTTCTCTCTCTCTCTCATCTCAGTAATGTAAACAACATATATCAATTTCAAAACAATCAGATCATATATGTAGTCTGTAGAGTTTTCACAAAGAAGTGTGGACAAGGGACGGAGGCGATGGCAGTATACAACCACATTTCCATGTGGGCGTATAAAGATGAGTGATTCAAGTTGAATGTAATGAATACTGGTCTCATCCATAGTTACAAATCTGGCCTAAAAATTATCAGGATCTGCTTCAAAACGGCGCAGGTTGCTGTTGATGTTTCCCAGAATGCGAGTCATCATAAAGGCTTTCTCTGCCACGATGAAATTCCACAGCCCACTTCTTTACTGTGGAATTGGAAGGGGCATCATCCCCTAAAGTGGAGACAATGTCGGCATGAAATTGAGTTGCAGGTACTTGATGACCGACCTATAACCAGTATTGTCCATTTCTGGTGATTTCAATAGGTAGATTTACAAGATGGTCTGGTACGAAGACAATAATAACAGTTACAGTTCTTATGTCTATGATGCATTCAATGATTGTACTTGTTGCCAGACCTCGTATATACATGTAACCACCACAGAAGAAACATATTACCAAAAGAGAAGTCTTAAATGTGTGAAAACATCTAAATTTGATAATTGTATAAAAGACAGGTTGCAAGGCAATGAAACATAAATCCACAGCAGCTAAATTGTCCGAGCAGTTGACAAGGGTAATGGGTGCATTTACAAGACACTGATATCAATTTCATATATATCAGATGATACTTTTTGACAAAGTGAAACAAGGGCCATAACTTTATAAGTTATATACAGAAATTGTTGAAATTCTACAAGCCTCTTTGTTTTATGAATCTAAATAATGGAAATGAATTTAATACAGATCAGATGACAGCTTAACAAAGTGAAACAAGGACCATAACTCTAGAAATAATAAACAGAAATTGCTGAGATTCAGATCAGATGATAACATCAGTCTTTAGAGATTTTACAAAGTTCAAACAAAGTGAAACAAAGAGTCAGAACTCTAAATTTTACTAATTTAAATAATGCAAATGAATACAATACAGATCGGACAATAACTTTTGAAGTTATATATGGAAATGGCTGAAATTCAATTAGTCGTCTTTGTTTTACGAATTAAAATAATGCATACAAAATTAATACAGATTGGATGATAACTTTAGTTGTAAAAGCGTTCTCAAGGTTCAACAAAGTGAAACATGGCCCATAACTCTAGAAGTAATTGTTTAAATTACAAAGGCTTCTTCGTCCCACTAGTGTATACATTACGGACAGCAATATTGAATATACCTCCACACTACAATGTGGGCGTAAAAAAAAGCCCCTGTCCGGCCCATATGGCACCCATTAATTTAACAAAGCTGAATACGAGCCAAGCAATATGCCTACCAAATATAGTTGGAATCCACTAAGTGGGTTAAGAGAAGAATTTGAAAATGTATGTAAAAGTATAACTTTGCCTTTTCAAGGTGATCTCAATAAGCTAGCACCCAAGCAATATACCTACCAATTCTGGTTGATATCCGTTTAATGGTTCATTGAATTTGAAAATGAAAAACTTTACAGATAGATGATGTTGGCTAAAACATCAAATATGAGCACATTTCGGGACTACCATGGTACAATTTTGTTTCAATATTTTTAAGTGGGAGGAAAACCAGAGCAACCATGCCTTAATCACAGATCTTATGGTCTAAAGCGCAGGCATTAGATAATTTGACCACCCAAATCCCAAAATCAGTGCAGTATCTGGCATTACCACTGTAGCATAGACAGCAATGAATATCTTCAAAAGACAAAAGAATAAGAATGTCTTGTTACTGTTATATTTTTCATTTAACCAACATATTACATTAGTCTATAAGTTTTAAGTTGTGGTGATACAGGGGGAAAATTTGGAATGGACAGTAGGGCTCCTTACATTATACCAGACCATACACAGAAAATTGCAGTTGTTAGTACTGTATCCTAGACGAAGGAACATCCTATAGCTCAAAACACATACTAGTATCTAATTGGCCTAAGGACTAAATATTAAATAAAAACCCTCCATCAAATTGAATTAAGATTTAACATTTTTAATTCAAATTGTACAGATGATCATTTAAAAGTATAGCACTATCAGAGTTAATAATCTTTACTATTAGCATTTCCTTGTCTGTCACAAATGTATACTAGTTCATACAATTGCATCTTTCTGAAATACAGAATATTCCCAGACAAAAACACATTTTAATATGTTTCTTATTATGGTATATTCCAGGAAAAACACACTTTGTCTATATAATTTATTGTCCTATATTTCTTTATTTCACCAAGTTTATTTTCATGCATCTGCAGTCGTTGATTTTCCATATTTTTTTTCCCACCTTTCAATAAATTCCCTTTTTCGAACTTCTCTTCTTGCAAAATATTCTGGATATTGAGCCTTTTCTAATGGATGCCAGGAGTCGAGTATCTAAATAAAATAGAAACATTGAAAGATATTCATTAACTTTTCTTTCAAAATAATCATAGATTAAGTCTAAATGAGTAGGTTTCTCAGTTGTTTGCTTAATATCGGAGTGAATTTTATTAAATGTATGCGTTGATTAATTTAATAAAAATTTAATAAGACAGGAATAAATGGGGTTTAACGTCCTACTGTGGCCCTCCATACAGCACCATTGACAAGGGAAAACCACGACGGAAAATCCTGATAAACTTTCTCGACCAATGCAGGGATCGAACATGCAACCTTCTGGCTAGTGAGCCAGTGTCTTACCCACCATGGCTCCCGTTACTTGAAACATAAAATATTTCGGCTTAAATATTATTCAAATCTATCAATTCTAATTTAAAGACGTATGTAAGATTTAGATAAAGAGCTGGTTGTTCTTGCTATAATAGATAATGAAAATGAATATATTGAAAATTTCAGTCAGATTACTTTATTCTGATTCTGGGAGATGTGCAAAAGATGTATCTTTTTAACAAATTCAATGCAATCTAGACAATTCTTGTCATAGTTCATCTAAAAAAAAAAAATGCTATTAATGTGTGCTTTTATTATCAACTCACCATATCTGGAACCAGAGCTACTCTATTATAAGCAACACCACCAGGTGAAAATGGAACTAAAAAAAATAAGTTACATATTGGTTTTAATTTCACGCAAATCTTCAAATCTGCGACATAAAAATTATATATATGTAGTAATATGTAGTACTGACATACATCATTTTATTGACTTGTACTTGTAGAATGGTCAATTACAATCTGTCAATAAACCATCAAAGGCAATGCATTTTTTCATTACTTCAATTTAAAATGTAGACTACACTATATCTATATTTTCAAAATGGCACATAAACCTGCTATTTATAATCTTTGAAAACATTATAAAAAATCAGAGTCACTTTTTAGCCATTTAAAAGCAGGTAAAGACAATAACTTAAAATTTTGTTCCTTGGCTTATCCAGAATGAGCAGTAGATAGAAGAATGACAGATATATGTTCCATAACCATTTTAAACTAAATTTCAACATACATTGCATTGGTTGCGCGAGACTTTTTTCAAAGCATTCATTTTCTCCATCAAGCAATAATTTTTTAGCTTTTCTCATATCTACTTCATTTTTGTGTGAATCAAATCTGGCGCGCATAACAACTGCATGGTATCGAAATTCTAATCTGAAAAAAAAATTAAAAAAATGGTGGTCAGGTACAAGACACTTTATAAACGTTGTATCAGTCTAAAGCACTCCCATCCTGTAAACTATCAAGAGCTCACAACATTAAGGATGTATGAAACATTGCATATTTGTACTGCCTATTTCATACTGTTTCGTCTCCAAACAAACAATCTAAAATGTTATTTCCCATAGAGCATCCACAAAATCGTTCAGGGCATTGTTAAAGTTATAGTCAGCCTATATTATACTAAATTGTGATTATGTTGACACTTCTTCGAGATTGTTTCAGTTGGACTATTTAATTTAAAGATACTTTCCCAGAAAAGTATTTATCGGGTGGTTATTTCCAATAAAAGTATGGCAATTTTGATGGAAAATAGAAACATCCAATCTTACTAGAAAAATACTGGATTCCTGAAAAACACTCAGGACAAATATATAAGGGTTTCTCTAACCAGTCACCCGGCGATTAGGGATGTCTGCTCGAGTGACGTCTAAGGTTGCTAGCATAAATTGTCTGATCTCTCAGCGTTAGTGAGCGCTTGATGTATATGTTGATAAACTGGACCTGGTGCAACAGTTTCTGAGATAAAAACCATGGAAAACGACTTTGGACAGTGGATTATCCGAGAATTTATTGGGCTTTGATATTTATGATAAATAATCAGCAATTAAAGCCAATATCGTCTTATATATTATGCATTGAATTCTCCTCTGGCTTCGCACCCGTTGTTAGGTTCGAGAGAGGTAAGTCACATGACCTCTTTTGGTCAATTTCTTATAGCAGGGGTATTCCCTGACAATTACAATGATTTGAGAAGGATTTGAAGCAAAATTTTGATAAATTAATTAGCCTAGTTTGAATATGTTTTTAGTCCAAATGGTGAAATATATTATCAAGTCACCCAGTTTGTTTGTGGGAATGTATCTTTAATTTAACCATACTTGACAGTATAACACTGCATCATGTGTTACTAATGTCATGGATAACGGTGATGCATTGGAAGATACTTTTTTGTGTTGAATTTGGTTGTTTATTGTGATTTTTCAAGTCAAAAGTCAAAGCAATGTCATCGGACAGTGAACAGTCGTTACAGACATGCTTGAAATTCTGAGAGCAAACGTCGCGTCATAATGTGCAAAAACTGATGAAAAGGTTTTTACGGTTTCACACAGTATTGGGCTTCCAAACTTCGGATAGCTTGTTTGTAGAGACGGCGAACTCTTGATGCATGAGTGATCGCTTTAGTTTGCATGTACGCCATCTTGGATCACATTGAATTAACTTCACCGGTTTGTGCGGGACTATTGTAGGTGATAATATTTCAAACTTCACGGGACGATTCAACATTACATACGTTTGTATTGCTTGTTAAGTTTCTGAATTAAATGAGATTTTTCATTGCTATGTCAAATATGAAAGTGGAATGTTGCGTCAAATAAAGACTTTATAATTTTTCTCAGACTGGTCAAGGGGAAGTAATCAACATTCTAAAATAGAGTTATTCCCCTTAGACTTAAATGAAATAAAAATAAGATAGGCCTGAACATGCCAAAGAAAATCTTGAATAGTTTTTATAAATCTACATCGATGTTGTAATTTTAAACTGCCCAATGAATAACCAATATTGTGGTTTATGTTTTTAAAATGTTTTATTTTATATTGATTTACCTTTTCTGCTGAAGATTTTACTGCGCAGGTGCTTTGTTTGAAAATGGCGGTCTTCGAGATATTTTCTCACCCTGAAGTTCGTCGTTATAAATCAACAGTTTGCTCCAAAGCATCGCTTATTTTACTTTTTATATTTATTTTAACCTTTATACCTCCTTTGTTCGTTGTTTATAGAAGTTATGGTAAGTATTTAATTGTTGTAATTATAGTTAAAACATTGAAAACATATCTTTAAAAATGACATGTTGAAACTCGACAGGTCAGCTCAGGTCAGTTCCTATGAAGCTGAAAATGCAGCATTACCCCCACTAGCTGCAATATAGTAACGCCTTCTGCCTTGTCCACCTCTCCAATTGATTAGGGTTGTCACGATTAATTGGTTTAGTTGTAAGTCGATTCGTTTTATAACTAGTAACTAGTTACTATACTTGTAAAGTTAAACTGTGTGTTTAACGTTACAATTGATACAGTCTAAGACTCCTTACGCAAGTTCAAATAGGTTCAAACGCACAATTGTCAATACATATCATTACAGTTTGTATTGGAATAAGTAATTCTATGACAAATAGTGAAGACTGGACCACTAAAGTAGTTACCGAACAGTTTTTCTTTGTGGTTATGCATTCTACATTTGCATAACGATGTTTCTTGTAATGACGTATTACACAATCCGCCATGACACCAGCCAGTTGAAATTTTGCGTAGCAGTTGGGTTTCATCAAATCATATAATTATGTGGTAAGGCGTCACCTTTATTTCAATAGGAATTGATTTATTATATGTTAAAGTAGCTAAGTCTCTAACTCAATATCATCCAAAATCTTCAACATTAAAAACACGAATCGTGTACCATAATGCGCTTCAGCCCCAGTTGTATCAAGAGACTCGAGGGACGAGGCTAGACACATTGCACCAAATCAAACGGCGTATGTTGACTGGAATAACCAGACGCTAGAAATTTGCACTCGCTTGAGACGACTGGCTTATTTCGCCGAACATAACTGATTTGAAATTGGAGTAAAAACGGAAACCATTGAATGTTAATCAGTTTAAATACATTCATATTACAGTATTATATGCATTGCTACCCACTTTTGTCAATTTTGGGTCAGTTTATGTGTAAATTAAGGGAGCTATAGGCCAGTAACCTTTTTGTAGTGATTTCACTAAAAAACTTGTGCAAAGGAACTCTGTAGGACGAGCCATTACTGTGGCTGGAGTAAGGCGGAAGACATCAGTAGTGGAACCATTTCTAGTTTATACCTACCTACCTATGTCTACCTATGTCTGTTCCAAACGCAGGAGTAAGCTTGCTCCTCTATTTCATCATCTATTCGAGTAATTTGTCTTCTCCCGGTTACTTTTCCATCACTATATGAATATGAGTAGTCGTACATCATGGGGTGGTTATGCCATAGTCGATCTAATCGGTTTCCGAAAGATTTTACGTTTTTGGCAGTGATAACTGATTCTGGTAAGCTGTTCCAGTCTTCTACTACTCTGTTTGTGAAGTAATGTCTACGTATTTCCAGTCTAGATCTATTCTTAACTAATTTCAGTGAATGTCCATGAGTCGTTTCATCCAATTATTTATACTTTAAATTTATACAATTAGCCTACATTACATATATAATGTTTGACTTTTACTGTTTGCTAAACACACGTACTACTGAATTGCTGCCTATTAAAACCATATTGAAGCTAGCTTAATAACTGCTAAGGTTCAGCCTGACATCATGTCAGGCTGAACTGATTTTCGGCCGGACATTTCAGATTTTCAGCCTGACAAATACTTTATAAAGTATATTAAACCAAAAAACTGTTGAAATTTACTATGTTTATATATATTATTATACATACATTTACATTTATTAATAAAATAAATTGATGACTCACATACAACCTGGAGTTTTAAGTTTTTATATGTATATGGAATACAACTTTATAGTTCATATAATAATGTCATTAATCTCTTTGGTGGGGCTGGGGACTAAATCCTAAAAACTCTGATTAAGATTCAAATTTAACTAAAGAATAGACATCTTGAGTTGTCGTAAATGGTTCAGAATCTGCCAAGTCATTTTTGATCCACTTTTCTAGTTCTACGGCTCGTTTTTGTATTTTTCCAACTGGTGACGGCGACGCCCCCCGTTTAGAAGTGTCTTTATGAGAGACATAAGATTAAGACACAGTACCAGTCTTTGAATTTTCTGGAACGGTCCCACTAGCCGGGATATCCGTGTCCGAGGGTTGGGAAAAGTAAGAAGTTATTTTATTCGACATGTTTTCACGGCTCTTCTATTTACATTCACATTGGAAGTGTCCAACAAAGTGAAATATTTTCGTATAAAAAATCTGTCCCTAATTACATCCATAGTCAACTTGGACATTTTCTTGTAAACTAATTTTAAAATATTATTACTTTTATTACTAATGATTTATATAATTACATGTCATGTTAGGTGTGATTTAGAGCTAATCATATACGAAAGTAACGCAAAGCTAGCTACGAGATTCGAATAACCAGTGTAAAAGAGCCGATTCTCAATATTATTCATTATTTTTTCTTCACGTGGCCGAGAGAGATACATGTATAAATAGTAATATTTTTACTATGACTCGGGTCGTTGATATAACCAGCGTAAAAGAGTCGATTCTAAAAATTATTGAAGATTTTATCTGCACGCGGCCGAGATATAAATAGTAACATTTTCACTATGACTCGGGTCATTGATATTTTTGGTTCTGGACTTTCGAGTCTAATAATAAATAGCGATCGACTCAAATATTTTTGACATAATGTTTTACAAAAACACGGTCGGACAATTATGTCCGGACGAAAGGCAATTTGGCCTGTCAAAAGGGGTCAATTCGCCCGGACATTGTCCGTGTCCGGACGCTTATTTCAGCGCTTGACTCAATACAGAAATTCCCAATTTACAGTGGCACAATCTCGATGTCGAATGAAATTCTTCGTCTACCATATTAGGCATGGCTTACTACAAAATGTGTAAAATGCTTGATTTTGGCGTGAAATAGCTGTCGACGGCCACATACACCAATAACAGACATGATAATATCATGGTCATGGACTGTATATTACATGGACTGAATGCATGGCGCACGAAACAGGGAAGTTGGCTAGCCTATGCCTTTTTACGAGCGATAAACTACCAATGTAATTTTAATAAATACCATTTCATAGAGAATAATCGAAAGATTCCTTCAGAAATTCCTGCACTATAAATTAATTTTAAATCCAATTGTAATTTATTATTTAATTCATGACCAGAATGTGATGTTAATGTGTACGAGACAACAAATAAACGAGTTCCCCAACCTGACATTCCCAGTCAAGAGGCTCTTCTACTCGCTCCTTTCGGCATACCTTGCCGCCTTTTTTAAAGACACATGATTTCTTTTTTTATGGTACTGTCTTGTGCGGCTCCTCTTGTTGTTTTTCGTCAATATGATTATCACTATATATGTTAAAATATGTATGGGAATTTTTGTACTAGTGAATTGTAATCTGTTACCAGTATTGGATTTTTAATTAGCAGTTAAAGCTGTAGGGGTAAGTTAGAACTCGGGAATGTCAGCTCAACCGTGTAACTAGATATCAAAACTAATGACTTAGTATATGTTGTTTATTGCCAATTTAAACGATTTAATCCAACATCTCTTTAGCACAAACTCAAAATGGCATCCGATTAATCGGCACCAATATGATTTTTGGCTAGCCGATTAACCGATCCAAAAATTTTGTAATCGTTACAACACTACCACTACAATTGATAATTATTGAGGAATATTATTGCCGGTCCGTGAATATTAAATAATATGGAAAATATCAATTTGGAACGGAAGCTTATTGACCCTATTTTCAGAAGCTGACAGCGACTTATATTCCCTAATTCAAGCCTCTGAAAATCAGTCGTAAAGCAAGTCTTTCCTGCTAATTAAGATATATAATTTCGTATGTGATTTTTTTACTTTATTAGATCTCTTGTTTTATAAATTGTAGCTGTCTATGTAATAAAATCTTATATGAATACAATTGACAGTGTCAATGAAACCGCATTCTACACCTGCAAAATAGTCAAGTCAGGTTCAGAGTGTAATGAAGGCCTTGCAAAAGTTTGTGTTGAAAAGTACAATTTGTATTGGGTTACCAATTACCACACACCCCCTGGCCTTAGGTTTACCCAGAGCATAGAGAGAAGAAACAAGGTATCAGTTTGACATGGTCTTATCACACAGTACTAACTTAGTGCTACCAAATCTAAGCTCCAAAAACATAATTAATTCTCTGCCATTATTTGATGTTGATGTTGATCATTTTATCTTGAAGCTCTTGAATAGTGGTTGGATGATGATACATCTTAAAATTATTGTTTTGTAGGCTTTTGGTTAAAGGAAGCCTATTATAGAGAATTACCTGATGTTACTTTTAAAAGAGATTTAATGTTAGTTTTGGAACTAGAGGGTCAAGGATCTTATGTAACTTACAGTACATATCAGAAATATAATCAACTTCAACAAGATCAGTTACGGGTCCCTGTCATTAAAGTAAGTCTCCATATTCCATGGTTTATAGTCACAACAACCCTATGACAAAATGATCAAAATTGTCTAGTCAAAGTTAGTTTTAATATGAAATAACCTTAGATATTGTCACATTTGGAATACTCGGACAGATAAAGGGGGTGGAGGGAGGTACATGTAGCAGAGTGATCTAATTATCCATTTTAGATCAAATGATCTGTCATTGCTTCAAGCACTGTGGTTTCGACCCCAAGCTCGTTATTGACAAGCGATATACAGTAACCCTCCTAACCTCATTGGTTTTCTACAGGTCCTCCAGTTTCCTCCCACTACTGTTATATAGATGCAAATATGTTAATCCTGAAATGATCATCATTTGTGTCAGTGGACTTTGAATCCCACTTTTCTCTCTCAAGCAGACAAAAGAATATGGTTGTAGAAGAACTTGAATAACACTGTTTGGTGACATTCATTGCGTATTAATATTAAGTTTAGCTCTAATCAAAGTTAAATGTCTCAATATTCAAAGACTTTCAAAGTCAAATGTCTTAATATTTCAAAGTCTTTCAAAAGATTTCACAGAATGTACTGCAATAGTTGATCTGGAGTCAACCAATCCTGATCTGCACATTACAGAATCTGCCCTATCAGGACTAAATACCCATTAAATCTGTAAATGGAAGCGGATGTAAAACCCAAACTAATTAATCAGCAAATTGGTGTGAGATAACTTGTTTAACATGTTCCATTACAGGCAAGAGAAGAAGATGTGAATGGAGATGGAAGAAATGATAAATTATTGTTAGATTTAGAAGTTCCACTTAATTCAGAAAATGTAGTTGGGGTAAAATTATTGTTGATGTTTTATTATAGACTAAAGGTGAGTTTTAGAAGGAAAGGTGTAGCAAAGCAATCAATTGTAAAGACATTTGTAATTACATTGGATGATTCAATCGATAGGGAATAATTCCAGTAGCAGATCTTTAGTATTTAACAACTCTAGCGTTTTCTCATCAATTAGATCCTCACACTAGATAGTTTTGTAACAAAAATGTGTAAGATCAATATTCTTGTAAGAAATGGCGCGAATCAGATCCCACAATAGACATTTTTTGTTACAAATAGGTGTATGCTCAAATTCTTGAACAAAATGATCACAAGCTTGTCAGATGAGTTGATAATCCTCCTTATGATTACTTTGGAACATGGATACAGAGTTGATAATCCTTCTTTATTATGATTACTTTAGGGACATCGACAAAGAGTAATGGGAGAAGACAAGTTGTTCCCATTTGTTGATATTTCCCAAGTTCAGAACCTGAAATACAAATCATTACAACTTGAATTAGATATTCTGTGAACACATGACTGTGTAATTATACAATAATAAAGTTGTTCATTATAAGAACTCTCTGAACATGAGGCTGTTTGATGATACAAGTTCTTTGTATGAAAGTTATTAAATTGAATAACTTGTGCAATCTTTTGTTTTTAAATAGTGACTGATAGGTCGGTCATCTCTCAGTCATTTTCTTATTTAAGTCAAAATGCTTTGTATGTGGGAAGTTTTAAATGTTTTCTTGTTCTCGTGGATCATTTTGATTCCTTGCTTTTAATTCATTTACTGTATTAATCTTTTATTTACATGTATTTATTTTTCAGAAATTTTCCTCATTTTATATGGAATCTTTGGCTTACATAGAGCATGAATCATCGAGACCAGGAGCACAACTTGAGGCTTTTGGAGATCTGAAAGTTCAGCAGAAACAACCTCTAGGACATAAAGGATTGGATGTTAGATACAATGTAAGTTTTACATATCGTCACATATTGAGAAAATAAATTATTAGTTATAATGGTGCAACTGAACATTTTGCGTTCCATTTCATAAATTTATCATTTCATTTTTTGCATTAAAATTTTTTATGCTTTGATTGGTCCATCCACAATTCTTGTAAATGCTTTGCAGGGTATAATTTTAATCTTGTAGGGATTATTCAGCTAGTTCTAAGGGGAGTGATAAGCACTCTACAGGTCAGAAATTCAGACTTGCCCATCAATTTTGTGCAGTTGTTGACACTGGGTCTGAAAACTTTGGAGCACCCTACCTTTAGCCTGCTGGTGGACATTATATTCATTTCATAGCAATGCTATGTCTAAAAAATGCAACAATGTTTAGAGAGAGAGAGAAATGGGGTTTAACGTCCACTCGACACAAACTAGGTCATTTTGGGACTAACATTATGGGTTAATGTTATTTCAGTAATTCGCTTGCACGTAGGGGTCTTTAACAGTGGGAGGAAATCGGAGGACCCGGAGAAAACCCACGAGGCTGGACAGGCGACCCTACAACAATGTTTAGAAAATTTACTTTTATCCATTCTGAATTACCCTTGTATTTTCTATCTTTCAGGAATCTTTAATAGATTCTTCAAGTTCTTACGCTGAAGCTTACCTTTTATCAAACATATTAAAGACATATTCAGATAGAAATGGTAGGTTTAGATGTATTTCTAGTGTCAGCTGTGTGATATTATCTGTTGCAGTATGACAACGCTATTTAAAAAAAATAATAAAGACATGTACTATACGTAAGAGGCTCAATTTGAAGGAATTAATTTCAGGAAAATTGTTGATAATTGATATATAGTTTTATTTTTTTCAAAAAAATATTTTTCTACTGATGGAAAATGCTATTTGTTTCAGTAAGTTTAAGGAATATTTACCCCGGACGATAATTTAAATTCATATTAAAGCCAGATAAAATATATTTAAAAAAAAAAAAAATTAAAATGTTTTTATTTAATTTTTATTTATTTTTCAGTGACGACTAAATTAGATGATCCATATAAATTATGGACGAGTGGAAGAGGTGCAGGAAAACCGTTTAAAATATCTGTGTCTATAAATTATCCAGAAGATGTCTTCTTGTATCCTTTTAATACAAAACAACAATAAATATATACTCTCACATTTTATCACTCCTGTATCTCGGTCAATCCTTCCAGTTGTTCACAAATTGTGAATGAAAGGGGGTTTAACGTCCTAATCTTCAGCTCCATCCAGACTAACAAATACGATTTACATATGTGGATAAAAGTGTCAGGGATGTATAGTTAATAAGCATTGAATTCCCACATTGATTTAAAAGAATTTTCAAGCCTGGCTCGCACTTATGGGGCTTATAAGGATTGTGCAACCTTGAAATTCAGATGTTACGAAAAACCTATGGTTCTGTGGTTCACATTGCTCTGTATGGAATACTAATAAGAGTAGAAAGGAATGCAGCTTTCTACAAAATATTCCTCCCTTGCATTGCTCCAGTAAACATAAGTAACTTTAGTCACAAGATCACCTAGATAAAATGTTGACAAAACATTAAATGACATTCCTATGTATTCCACTCCATATAGTATATTATTATTCCTTAATATCCTTTTAGATATACTCCAGGATTTTGGTACCTGATTAAATGGGGATGGATCCAGTATCTGGCTGTTCTGATTCTCTTTGTTTATATATTTCAACAAGTTAAAATATTTATCTTTCAGAACCAGTTAGTTCTAACTCTAGTTGATCGACCATATAAAGATACTAAGACGTTGTGATTTAAATTGTTTTGTTAAATACATGTATAGGTTTAAATTATTTTAAAAATTTATCTGGCATTTAAAGTTATTTTTGATTTGCCAATAATAACATTTCAAGAATGAAAAATTATAAAATATTTGACTCTACCATCTTAAAATGCTTTTGCCTCGGAATTTATAGGAAGTTTTATCAAGAATGAAGTAATTGAGATAAATTAGAATGGCGTCATGAAGTTATTGAAAACACTGTATTTTAATGTTTTTATTATTATTAGTGATCTTCTGAAATATATTAAATTAATTATATGTTAAGATTTTGTCGGCATCAGCTGATCATGTAAATGCATGTTATTCTTTTGTCTGGGCCACAACCATAGAATCACTATTGAAGGCTTTTGAAGATAATCTAAGTAAATATAAGATTTGACTATAGCTTATGATCTGAGGCGTACTTGGCCCGGGTGAGGGGCACAAAAAATTTGGGTAATCATTGCAATTCAAACAAGATCTCCAAGACTTATATTCCAATCTATAGTACCAATATCTTATCACTTTTTGGTATATTTGACTATACTGTTATCTGGTGATGTCCGAGCAACTCCAACTGTTTCCCCCTTTCTCAAATTCAAAAAGTTCTGTATTCCTATGGTTATCAAATAATCGAGCCATATATATATATATCATAAACCGCCCATCAGTCTGCATTCATCTAGCGTGGCCGTGGGAACTGGTCTTTTATTTTCGTGAATTATATCAAGTCATGTTTTGTCCAATCCAATATCATATCCGTCCCAGAAATAATTTGAATATAGCATAATTATGTATCGATTCACAGTAAATAAACAAATGTTTATTTTTATATTTTATTTTATTTATTTATTATCTATATCAGTTTAAACTGTACATAATATTATATATAATATAATAAACAATTTTTACTTACATTGTATATTCTGTACATATGTATAGCTCAGGGACCCCTTTTTTCACTAAACAGCGTAGTATAAAAATCATACTTTAGTCTACAAATTTTTCAATGACCAATTTATACTCTGTATTTTATGCACCGTTTAGTGAAAAGGGACCTGGTTCAATACATATTTATCTCTAAATCTGAAAACAAGATAAGGTCAACGGATTGTTTGGTGTGACAACAAAGGGTTAATGTATTTTTTTCCAGTGCTATGAATAGCTGTTGGACTACATACTAGATGGATTTGTGTTAACCTGGGCAAATGACCTTATCTGCTTTCAAAATTAGAGATCAAAAGTTATTGAACAGAGCTAGAGAGTATTTTTGACTTGTTTAATCATTTTAGTAATGGGGACTGTCTATAAACCTGTCATCTTCTGGTGCATTTTTCTCTGTGATGACACAAACTAAAACAATATGTCAACAAATTTGTCTATTTCTAATTACTGTTATGTATATCATTAAATAGTCTCTTTATATATACATCGATATGTTTTATTATTATTTCAATTTTTTGTCATTTAATGTAAGGGTACATATAGCATCTTCACAATGTTGAGCAGAAAGGCTGATAGAAAAGACAGGAGTTTAATTTCACGACAGACATATTGCAATAATATCGGAAAGGGTCTTTAGCCAGGGAAGGAAACCAAAGTTTCCAGAGATAATCCAGCGAATATGTTAGACCATTTGACTGTCCAACCCCCAGTCTGATACATAGAAAATTATGTTTCATAAGTGCCATATTATGCAAACTGTTGTAGATGTCCTTTCTATAAATACCATCTGACATTATTACGAAAATAAATGAAGATCAAATATATCATTAATATATCGCTGATTGTCATTGGCTTGTTTATATTCTGTGAAGAGGATGTAGGATATTGTGAAATTTAATTCAGGTCTACATAGATACTGAACTGGTCAGCTAATACAGTCAAGGTATTGGACGTATATATTTTAATTGATATTGTGAAGATGGAATGTAGCACGAAACATTCTCTAGCTGTGGTCAACATTTTATAATTTTCAAAAATGGGGATTATTTAAACAGAAGTCCACACATAAACTGAGAATTATTAAATTCAGTGAAATTTGACTAAATATTAATAACTGTATGCTTGATCTCATAAGATACTAGGTACACCAATGTTTAGTTGGAAAAGTCTCAAGATTTACATATATATATCACCTCCACCACAAAATTTTATAAATGACACATTTGTGTAATGTTGCCTAAGGCAGACTGCATGGATTTTCAGGTTTAAAAATTTTGGTTGTTAATGGGACAAAATGAGCAAGACATAATTAAAACATTTAGATGCCTTATTGCTAGAAAGTTGACTGCTACACAAAATTCTGAGATTTCCTAGCTAGTCAAGCAGATCATTTGGTGGGGGTGCAATCAATAATTTACTTCAGACTACAGTGATTGGGTGAATGTTATAAATAAATGTCAGAATTTGTGACAGCATACACAGAACTGGCTGGGTCAAATTTAAAATCGTATTAATAAAATTGTTGGTTTTAATAAATAATGGAGATAAACTGTCCATAGTACACAGAAAACTACTACTGAAAATGAGCTTGAAGGGGTGAGATACTGTAGTGAAAACCTTAACAAAAGTAATTGAGAAGTAAACAATTTCAAGAGAATATTGGTTACCAGACATCATATAACTTTGGTGTCACTTTCATGTCATTTCTTTAATCAGAATTGTGATGTATTTATAGGGTTAAGTTCATGCATGGTGCGAACACTCTGGTGGTACAAATTTAGAAAATGCTATAGATTGGAATTGATTCAAATTTATCTAAATTAATTTGTACTACAACAGAGTGTTGACACTGTTCATCCAAGCACATTGATCAGTTAGTGTAATTTTGAAGAGATAGTCCTGTGTTGAAGGTAATTGTAATGATAGTCACTTGTTGATATATCCATGACTGTTGATCATGACTTCAGAAAAATTCATTTAGAAAATTACATTTCAATTTTCTTTCTTAATGGCTTAATAATAACAGAAAAATATCAAAATTGTTTAGATTTCAGTCGGAAGCAAGCAAATTGGAATTAAAAAATTCTCAAATATTTAAGTACATTATCTCAGACCACACTTCAACAAAATACGGGTAGTTGTATTACTGGTACATATCGAAGTTCATTGATGTCAATAACATAAATAATAAAAATAAAAAAAATTCTAACAAATTCTTCAATAAATATATATTAATCTATGTTGTTCAAGAGATTTACATCTGTACAACTTTCAACAGCATCCATTACCATAATACTTCCAATCTCAATTGAAAAAAACAATTCTATAGCGTAGTAATTTGTTCAGATATTAAATAGTGCGATCTAATTAATAGCCGGGCCAATTTAAGAATTAACTTTTCGTATCATCAAGAAAAATCTGAAATGACCTCCATATAACACTGATATCATTCTTGTTCTAATCAACATTACTCAAAATCTGTGCAGATTATATGTAAATATACAATTGACTAATAGGGCTTCATTTTTTTGACGAGCGCTTAAGAATTTCAGGCATGAAAAATAGCACATGCTAAAATTTTTGAAGGCATAAATCTTGTCATAAACATTCCAAAATCACTACAATTCCTGATGACAACAGCCATGATGTTTTTTATAGCAGAGTCTCGACCATTTAGTCGCTCAAGTATCAATGAAAAAATATACATTTAATTGACCCGAGAAAAAGTTTTCACAAACCCAGTTCAGCTAGAAAGAATAATCACTTTTTTATTCAATGGGGTACAACTTTTTGCGCAATGACTAAAGAAACATCGTCATTGTATTTATGTACAAGAATTTCTTGGTCGAAGCAATTTGTGAGTATAATACTAGACGATTTCTTAAATTAGCTGAAACAACTTATGTAATTGGCAGATCGGCAAGGACAGTCATGGCTCAAAACCATAACGTCATTCTATTATCAGGCTTAGTGTATTAATAGCAAGTATTTTTATCAGGTGCTGCAGAATGAATTGAAAGCTCTTGCAAAAATATGCAAGTGTGCTTTTTTTCTCACACACTCACTTTTTATAAAAATGAAGCCCTTGACTAAAACTGTTCACCAATGTAATGGTTAAAATCAGTTTAAAATTTGTCTTTGATCCCAATTCATTCTACTTTCACTTTAGCTTGAGCCAACTTTGGTAGATCTACGAAATCCTGGCCGTAAACAAACATGGCAACTAAAGAGAAAATTGCTGAACCTCCCCAAAATGCAAGATACATTAACTGTTCACTAAAATGTTCTGAAAAAGAGAAGAAATAAATAACAGTTTGAATTCTTTAAAATGGAAATCATTTTTACAAGCATCATCTAGAAAATTTATCAAAGAACTCTGTCCCCCTTCAAAATATATTATTTTCCACAAACAACCTATATTTTGGACTCTCAGTTGGAAGACCAGTAAATATGGTTAGCATTTAAACAGTATAAATATATTTGACAAAAACTTACCACTAGGCAGGAGTATACAGATCAGACACATTGCCATGGCAACCAAACAAATTATAGGTAGCTGCAACAGACAAATTAGAAATTAGAGAAAACATAAGGTTTAACATTAGACGATCATGTAGAAAGAAATTGTGCCCTCTAAAAATAACCAATATACTGAGTTGACAAGGCCGTAAGCCCAATTTCCTTCCTTTGGCCAGTAATGCTTTCACCCCTTTTTATGTTGTCCTTATAGAAAACTATTGACACTGCTTCACTAGATACAAATGTGACCCTTCAACTTAGCATATGCATAAATCAGTAGACAAGTTGATTGTTGCCCAGGTGGCTCGATGAGTATGTCCATTTATTAACCTACACCAAGTGCAGAAAATTAAGACATTAAAGCTATTTTAATTTCATTTTATCAGTTCGTTCCTATAGGAAAGAATAGTATAGGCATAAGATTAATAGCTTGTCAGCACAATACTTTGGTCACGGACAGTTATTTTCATCAAATTCCAACTGTCAAGGGTTCTTTTACGTGCACAATTGACACAATTGCTAGCCCTGCAGACTCCACCCCTGACAAGTAGAAAGAAGGTTTGAGAAAGTCCTTGGTTTTTCTCAGCTTACACTGGGATATGCCAGTTTGCTGTTAGTGGGCAAGCAGTCTTAACATTCGGTTCCGATTCATCGGGGCACCAGTTTGTTGATATGTAATTAATTTAATTCAATATTTAATCACATCAGAAAGATTTTATATTTGTTATTACTTACAGAAATAACTTTCCAATCTCTTTCACCTCTGAGTGGTGAATTTTGTGTTATTCCTTCGTTTTCTTCTACAATATAGTTTCCTAGAAACAGATCTATGGCATCCTGAAACACACATTATATAAATATCTTGAATTTCCTTTACACCTTCTACGTTACACAAGTTAAATAGTATTTACTTGTAAAATCAAACATCACTCTTTTTAAAATCATTGATACTTTAATCATTTTTAATGCAAAGAAAATTCACGAAATATAGCACAATTTGGAAAAGCATTCTTCATTTCTGGTTACCTGTCTGAATCCATCAGCAAAATTATTTTTGAAATATCTAACTGCTGAATTCCATCCATCCATTACAAGACCCATTTTGGTTCGTTTCCCCGTTCTGTAATACAATACGAGAGATAAGCAGACTATAACTTGCAAACAACAATATATTGAAAGTTGTAATTTCTTATAGGAATATCAGTCCAAAAATGGTTCAATTCCATTCAGTATTTACAAAGTTATGACAAATCGAAAATTCCATCGATCGACATGTATACAGCTCCAACAAGAATATCGCCATCTTTATTTGCCATGAACCAAATTGATGTGCCGGATTTAAACCCGATTGAATCCAAGCTAGGTGATTATTCAGCATTGGTATTTTGATTTTTTATTAAATGTTAAATAATCAATCATTAGCCGTGAGAAATTTGATTTTTTCCAAAAAATGCAAATCATGCTTTACTTTAATGCACCTCAATACAATAAATTACTCTTTGATTATAAAGCAAAATTTAAACAAGACTTACCTTGTAAAATCTGTTTTTAGCGCTCCTGTACCAGCATACTGTTTTGCTAAATAATCAGCATTATCTGCCCATACTGTAAAGGAAAACGTATTTTGTTAAATAATACGAAATTTGAATGAAAACACTAAAAAATCATCTTTGTATTTTGTATGTTTCTTTTTAATACTAACAGCTTTGAATGCTACCCAAGCATGTATTCTTGGGATATCATTAAGTTTTAAACAGACTCTGAAATATTCATAATTATTTATCCTATCCTATGGTTCTAACTGAAAAACTGCAAATATTTTTACAGATGAATCATAGCTGAATACATATAAACAGCCTTTTAAACTTACAATTTTTAAAAATCAAATCAAAACTGCACCCAATTTCAATTTTTTCGCCAACTGCTAAAATTCCTAATCTCTGTAATTGCTCTTGTAAAATTTCTCTAGCTAACATACTCTGTACAACATTGGTTCTATCTAAACAATCCATACAGTTAGTTCGAAACACACCCTCTTGTTGACAAGCTATTTTACCATCTTTCTGTACCATAAAATAACTACAAAATATCAAAAAAAACCCACCCATAAATAATTCACAAATTCTAGCTTAACTTTCCAGGGGTATTTCACATACAGTTTTGTTGATTATTTATACCACACTATAATGGTCTAGTCCATGTCAGGATACTGATATTCAAAACAACTGGGGAATAACACATATATAATTTCCTTAAATGACATTTAGAAGTAGAGGAATAATATTCATAATAACACAACTTTATGGATTTACTACTTCTTGGTTTATTACATGCAACGTTTCAATACTCTTACAGGTATCTTTATCAAGCAATGATCAATAATGAATAACAACCTACATTTATAGTACATTCATGTGCTGAATAGTAAGGTAAGAGAAATATAATATTTCATTTGCATTTTAACCTTTTATTTTATCATACCACAATAGATGCTGCATAGTAAGGGGAGTCATTTGCCAAAGGTAGTGTGGCCTGCAAGGGAAGATAACTCTACTTTGAAGAATGTCCCATGACCAGTGGGAACAAATCACGAAAAATCTTTAAGGTTCTTCTCAGCCCACACTGGGATGAAATCTGGGACAATGTAGTTGAGAGTCTAGTATCATAACTATTTGTTAATAACTCCTCCTTACAACGTTTAGAACACTATTTTATATTTAGAAAAGACAATTTCTCCAACTGGACATTACTTGGGTAGAAAATACAAATAAGTTAGTCAATCAGCAATCTTACCCAAACTGTCTTCTTTCATTCTCTAATCTATCTATTAATATAGAAAGTCGATCCCATCGCATTTTTTTGCACTGATTGTGAAAATCGAATGCCTCATATCTGTAAGAAGCAAAAAGGATGTTTATAAACATTTCGAAGAGCAATGGATTCACCATTTTGAATTATTAATACTTGAAATATTTAAAAAAAAATCTTCATCTTTTCAATTACAGGTGATCAAGTTACAAAAATAATTGACCAACTACCTGATAGAATCATTTTGAGAATTGACAACTGTTTGTGAAAAAGCTTTCTCCATTAAATGTTCATAACCAGATTGATTGATCTGAAAGAAGCATGTCATATTTAGAGTTAATGTGAAAAAACATATAAAGTGTTTCTAACAGATGTCAAATAAATGTAGTAAAGCATAACACAGTTGTACAGAGAGAGAGAGAGAGAGAGAGAGAGAGATATCAGGTTATGCAATGTATGGTATGGGGTTTAAAGTCTTGTCAATGGTAATTTTGAGACTAACATAATATGGTAAATTTCATTTTTATTGTAACATGTCAAATGTGAGAGGACATGTTTTGACAGCATAGTGGTGAGAGAGAGAGAAATGGGGTTTAACGTCCACTCGACACAAACTAGGTCATTTCGGGACTAACATATGGTTCAATTTTATTTCAATAATTCGCTTGTGCGTAGGGATGTTTAGCAGTGGGAGGAAACCGGAGGACCCGGAGAAAACCCACGAGGTTGGACGGATTCAAAATCACACCAGTTGACTCAATGACAGGCTTTATGATACAGCGCGCATGTGCTAACCATTCGGCATTCCACCCCCCCACCCCCAGTTGTACAGTAATGTAACTGATTAAATTACAAGTTCTTGAATTAATTTTTTATTACCCCCAGTTTATTTCTACATAAAAATAGATACAATAAAATATGTTGCTATAACTTTTACTTGACTTATTGTAGTATAATATCTTATTCTTTATTAAATTCACTATACTTACCAAGTTAATTATAACTTGTTTACCATAATTATATACTTGATCATCAAAATGTCGTTGAAAACCATCCATCTACCATACCAAAACCAGAAAAGAAATGACAACTGATCATATATTTTAAGAGAAAAAATCTAAAACCAACAAGGGGTGCATACATATCCATAAGCCACTCAAATACTTTAGTGGTTTTGAGAGAGTCAAATGTTAGTGGAAATAACATTACTGTAATTAGATTGGTTATTGGATTTTCAATTTTCAAAATCACAAGGCTGGTCATGCACATATATTTGAAAACTCAAAAATAAATCAGAATTGTTAGATTTATAAAAATTTGGAACTTAAAAAAAAAAACAAAAAAACTTTTAAGTAGGTCTCAAATTCCATACATAGCCATTATTCTGGCATGCTGGGAGTAGTTAGGACTTTAGTTATATTTCCGATTTTATTCTCAGTAACAATATTATATTTCTCTACATTTTCTATTAATCTTATCCCATACATGTATTTACTTATCTGTACTACTGGTAAGTTTTTCAATAACGTCATCAACTAGCCTTTTCTCAGAACAATCAAATCAAATCAAAATTGTAACCAGATATTTGTTTGTGTGTCAACTTTACTTGTTTTGGACTTACATGGTTTGAGGTACTGCTAATAGATGGAAGTGGCATTCTTTTTAAATTTGGTCGTTGAAACCAGAATAATGGAATGGAACCTCTAGTCTGAAATAGAAATCATATGAACCATTCAACAAGAAAACAAAAGGAAAGAAAGAATAATGGGATTTCTAATGCCTTAGCGTTTCAATTTGAGACTACCATAATGTAATTATTAAAGATACATTATGGGAGATTCGATAACGAGTTGGCAGTTCTCGCTATAATAGTTAAAAACTAGATAATGTAACGGCAATTTGCTGAAAAATTCAGTAAAATTGATCCACTATGAACCGAGAAATAAGCGATCAAAAGTTCTGCATAGCCTCGGTCATCATTACTAAGTCGGTACGACAAAAATCATAGTCTCGATTATCCATTTAATCCTTAAATCGAGAAGGAAAGTTATGCAGCAAATCGGATCATAATCCAATAATTATCGCAGGCTAGCGTTGACATCGTCGTCGAGAGTTGATTATAGTCTGGATACGTTAATTAATGTCTAATTAATAGTTTATATAACATTTCAGGCCTAAAGAAAGACCTACAATAGGCAGATTTAGCTCTTGCATAATGTAATTATAAATAATTGATTAAATAAAAGACCTGCTTGATTCACTATCTTACAGCACTGACAGTTGTAACAAATTGATCAGGGAGGAGGACAGCCCAATGCCTGTGCTCTCTGCAGAATTAGGGAAGAGAGAGAAATGGGGTTTAACGTCCACTCGACACAAACTAGGTCATTTTGGGACAAACATATGGTTTAATAATTCACTTGAACATAGGTGTCTTTAACAGTAGGAGAAAACCGGAGGACCCGGAGAAAACCCAAGAATTTGGACAGACAACCCTACTCCTTGTCACATACAATCAACCACATCACTTGACTCAATGACAGACCACCTGATACAACGTGCATGCGTTAACCATTCGGCCACCCAACCCCTGTCCCATTTGCAGCACTAGGAGTGGAAAAGGTGACAAAGCTCAAACATAATATGAGTTTCAACAGAATTTATCTCCAAGTCAAATAACAGCAATGTCTTTTTACTGTGCTTGACAAGACAATCTAGTCAGATCATAAACTTACTTGTACAAAGGAACATCTCTGTCCATCATATAAAACCAACTGTTCTGTTTCTACGAAGTTAGCTACCTGTCCTTGTTGATCTAACCCTCTCATATAAAACCTGGTCCCTGCTCGATATATACATCTTCTAGATATTACTATATAATCAAACCTTTTATTATTTAATTCACAGGATTTAATACTTATAACTAGCATTGAGTTAAAGTTATAACATTAAAAACATTTAATATTTTAAATATATTTAAACAGGTTAGGAGCTAACCAGATTATAATAAAAAATACATTTAAAGGAGCTAAGTCGCTAATATTTGGAATCTAGAAATTGACACAAATGAGTCGCAACATATATAATAATATAATATGAATGTATATAAACTGTTTTACATTCAATCACTTCTGTTTTTACTGTAATTTCTAATCAGTAAAATTCGGCGAAATATGCCAGAAGTCTCAATCGAATGGCAATCTCTAGCATCTTGTTATTCCAGTCTACACCAATAGTATTTATTGCGCATACTCTCCAGACAAGAATATTGCGTCATCCTTTGACATGACTTGTGGAATATGTCTAGCCTTGTTCTTCGAGTCCCTTGTTACACATGATGCTGAAACGCATTATGGTACACGATTCGTGTACCAATGGTAAAATGTTTATTTTGTATTAAATATTGGATATCAAAAGCCCATCTTTTCCCGGTAAGATCACAACATCAATGTTGATTTAAATTGAAAAATAATTTGTGTTTTCAATGTCGAAGACTTTGGATGATATTAAGTTAGAGACTTAGCTACTTTAAATCGGTAATGAGATAACCAGGTTATAACATCAAAATATATTTAAACAGGTAACAAGATAACTAGGTTATAATATTAAATATATTTAAACAGAGATAACCAGGTTATAATATTAGGTAACACAGTAAAAGATTAAAATATTAAATATATTTAAACAGGTGTGAATATCAAGCTAAGATTCCTCAATTATAAATAATAAGATGACTAGTCATCAACATCCTGCGTCCTTGTACTTGTTTAGAACTAGGCATAAGGAAAAACAACTTCTTTATGTGACTGGTAATCAATATATCAGATTAATCTCATATTCCAGCACATGGAATAACAATGGGACTAGTCAGAAGATTCATACTCTGATCATAGTAGCTCGTCAAGGTTTGTACAAAATCAATCAGCTGCTGTATGTTAAACAATAAGCTTATACATCAGAAAATACAATACTATAATAGGTTGATGTCTGTACAAAGTTTCAAAAATATACTCGGGATGGAAGGATGGACATCAGAAAATAAAACAATGGGTTGATGAATTTAAAAGTGTTAAAAGGATATCTTGAACAGTTTTTGATATTATAAAATAATAATTATATACCAAAATGTAAAAATCATTAAATCGGGAACAACTGCTATAATAGGTTGATGTTTGTACAAAGTTTCATGAAGATATCATGAATGGTTTATGAGATACGCTCTGGAAAAAACATTGTATACGAAAAACTAAGTGAAATTTGTTTCCATGAAAACACAAAAACTATAAATCCAAGAAATTCATCATTAGCAAAAGGCACACCTACTGTTATAGGTTGATGCATGTACAAAGTTTCATAAAGATATCTTTATCGATTTATGAGATATGCTCCGGAAGTTTCATAAAGATATAAAGATATGCTCATGTGCACCAAAAACTAAGTCAAATTTGTTTCCATGGAAACACAAACAATATAAATCCAAGAAATTTCTAAATAGCAAAAGGCACAACTACTGTAAAAGGTTGATGTGTGTACAAAGTTTCATAAGATATCTTGAACGGTTTATGAGATATGATCCGGAAACTAAATTGGGACGGACACACAGACAGACACACAGACAGACAGACAGACCCCATTTCAATATCCCTCCTTAGCTTCATTCAGCATGGGATAATAAACAAAGGATACATCCATGTAATATAGGTAAACAATATCTGGATAATTCTGGTTGTTGTGCTAATTCTCTTAATATATGGCCATTCCATACAAATCTTTGGTCTGCCTAAAAAATGTAAAAATCATGTCAGGAGGCCTACGTTTAAATCAGATCATAGTAAATTTTAAAAATGTGCTCCATTCTATATATATTTGGTTTTATATTTTTTTTTTTATCTTTGGTAGATACCATTAAGGAAATGTCTCTTCCTCACACAATACCTGTATCTTATCAAAAATTGAAAATATATTAATTAAAGGGACAATAACACTCTTGCTGGCTTGACCGCTCCAGAAAATAAAAAATAGCCTTATTCTAAGTACTAGATGTGTAAGTGCCCTACCTGTTGTGTAAATTATCCATTAAATCCTATTTTACTTGTCCAGAGGGTTCAAAAATATTTTCAAATCCAAGTCACATTTGAAAAGCTTTACGTCAGGCTTTTCAAATCATTTAGTTGAATCTTTCCAATTTTTTAAATTAGGTGTGTTAAGATGAAATTTGTATCATAAATAAATTGGAATGTTGTAAAATAGTACAATTTGTTGACTAGAATAAAGATTGGGATATATTATTCAGTTACAACAAGAGTGGTATTGAGCCTTTAAAAATAGAAGAGATCTATATAAACATCAATAGTGTATATATATTATACTTACCCTTTCTAATAATCCCATAGAAGTAAAATCTGGACTAGTATTATATAAGCGTTGTGAGGAATGAGTTAAATCAAACGATGATGAAAAATAATAATATTCTGTTTTTAAAACTGACTCCACCATAGAAATATACAATTTATTATCAGCTATCTGTAAAACAATAAAACCACATTTTATGGTAAATTTTTGAAGCATACATTTTCATATACTTAGTATCTTTGAGCATTTTCTTTTGAGAAGAACAGAAAGTCCATGAGAAAAGATCACATACAATGCACATTAGACATGGAACATATTTTCACTATCGTGATATCCATGTAATTTTATTTAGACTACCATTTAAAAAGTGAAGGTAGCCTACTAATTTATCAATAATAGCTTAACGAAAACATTATATCTTTATTATCAAAATTCTAATTTTCAAACAATTTTCCAACTATTTTTGATGAACTAGAGTTACCTGTCCCTCTGTAAGATGTGTTGTAGATCGTTTGTAAGAATGCATCTCTGTATCTAAGATCTGCCATATTGTATTACCATTGATTTCTCCAACTTTCTTCTTCTTAGTTATCACAACCAAATATGGACCTGAAAACATATATTCAAATAATTATAAATAAGACATACCGGTACATTGAAATTGACTTAAAATCCTTTAAAATTTACAAATACTTAAAAACAAAGTATTACTTATCAATAAGTGTGCTTTCAAATCTTTTTTTTTAAAACAAGAAAAACCTTGTACAAACAAACATTACATTGGTCTGCAGAAAGTCTTAGATTTCTTTTTGGGACATACACTTCAAAGTTCAAGAAAATGAGGTGAGGGCCAGGTCACTTTTATCCATTTATAAGTCAGAAGCGAATAAAAAGGAATCCTTCAGGATGACCCAGATAAAGAGAGAAAATTACAAGACAAAATAAGCTTAAAGTTATGCTCATAATCACATACAGATATTTACTCTGACAAGCGAATCAAATTACCCTTCAACTAACCTGCTATCAGCCGAATAATTCCTAAAATTCCATAAATGGTTCTTGTAATTGCTGATGCTGGTATTTGTCCTTTGTTGCCTGAAAAAATTTATATTTCTAGTCAGTGTGGAACAATAAGCTTACAAGTTACATAAAATCTATAAATGTTACCAAAACTAACAAGTAACAGAGACTAAAATTTATCTGTGCAATGGAATAATTAGTGCACAACGTTTTGACTAGGATTTTTACATCTAATAGGCTTTATTAAACAAATGGTCGAAGTTCACAAAGAAAATGCTAATGAGTTTTAAGTTTTATATCAATGCTGTTGTTTGGACTGGGAGGAATGATGACTTATGTGTTCTACCAAATAATGGTTTGAATCAGTTTGAAGTGAATTAAACTATAATAAGGTCCAAGACAAGTAAGACAGTTTGATTCCTCTTACCCTGTAAAGCTATTTCTTGTGAAACTCGATCAATGACAAGTAGTTCATTATTACTACTATCAACTGGCTCTACAATAAACTTGTCTGATGTAATGTGACTGAAAATAGACCATAAATATTAGCATATAAATACAAAATACACCTTTAGTTTACCAACTGCTACAAACTGGTAATAAGGTTGGCCTATAATGTTTGAGGCTAGATACCCAAAATTAGTCTACCACTTACACTGCTAGCAAAATTATTCTGATTTATTTTCTATTGGTATAATCTATAAAAGTCTTTTTATGATGTATGTCCCTGCTAGGAAACATTTGTCCCTTTTTTGGGGAGAGTCACTGCCTCTGTATGTTCTTTAGAAGAAGTAATCTTAAGGTTATTTACAGTCATGGGATCACAGGATTCAGTGCCGTTAAACAATGTGCATTGCTACAGCAAACACATTAAAGTAGAAATCACTTCGAGACAAGCCACTGAAGCGTGCGCATTCGCCGTGTCGAGTCCAAATTTCTGTAGAGAACATTTTCACTCCACGGGTCACCCCACCTTTAAAACAAGATTGTTAGGCCTAATAGTAATACATTTAGTTGGTTTTAAACACACGAAGCAGGCATATTTAGACTGTTTTTTTCTGAGGGGTAGTAGGGTCTACATACTAGTTCATCACGTGACCTATGTCGAGTCGAATGCTGGATAGGGAGATTTGTCTTGTGTGGAGAATCCGAATGTACAGATTACTGTCAATCCACAGTGCCCACATCTGTCATGGCCTCAGTGGAAATTTAATATCTTTTTGTGAACTAAAAATCGGGGACTTCTCATAAGATTTAATAACTTTTGTTAAAATAGTCATATTGCCAAGAAGAATTATTTAGTATCGATCATACGACGGCCGAAGTCAAAAATAAAGATCAACAACAAATCACATCACAACCAATCTAATCTATACTTTTATGCTTGATAACGATGGAAGTTTTTAATGCACGTTCACTAATTTTTGACGGTGTATACAAATGGGTGTAGAGGTTCTATGTGGCATATAATTGTTTAATAATACGATTTTAAAATCTATTAAATCATTTAATTAACGCCCACTTACAGTTTTAAGGTTTCGTAGACAGCCATTTTAGATGACGTGTACGCCAAATATGATATTAAAATCAGAAGAGCCAAATAAGGGAGGTAATCGATTTTTGGAGATCCCTGGATCAGACCATTGCTAATATTATTTTATGGGGCACAAAAGAAATATTTGAAATTCAGATTGTTTTATGATGTAAACAGTCAACTTCCCCTAGACGCTTAGTTACAGTATAACCCGTACAATTATTATCAAATAATTGGTAACTGCAACCGAAAGTAGATCGATACATTTTAGGTCCTGTCCATCTAGATAGGAAAACTTGAGGGGGTGGGGAGGGGTGTGCTCGATTGTCAGTCCGGAATGCCCCGATTTGACCGAATTGCAACCAAGTGATATGGAATTCAGCCCAGTCACAGTTCTGCCAGTCCCAACAGCTGAGGTGGTGTGAGTAGAATCGTGAAGTATTTTAAGTAACATAATATATCTGTTTCAGCTGTCATGATTGGTTGAGATATTTTTTTATGCAGTCGGCACATGCGTTGTACTCCGAAATTCTCCTTTTCACTCGCCTGAGGGGGTATATAACTCCAATAGGATTCCTCCTTGTGTCCCTATGATAAAAAAAACAAAACACAATTCGTTTCTATCGTGTCCATAGGCATTAAAATTTTGCATTATGTAAGTTCTTTGCTAAAATCGTTAACATTTAGATAATGCATAAGAATTATTGAAAATTTCAGTCAAATTACTTCATTCTGAACGAAGTTATGACGGTTAGAAGAATAGCGTAGTCTCGATTATTCATTTTCAAAATTAAATTATTAAATGGCGATCGTGTTTTAATCCGTTCAAAATCACAGCCATCCGATGGTCAACAGATTTGATTACGGGGTTTGTCATGTGAGTAAATGTCTAATTAATAAAATTTGAGACCAAAAGAAAGATCTGCAATAGGCGGATTTAGATTTGTGTCTTGTCCGTAGATTTGTCTTGTATATTTGTGTGTGTGTATGGTGCATTTTATTATATCTTTAATTATTGGATTCACACATTGTATACAAGTGCACTCAAATAATGTGGCGTTTCTTTTTCTGTTTTTGGCCACGAAATGGTGTATCGGTTTGGTAGTGTGGGAAATTCTGCTGTAAATGTTACTCAGGACCCACACCCCTGTAATTCCTCTGCCACCCGTGATCTATTGGCCGACCACAAGCCGTTTAAAGTAGAACCTCTTCAGAGGGGAGGGCGTACTAACTAAAAAGTTGTTATGTTATGTTCTGCTCTCTCTCTCTCTCTTCGAACAAACGGAACAAAACTGTATAAAACTATCATGTTTTATTTTGCATTCAAACATATATACAGGTAAGTTTTGATGGCCTTGGAAAGCTCTTTTATATTATTAATAAAGAGGTGAACTATCCCAGTTCAAGCCGTTCTGTGATCTGTTCTGTTTCTGTGTAATAGCTAAAAGCTATAATATTTAACTACTTAGATAAGAAGGAAATACGCAACGTGTGTGTGTGTGTGTGTGTGACACAAACTATGCTGTTTGAATTTCGACACGGTTCTCTCTTTCGACAAAATGATCAATTTACAAAAAACGAACAGGCGAAATAAGGTGACGACAGTATACGTCCAAAGAGAACTATCAGACTGGTCGGTAGAAAACATGCGTACCCGAGACATACACTGCGAGTATAAAATGCCCGGTCTAACCCGCTTAATGTGGAGAGTCTCCATTTGATCAAAAGTAAAGTAATTACAAACTAAGTCATTTCAATAATTCGCTTGCTCGTAGGGGTCTTTAGCAGTGGGAGAAAACCGGAGGACCCGGAGAAAACCCACGAGGTTAGACAGGCGACCCTATTCCTTGTCACGTACAACTGGGGAACCGAAACTACGCCAGTTGACTCAATGAAGGACCTTATGATACAGCGTGCACGTGCTAATTCGGCCATCCAACCCCCTCATGCTGACTTATTTCCCCTTTAAGCAATTATTTCAAGAACTTTGCCCTGTTTGAATTTCGATATGGTTCTCTCTTACGACAAAATGATCAATTTGCAAAAAACGAACCGGCGAAACAAGGTGACGACAGTATACGTCCAAATTGAAGAGAACTATTAGATTGGTCGTTAGAAAACATGCGTACCCGAAACATACACTGCGAGTATAAAATGCCCGGTCTAACCCGTTTGCTGTGAAAAGTCTCCATTTGATCAAAAGTAAAGTAATTATAGAAATATAAAATTTAAAAGAAATCACAACAAATATTTAACTAAGTTTAACCCTGTACTGGCAGACTGCAAGGATTTCGGGTGCGTATTTGGAGGTCGCCATAAATTCCCTCTTTTACCAGACACAACCAATAAATGACGCGATCAATCAAGCAATACCAACTATGGGGTTTAAACATCCCCGAATACCATATATTTGGGGCATTGACAGCTCACAAAGTCAGCTTTTGTCTCCATGGCAAATTACACCATAAATTATAAACATTAGGCTATCTGTAATATCTGGCAATACAACTTTTATATCGTCTACCCACCGTAACATTACTATCTTACTGCATGGCATTGACGACACAGAGATGTCACTAGATATTTTAAAAAATCTCCATTCGTATTTCGAAATCACCAGATAAGGTTTCACTGACAATCATAGCACCACAGTTCAAAATATGGGCAACGAAGTACACTGTAATTATATTTTCACTTTTACATTGCTATATTTGTAAAATGCAAATACATGTATCTATATATCTGGGCCCTTATTCACGAAAACTTAAACTAAGATACAATCGAAATTTTAAGAAATACTGCAATTCGATTGGCTGACCAATATGCAAATTGGATATATGCAAATTGATTTTACTGGTCAGCCAATCAAATTGCAGTATTTCTTAAAATTTCGATTGTATCATAGTTTAAGTTTTCGTGAATAAGGGCCCCGATTTAAAATAGGTTATGTCTGTTCCCCAATACCTATTCAGATACAAATCTGAATTAATTTGTTTTATTAAAAACTTTATCTCTTTAATGATATTGATGTAACCTCTTTCTATGATCTCATAATTTTGATATATCAATTTATAAAAAAATATTTTCAGTCCAGTGGAGAAAAAACGACAGTAAAGTCTATAAGGGGAGATAACCTCTGAAGCACAAAGTTAAATAAAAGCCAAACCCCAGTTTAAGCCTTGACATGGAAATATAGTCCTCCTAATGTTTTGTGATAGAATATATTTTCAAAATCATGATGATGCCACTTCGGCATCCTTGGGGAAATTTAAATATCCAAGATGGCCGCCATCATCCAGAAAAATATTCTACGAATAATATTAGTCTGGATGCGTTGGTGGTTCCCCCTTGTCAGCGATGCAGGACGGAGGGCCTGACAAGGACAGCTGTCTAGTCGTTCGGATGGGACGAAAAACCGAGATCCCGTGTATTTATTGGAATGCACGTAAAAGATCCCCCGGCAGTTGGAATTCGATATAAGAGTAGGCGATATTGCTGCTGCCGCGTCAAAATTTCCCTCATAGCACACTGTATGGCGTATGCCCGTCTTCATTAGCCCAGTATAGGAGCAGAACAGTAGGACGTTAAACCCCATTTCATTTCATTTCTGGATGCGTTGTGAACATTTGAGAATAATAGGTCATTGGCTAGATTATCCGGTCTTTTACATTATTATAAAATAAGTCTAAGGGAGGTAACTAGTCCTAAATCAAGATGTTGACGCCCATGAAATTAATTTAAGCATGCCGTTTCAGAAAATCCCATTGATTGCAGCGAAAAGGTATTCCAATATGAGCTCATTTTCAAAATGACTGCCATATTTGGTGGGACATTTCGATGTTACTGTGATGGTATAATACGTCATTCGGAATCGCCGAATTCATATCTGAACGGGAAAATGTGCCATAACCGAACGAACTCATACAAATTTAAAGCTATAAATGTCCCTCAATACAGAACATCAGTTGAATTGTCATGAGAAGAGGCCTACATATATATACTTCTGCAAAACTATTACACAATTATTATGGATGAAACGACCGCATTTCATGCGTGGGCAATCCATCAATTCTCCATTTAATTGGTTGAACGTGACGGATTTATTCAGACCATCAGCTACTTGTTGAAAGCTAAGTCACGGTCACCGACAATACATGTCAACTAATATATACCGCGTTTCAGTTGCACAAACACAAAACCATTTAATCAAAATCATATTCGTACCAACATGTATTCTATTATTTTCCAATATTATAATCTTTACGAGAACATTGTCTGCATTGTAATATACCTGATGAATCATCTCTAGAATATTGAATGGTTGCCAATGTAAGTAAGTAGTAGTTTATAGTAGTTTATTAGCGTCTTGACAGCTATAATTACACTATATTTAAATAAAATATACAAGGTGTTACAAACACCCACTGCCATTCATTAAAAATTATGAGAGAAGAGTTACAGCAATAGTTACAATAAACCGATGGCTTTCTACTCCGAAAGATAACAATAACCAGAAAAAATTAAACTGCCAATAAAGACATCGATGCTCCGGATTGTAGCGTAATTTACACCACAATGATGCCACAGAAAAAAATAACAGATTCCTACATATTTCAAAACACGCATTTCATACTAAATCTATTGTATGGAAAACATTTATAAAACCACGCTGCATAATACAAATGCCATTAATATACCATTTTTTATCAAATGTAAGACCAGGTTCTTACCTGCCCATTGTCTATAATGATAAGATAAGATACATTGTATATTCTATCAAAGGGTGCTGGATAAACAGCATGCGATAAACTGAGCAAGGATCTTCGTTAAGCAGATGACAACTACCAGAAGACTTACCAAACGTAAGACCCGTTTATATTTATAGAGATTTGCAGCAGTCGACAAATGTTCCAATAATAAAAGACCTATCTTGTTAAGAACGTGATATAGTATAATTTACTGGTAATGCTAGATATACATGTAAACACACTTACTACACAATACGGGGTTTGTTTTTGTGTTTTCTTTTTCAGCAAATTACAAATCACCCTTCCTCATTTAAAATTAACCAAATGA